CGGACTCTCGTCCCGAGTCCCGAGTTTCTTCTCGAACGAAACAGCGATCTGAAGAGCGCCAGAACCCTGTCGACAAGAAGGCGGCTGACAAGACCGAGCGAAAGCGGTTGACCCGGCGTTCCCTGGCGTCTTCCTCCAACCAGCCTTCAGCACCGGAGCCTAGCTCTGAGGACGCATCTAACAAGTTAGAATGTGCCGATGAAAAAGTCCTTGAAGATCCTGAAGCTCCAAGCGCAGAAGGAGAAGGTGCACTTGAAGCCTTCGTAGATGGCCTGGAAGAGGATGATTCGGATACAGAAGCGCCTGAACCGGGAGCCGTAAACATGGAAATTGGCTCTAGTGGCAAGGTGACGGCTCGAAAAGAAGACGGTACCAGAGTGCTTACCCCTCAGCCAGGGACACCGGTTCCTGGCAGCACTCGCCCACCATCCTCAGGACAATCGCCAGGGCCATCTCCAGCGGGGCCAGGAGTTCGTCCTTCATATGCCCAAGCCCTTGCGTCGATTCCTCAAGATTGGCACATTGAGTTCAGCATCGATGGGAAGATTATCCCAAACAACACAACCATCTACCGAGCAGTCCACCATAACCGTGACCAGCCACGGCTTCCTGCATCGCGGAGCGTCTGGTCTGGTGTCCATACAGTCAAATTCAGAAAGGTCCGCGGCCCTCCTCCTACACCTTCGAATACGTCGACGTGGGACGAGAGCGAAACCCGGGGATCCCAAAATGGCCTGCCGGCATCGTTCAGCGACCATCCCGTCACTTCTTCTATTCTCGCTCTGCTCCGAATCCTTCACGAGCTCAACGCAAATCTTGATGAGCTCCAAGATTCTATTGGACAACTGGGGACAAAGCTCTACCCAGAATCCCTTGCATCCTTCATCAACACCAAGCTGACGGCTAAGATGAATCGCCAACTGGAGGAACCCCTGATTGTGGCTAGTAACTGCTTGCCAGATTGGAGCGAAGACCTTGCCCGGTCGTTCCCGTTCCTGTTCCCCTTTGAGACGAGACACCTTTTCTTGCAGTCAACCTCGTTTGGTTATTCACGTTCTATGATTCGATGGCAGAACAGCCAATCAGAGAACGATGACCGGCGCGATCGTCGCCGAGACGACAGACCTATGCTGGGCCGGCCTCAGCGTCAGAAAGTGCGCATCTCTCGTCATCGTATCTTGGAGTCAGCCATGAAGGTTATGGATATGTATGGTGCCTCGCCCAGTGTCCTGGAAGTTGAGTACTTTGAAGAAGTCGGAACTGGTCTCGGACCCACCCTCGAGTTTTACTCGACCGTGTCGAAGGAGTTCTGTAAGAAGAAGCTGAAGATGTGGCGTGAGAACGACTCGGGTGAGAATGAGCAGTTCGCTTTTGGCAAGAATGGTCTATTCCCGATCCCGATGAGCTCGGAGGAGAGCCGAAGCGAGGCTGGCAAGAAGTTACTGCTGTTGTTCAAGACGCTCGGCAAATTCGTGGCTCGATCGATGCTTGATTCGCGCATCATCGACATCGCATTCAGTCCAACGTTCTTCAAGATGGGCGGGGCCAGCAATGTTGCTCCCTCGATTGGCCTGTTGCGCACAGTCGACCAGGACCTGGCCAATTCTCTATCTCAGCTTCAACAATTCCTCAAAGCCAAAGCAGGAATCGAACTCGATTCATCCTTGACAGAAGACGAGAAGACGCAGGCGATCGGGGATCTCACAATCCGGGGAGCCAAAGTTGAGGATCTCATGCTGGACTTCACCCTGCCTGGCTATCCTAGCATTGAGCTCATTCCAGATGGCTCGAACGTCAGCGTGACCATGAAAAATGTCCAGCAATATGTCGAGCGAGTCCTCGATCTTAGTCTGGGAAGCGGTGTACGCGCTCAGATTGAGGCGTTTCAGACCGGATTCTCTCAAGTCTTCTCATACTCGTCTTTGAGGGCATTCACGCCGGATGAGCTTGTCATGCTATTTGGCCGCACCGACGAGGACTGGAGTATCGAAACACTAATGGACTCTGTCAAAGCCGATCACGGATACAACATGGACAGCAAGAGCGTCAAGAATTTGTTGCAGACCATGTCGGAGTTGACACTGCCTCAACGTCGCGACTTTTTACAGTTCGTCACTGGCAGCCCGAAACTTCCCATTGGAGGCTTCAAGAGTCTCACGCCGATGTTTACTGTGGTTTGCAAGCCTAGCGAGCCACCATACACATCCGACGACTATCTGCCTAGTGTGATGACTTGTGTCAACTACCTCAAGCTTCCAGACTACACCTCGCAGGCCGTGCTGAAGGAGAGGCTGTTTGTGGCTATTCGAGAGGGCCAAGGAGCATTCCACTTGTCCTAGAGACCGACTACAACCTGCAATGGGGGTCTGGGAGGATTACAAGAGAATGAATCATGCAAACATTGGGATTATGGTTCGAAGTGGCCTTGCAGTGCATCACTCTTCAATGGTAATAGGCATATTCTTGAGCTGAGGAAATAAACAAGACGGATCACAAGTAATGGTTGAGTCCCGGGAGCGAGAACTCCCTCAGCATGACCACAGGAAGGGACAACACGGCCTTCCAACTATGGCACTGGGACTAGGGGGGAACAGATCCGATCCGAAATGGACATATGGGTTGAAGGGTTCAGCGGACTCGTTTGCGTCGTCGGATGTGGTGATCAGGTATGGGGTTCAAGAAGCGGGCTGGCGGGCATGACTGGCTGGAAGGACATGGATCATGCCAACACACAGGTCGTTGATGGGATGCCAGCGGGTAAGCTGCCCTACCAATGATGGAAAAGAAAGGCCCTCAAAGGGAGAAACAGGAAAGACTGATAAGTGAGGCGAACTGGGTGCATTCGGGACCAATGAAGCCGTGAAGAAAGGGAGAGGAAGGAAAAAAGATTCCAAAATCCACATAGCTACATAGTTTTCAACGACAATGACACCCTCATGACGATAGGTAGAAGAAACACTTGCGCAAAGCTCGAGACGGATGAATCCTGTGTAGGTACAAGTGATCAACAGAGGTCGAGTCGGCTCGTGTTGGGCAGTTGGTAAAGTGAAGCATGGAAACATGACAACAAGACGAGCGTCGAGAAAAGAAGTTGAGAAGCCCAAATAGGCACAGCGAGACAGGTAGCGAGTATGACTTGGTGGACTGGACTGTCTATTCAACAACCACGGTGATGGTCCGTCTCCCAAGGACGAGGACCAGGATGAGGAAAAGCACGAGTACGAGTACGAGGCCGGGTACGGGAAGCTCTCTCTCTTTCTCTCTCTCTTTTTCTTTTCTGAGGTATCCATTCCCTCGGCGAACAACCTGGCATGGAGACCAAGCCTCGCGGGTCCTCGCGATGCGGCCGAGTCAGCATACGAGGTACGAGTTGACCAACGAGGGACTAGACCCAGAACGACGAGGGGGGACGAGAGGAGAGGGCCAGAGGCCGGAGGGCGTGGGGGTTTTGTCCATGTATTGATGTAGTGAAAGAGGACCAGGGACTAGGGAGAAGCGGGGGAATGAAAAAAAAAAAAAGAGAAGGAGCAGAGAACGACAGGTCAAGACCAAAGGACAAGTCTGGCGAATTACTGTACTGAGGACCTCGTACGGAGTACTGAGCAAGTTAAGTGACTAGGTACCTACCACCCATTACCTTACTCGCTATGTAGGTACTGGGTGGACCTATTTACGTACGTGCGTAGAGGGGGCGTGCGAGGACGAGGTATCGAGGTATCAAGGTACGGTAAAGAGGTAAATACAAGCAGTAAAAACCAACAGTGACGCTGACAAGTCGGTGACAAGTCGGCGACAATGACGAGTGCCACAAATGCTCTTGACATGGGTGCAGGAGAATGTTCTCCGTCCCAGCTTACTATACCGAGTACTCGCTACACCGGGCACACCAGATATGTACATGAAAGGTACCGAGTAGAACACACGAGCACATTCTGTGCCTCATCCTCCTTGGGGCCACCATAGGTCGAGTGCCACGTACTCGGTACCTGGTACCTCGTAAGCTGCAAGGTGGAATTCCCTCCAGCACGAGGCGCAGCAATCCTCCTCGTTTCATCCACCGTACATATATGGCGCACTCGAGAGCCGTGGGGTTCGCGAATTCCATACAACACAAGTACGACGTACTCCGTACCCAACCACCTCGCCCTCTGTATGATTTTGTCGACTTGGTACCCGTGTAGCATTCACGTCTCACGTCGGCGGTGGAAAGGTCTCAGGGAAAAAGGTTTGGTGTCATGCTCTCGTCGATCGGAGGAGAGCCGAGAGACCTTCCCAAATCAGGTGGCTCGTTACCATCTCAGGCCTAGAGATTGGTTGCGTTGCAATAGCTCCTCATAGCAGGTTGTGTCACAGACAGATAGGTAATGTCCCAGTTGCATCGTTGGGGGGACCAAAACTGACCCCACGTCCTGTCATCGACTCGTGCAAGCTGACTGGCCACGACAAGAAGGTTTTCTTTCGCCAAAGCGGGACGAAAGGGCTGGTGATGATCTACTTGCGGTGAGCAATCTGTCATCCTGGCACCTGGATATCCACGCCAGGTGGCAGTCCAGCCATGCTCGTTCCCTTGTCTGCCCTATCAGGCACAACTAGGCTCGGGCCTGACCGGAGCAGGATCGGTGGGTCTCGGCAGTTCTGATCAATCTGAGACGAGCCAAGCGACGAGGTCGTTTCTGGAAGACAGGGAACAATGAAGAGTGGAAAGCAACGGGTATGGATGGAGTATGTGTTCCTTGGCCCTTGGATCCACTGGGTTCGCACGAGGAAGACAAAAATATAATCCCAAGCAATATCCAGAGGGATATGTAAGCCCAGGCCATCTCGACTTTTGGGCATGTGTGGCTCATTGGCAGCATCACACACCGGAGTTTGGAATCCTCTTGTTGAAAACCCGAGATTCGGGGGAGCCAAAATATACCGACAATGCCTCGTTAATCTGCTGCCGCCCGTTACAAAAGTTCCATCGAGAGCTGAGAGGCGGAGTTGGCACAGGCGAACAATCACGCATCCCGGTGTGACACGGGTGGGTGGCTCTCTTCGGGCGCTTGAACCAGGCAGATGGGCACCACCTGCTGGTGATCTTGCGCGTTTGTTGCTGACCGGCGGTGCTGACTGTCGCTAGTCTTCATGGTAAGCGAGTTGCTTCTTGATCCTGTCCCCGACCCAGGCTTAGAGTTTAGGCTAGACCGCGAGCCGCTTCCTCGGTATCGCTCTGAATACACATGTTGGGGCCAGGCACTGCTGTGGTCGCCCGAACTGTGGCTGGGAGTGGGACCATGTCGACTGGCATAGCCTTGTCTACTTCCCCGGGAGTAGCTCCGCTCGTTTCGGGCATACTGCGCCATCTTCTCCCTCTGGAGCTGCTTGACCAGCATGCCGCGCCTGAGGTTACGGAGACTCACCAGCAACAGGGCAAAGTGCAGGCTCCACACGACCGTCCCAAATGCGATGCCTGCAAGCTGCAAGTTCCCGATGTCGTAGAGCGTTGGCGCACATTCCCGAGTAAAAATATTCAGCATATTGCACACGAGGATCCCGGACTGTGTGCGTACTGCAGGCTGCCAGACACGAAACAAAGAGCCGTAGCCGGCGAGGAGCAGGGCCGGAAGAAGGCTGAGCAAGACAAGAATAGGGACCGTCGTATGTATAATCAGACCTCGTCGGGAAAGCGAAGGGCGAAGACTCGAATCCTCCGTCGATCGCGAGTTCTGTTGCCTTCGTTGCCGAACCAGGACAATCGCATGATAGACGAAGGCAAATATTAGGGGCCCTAGGGGCATGCCGTCGGTCCAGTCGCCCCTATTGGGGCCTGTATTGTGGAAGAAATTGGCGTTCCATCGGGGAATAGCCGCCGCAAAAAGTGAAATGGCGATCAAACTGGCCAGCAGACTCGCGAGATGCAGTGCTGTAATGAAGCGGCGCCGTAAGCGGTAATGACGACTAGTGGGTGGCGGTGAGAAGTCGGCGGGGTAAGTTGAAGTCAAAATGAGGGTTTTGGAGCCGAGCATCTTGGATGGTAGGGTCTTGTTGATGCTCAGTGTGCTGACAGGTGTCGTATGTGGTCATAAAACAATATCTCAATGCGGACGTATAACGGGCGTCACAGCGTAAAAGGTCGTCAAGAAGGCCGAGAAAAAGCCAAGTCTCTCGCCAGCGAGACTGTTGAAAGTAAAAAGGGTATAATGATGCTGCAGATTCCACTGCGCAAGGCGGTAAGCAAAGTACGGTGAAAGGGAAGGTAAAGGAGAAGTAAAGAGAGAGAGAGACAGAGAGAGATAGAGAGAGGAAACCAGAGAGAGACGGAGCAGTAGGAGAGGGAGATATTGCAGAATCCATGTTGTTCTTGGTGTCGCGGCCTGTATCAGAATTGTTAATGGTCGTCAAATGGTCGCCAAATGATCCTGCGACGCTTCATGAAGGAGGTTGTAACGACTGGAACGTGTTTGCGAATCAAAAGGGCCAGAGGAAGTGGTCTGGACGACGATGAAACGATATAGCGAGCCAGGGGGGAGGCCTAGCGTGTCGCCGTCAGCCTGACCTGTCACTCCCTGTCACTCCCTGTTGACCGCCCAGGCCAGCGATTGGTGAAAATCGTCCGCGCCTCTCGAGAAGGCTCCAACGGCTCAACGGCAATGGCCACGGGGAACGCCCATGATTGTCTCCGTCAAGCCAGACCCCCACTGATCCCCCCCTCTAAAGCGGTCACGGCGGTCTACGCCATCAGCCGGGGGGGCTCCTGAAGGGCTCTAGCTTCCCTAAGGCTTAAGCTGGCCAAGGCGTGCATCATCCCTGGCCGTCCTGGCTGTCCTTGAGTGCCTGGCTGCCCTGGGACCCTTGGGGCCCTGGCCATGCGGCGCCGCATCCGGGTAACCTATTCTGCTGTAGAGTGCCTCGCAACGGCTAGAGACCGATTATGGAATTCCTCTGACAGCAAAGCCCACTGTTGGTCCTTGTCGCTTGGCAATTCCACGGTGGGGCAGAGCCCAATTGGAGGGGCAGGTTCTGGTAAGAGAAGGTCGCAAAAATGCGTAGTGGGAGGATAGTGCACTTGGGCAGGAGTGCCAGTGCAGAAACCTGGTCACCGTGACAGGTGACGGACGGCTATGTCCTTTCCCTCCGGCATTCCAATTTGGAGTCAGGCTGAAAAAGACATCGAGGGTCCTGGGGTCATCCATTATTGCAGGCCAAATTCTTCCTGTGCTGTGCTGTCCACTTGCTGACCTCTTCCCCTTCTGCCGTACCCGTTGGAACTCGCAGATTCCGATTCGATTTCGATATGAGCACAACGCCCATCAGGCTGCGAGACTCTCCCGCTCAAGTGCAGGAAAAGCTTGGCCTCAGCAACCGACAGTTTGACAACTTCAAGAACTTTGCCCGGAGGGTCCACGGTGAATACTGTGCCGCTCATCCCAATTCCAAATGGGCCGACGTCAATGCCGTCTGGACCGCCGTGCCCGAGCGAGAGAAACTCGATGTCATCCGCCTCATGTACAACCTGTGTACCGAATCCAACCTATTCCCTCCTACCACCGCACGAGCCGTCATCGAAGCAGGCATTGAACAGAGACTGCACCAGGTGCGGCGTACCTGGCAGCAGACCTCGAGGACAAGGACGAGGCCGTCAGCACAAGGGGATGATGGTGGATCCTGATGATGACCACACTAGTGCACTGGCTCGATGATACTCCGTATATGCCCGACACATTTGAGCAGTCGCAGCATCCAGTCCACGCACTTCTTGTCTGCGACAGCCTACCAGCCCTTGCCGAGATCCTGTTCCAAAAAGAGACCACATACTTTTCGGCGCTGCAAACCGCAACGCAACAGAGATATGTCCCACCGAAAAAGTCAGTGGAGGAGCCGGCAGAGCAGTGGGTGGAGAACCGAGCATTTCCCAGAGGAGGAGGGTTTCTTAAATACACCGGCTTTCAGCCCTATCATAATCAGAATGACCGTGCAGTGTTCGAGTTGTCCCACGCATATCGTGTGTGCCGATGACGATGAGGCTTTGGATTCCGGCAATCAGGGCGCAGAAGAAAGGTGCACTAGGCTGTGTCGCGACTGGGCTGAATGCAGGACGATTGCATGGCTGAAGGTTGGATAGGCCGGTTTGGCCAGCAAATCTGGCCCGTTCAGCCCAACTCTCGGATGGACAAGGGGCGCCGGGTCGGAAGACGGTAGACTCGGGAGGGTTTTGGTGAACCTACTTGTAAGACTGGGGTGCGGGATTGGTCTAGGTAATGGTGGTCATGGTGTCGCGGCCGATCCATGTCGACTTGTGCTGCAGCTCACTCAACGTGTCGGATTTTGGCCGGGGGCCGTGCGCTGGGAGAAAGATGCTCTATCATTGAACTGATAATAGTCTCCGAATGGACAATACCTTGAAACTTTCTTCCAAGCGACTCCGGAACTTTTTTTTGCTGAACACGTTACGTTTCGAAATCCCCGTCGATGCAGTTTTGAGTTCCCCAGTGCTGACAATACTGTAACTTAAAGCCTGGGGAACATTGTCGGTCCAATGTTTAATGCTCGTAGCAGGTATCCGCTGTCTTCTCGTCCAGATAGGAAACCCGCTGTCGTACAGGGTATAGAACTGTGGTCGATGCTCAAGGCCGACCTGCTTGATCCGGCCACTTCTCCTACACCATGGTGTGAACGATATCTAGCCGTACGTCCGAAGGCGGTCTTGATGGGGTATATAAGGTTGTAGCTTATGGATAGTCGAGTAATAAATTGGCAGGTGAACAGTTGGAGTCCAAGGCAGATCCGGGTAATGAATGCCGTCAAGGAGACCTGGAGGACTTTGTTTTCAGATGCGGACTGAGGGGACCTGGTCTTAGGACCTCCTCATGCCATCTAGTCGACATTCAACAGTTTTTTCCACGATCCGCTTGAGCAAACCTTGATCTGGAAGTGCAGGACACCGTGATGGAAAGGCCCGTCTTAGCGAGACAAGGGAAGATTGGTGGTTGGCTCGGGTGTGTGTCTGCGAGTGATTGGGAGGATCTAGCCTTTAGGGATTACTTGTGGTCCCCAAAGAGTGATCGTGGGATCCTGGGGGTGGCTGGGTTCTTTGTTAGCTAAGGGTTCATCTTTGGTGGTCTCCAACTTAGCCACGATGATCTTGCTGTCCTGATTCGATCGTGGAACGAAGGTGTTTTTGAGGCACACACTGAACGGTAGTGAGAGATTCAACTCCAACGTCCTATGCAGACGGGTGAAAGCTGCTTGGTGCCGCATCACGCCAGGGTTGACATCAGAAGCAAGTTTGCAACTGTACGTCTGGACCAGTACCGAGTAGATAGATGGCCTTGGAAACTCCTCTTATCTGGTTGGGGGTGCACTGAGGCTGGAGGCTTGGGGCTTGTGGTGGCGCCCAGCGCCTCATGACGCAACCGTGGTGAGGTCACTCCCGCCAGGAACAAGTTAACGAGTGGCCTACCAGCCCTACCCAGGAAGAATTACTCAGGCGCTCAATTTCCTTGTTCAGTCTTCTTCCAGCCTGTCTTCTCGACCGCGGTACTTTTGGCGTTAGTTATGTAGATGTCATCTACGAGTCTTGCTTGACAGAATTCTTGTGAAATACGTTGCAGGGTCGATTGCTTGGATTTTCCCGGTCTTGCGTTCCAAGTTGACGGAAGCAGCCATTCCTTGTGTCCATTGTCAGAGAGCCCACCAAGCTTGCGGACAGTCACTATGCTGGAGGAATCATCGTAGCACCTCATATGGCGCAAATGCTCGCGCCTCTGGCCTCTTCCGCTACAGATTACAAGACCAGTCCTACCTTCGATCCTCCTCCCACCTCATTTCCCTACCCGGAACGACCGAAATCAGAACACAACGACTCCCGTCAATGCTCAGAAACTACACTGCATAGTGGGTCACATACACAGAATCAAGAGAGTATCAAAGAGGTTGGACAAGATGCTGGACAGAATGGCAACTTCGAAAGGCCGCGCCTTGCTTCGCGCAAGTTCGAGACAGAAGTTATTAGCCCTACTACCTCGAGGACTTCAGCACCCCTCAGACAGCATCGGTCCACGGTGAACTACCCGGCTTTACGAAATACTGAACCTCGAATATCTTCGGGCGAGTCGGACACGTCGTTTTCCTCAGATGAAGACAACATAGCTGGAATGCACAGGGTAAAGACTTATCCCGCTCACAATGCCCTCTCAAAATCCCAGCTGAATCGAGTTCGGACTCACCGGAGGCCGTCTCATCTGAAGGTAGGAAACGAATTCTTTCAATCCCAAGGGAGAGTAGCCAGGGATGGCAGATTGAATATCTCGGTCAATGAGACAGCTCAGACAGGCTACCTTGCCAAAGCGCTAGGCGCAACCATTCGACATCAGCTGGGTCCCGACTACCAAGAGGAGGCAAAAGTGGCGGACAAGGCTAAGGCTGATTTCCTCAGAGACAAGCACAACCTTGTCATTCCTTCGATGAACATAGTAATTATGGTCATTGGTAGCCGTGGCGACATTCAGCCCTTTTTGAAAATCGGGAAGATTCTGAAAGACAAGTACCACCACAGGGTACGGATTGCATCGCACCCTACCTTCAAGCAGTTCGTTGAGAAGGAAGTTGGTCTCGAATTCTTTTCTGTGGGTGGAGATCCCTCCGAACTGATGGCATTCATGGTCAAAAATCCTGGGTTGATACCGACGCTTGAGACTGTCAAGTCCGGAGAAATAGGCAAAAGGCGTGAGTCGATGTATCAAATGTTCCAAGGGTTTTGGAGGGCGTGCATCAATGCTACCGACGACGAAATGGACGTGGCGAACCTGGAGTTAATGCGCTCGAAGCCTCCTTTTGTTGCCGATGCCATCATTGCCAATCCGCCTTCTTTCGCTCATTATCACTGCGCAGAGAGACTGAGTATCCCGCTACACTTGGTCTTTACCTTTCCTTATTCCCCTACGCAAGCGTTTCCTCACCCGCTGGCCAATATCAAGGCTTCCAATGTGGACCAGAGGTACACCAACTTCATGAGTTATCCCTTGGTCGATCTGATGACATGGCAGGGACTGGGCGACTTGATCAACCGATTCCGTGCCCAAACTTTAGGATTGGAACCTGTTTCAACTCTCTGGGCTCCTGGTCAACTCTCTCGTCTCAAGGTTCCGGTAACATATCTCTGGTCGCCGGGCCTGGTGCCGAAGCCTCAGGACTGGGGTCCCGAGATAGACATCGCAGGCTACGTCTTCTTGGATCTGGCCACCTCTTACAATCCTCCAAAAGATCTAGTGAAGTTTCTCGAGAGATCAGATGAAAGGCCGATTGTTTACATAGGTTTTGGCTCAATCTCGGGAATCAGCGACCCGGGGGCATTCACGAAGATGGTTTTCGAGGCAGTCGAGAAGGCTGGTGTTCGTGCTGTGGTCAGCAGAGGATGGGGCGGTATGGGGGATGGTATGGACAAGCCCGACGGCATCTTCCTGATTGACAATGTACCCCACGACTGGCTTTTTCCACGTGTTGACGCAGTGGTCCACCACGGTGGTGCTGGAACCACAGCTGCGGGGCTGAGGTTCGGCAAGCCAACAATGATCGTTCCCTTCTTTGGAGATCAGCCTTTCTGGAGTGCGATGGTCGCAAGAGCGGGTGCGGGTGCGAAAGAGGCATTACCTCTGAAGAAACTTGACAGCGACAAATTCGCTGAGGGGATTCGTCAGTGCCTCGAGCCCGAAGCCAGAGCCAAAGCGGAAGCCATTGCTCAAAGCATTCAAGAGGAAGGCGATGGGGCAGAGAACGCGGTGGACTCTTTTCACCGCCACCTAAATCTCGATGGTCCCTATTCGATGCGTTGTAGCATCTTCCCAGATCGCGTTGCCGTGTGGCAGACTAAGCACGCCAATACACGACTGTCGGCACTGGCAGCGAATCTGCTGGTGGAAAGTAAACAGATAAACTGGTCCAATTTGGAGTTGGCCAAAAACCATGAGTGGACGGACTTTCAAGGACCTGGGGAGCCTATTACCGGTGCCGGCGGCGTGCTCGTTCAAGCTTTCCAAGAAGCATTTCGTGGTCTGATGACGATGCATGAGACGACGAAACGAGACATCAAACACTACGAGAAGCGCAGGCGCAGGCAAAAGCAAAAATCAGCAATTGAAGGACTGACCCTGCCAGGACGGATTGCGTTGGCCACGCGTGGCACGTCAGTTGACGAGCAGAGGAGAGAGCATGCAAGGCTCATGCAACAGGTCAATTTCCATGGAGAGCCAGAGCCAATGAAGTTGCCCTTTGGTCAATCCGGACTCAACCAGTCCATCGCTAGGGATGCCTCGAAGTTGTCCAGGACCACAACAACAAATTCGGATCGCACTGACCCAATGGTCGTGATCTTGAAAGATGTGGGAAAGGGGATCGGCCACTCCAGCAAAGCCATTGCAGTACTTCCTTTGCAAATGTGGAATGCCCTGGCTCTTGGATTTCACAACGCACCCCGGTTGTATGGCGACAAAACCGTGCGGCCTTCTCCGCAAGGGATCAACGGATTTCGCGCGGGGCTGGAGGTGGCGGGCAAGGAGTTTTGGTTCGGGCTTTACGACGGAGTGACAGGTGTCGTCCGCATTCCCTACCTCGACGTCCAGGAGGATGGGATGTCGGCGTTGCCCAAAGGCATTGCGCGAGGCATTGGCGGGTTGGTGTTGAAGCCTATCTCGGGTTTGCTTGGTCTAGGAGCGTACACAGCGAAAGGAGTCCACAGCAGTGTTCGACGACGAGTGCGAGATACCCAGAAGACTGAGCGATGGATCCAGCATGCGAGAATCGCGCAGGGGCACAGAGAAGCTCAGATGTTGGAAGAGCGGAAACAGGGCAGCTCTGAGTTACCCCAACCACACTGTCCCATGCTGCCCGACCTTACAGAGGCTCGCAAACATGCACTGCACCTGTGGACGATGTATGAGAAGGACAGGATGACAGAGGAACGGGAAAAAGAAAAGCGGCTGCTTCTACTGAACAAGACGCGCGGTGAAAAGACTTGATGGGTTGGAGGAGCACGAGAAGGAATTGGAGGATGCGTGCCAAGTGCCACACCAACGCTTGTTCTTTCCGACCCTCTCGGCTTAAAGTCCCTCTACAGTCACGGGTCTAAACCTCATTATGTCATTTGCGTGATCGTTCAAATGCAGGTCATTAACCAATCAACTATCGGCGATAAGCTTCGGCGCAAGGGGAATGCGGGGAGGCTGCATGAACGCCACATTTTCCTGGCTTCAGATCAAGAGGGTTGCGTTTTCTTTTTGTTGCTGGCTTGAAGATACCCCATCCTGTTAGATGGTTTGTTTTGTTCGTTTAGGTAGCAGTCAAGCGATTAGGTGGATGGACTGACGGATATCACAAGAGGCGGGACACATAGACCTACACACAACTCGCTTAGCAAGGCGAACAGGAGCTGGGGAGAACCAAAGTCTGCGTTGCACGAGACGTTTATGAAAAGAGACGAATGTTCTCATCATCATACGCGGTGGTTGATGGATTGGCAATGGGTACCTGCAAGGTACAACGGCCTGACAAGTAGTAATAATAATAACTGGGGCGATGACAAGAACGAAACCGCTGGGCACACCGAACGGCAAAGGTGCCTGCCTGGCTCCGGCCCCTCGGGTTGATGATAATACGACATCGTAAGCAGCCGTGCAGTTCATCGCGAAAAGGCGGAGGGAGGAGAGTCAAGGAGAGGTGGGGGTGGTTGAACGATTGTCTGTTCGAGTAGCTGCTCATTATTCGCCTGTTTCGCTTCATTTGCCTCCACAGCAACTGAGAGTTGGATCTGGAATGTCTCGTGCTACTGAGCTAATTTACCCGGAAGCCCAGAAATTGGCATCTGAGTTGGATTCTTGGGTGTGCTGACCGTCCAACCCACGATTACATGCTGGACCAGTCGCAATGGCAAGAAGTGCGCCTTGAGGTATGGCCGTCATCATCACCGTCGCTCTTGTGCGCAGTGAGCAACATCGTCAATGCCTGAGGATGTGCTACGTAGCGAGCGAGGTTGGCCATGGCGTGAGGGAGGAATATCCGATCGACTTCTTTTTGTTTTTCCTTATCTTGAGCTGCTCTCTCACTAGTCGATTAGACCCAGTCTCTCTCAAACCCCAATGGATGCAAGGACCAGTAGGGAGGAATAATTACAAGTAGTGGTTCCGGTAGAGGTGGTGACCAGGGCTGGACCCTTGAAGCCTTAGGAATCTCCAACTGTTAAGCTGACGGTTTTAGTAACGACCCGGGCATCACTCCAACATGACTGGCTCGTGGCTCGGGGGCGTATCAGCTGGGCTTCTTGATGGGCGGCCAGTGGTGAGAGGCCCAATTCCTCTGGCTTTTTGGTGGGGGAGGCACGAAGCGGCCATGCCCAAAGGCCCCCAACAAAGGCCTCACTAGCCCCTCTCCCCCCCCCCCCCCCCCCCCAACTGCAAGCTGCAGGCTGGCCCAGGGTCATCCAGGGTGCAATGCTGCCCCATTCGCCCATGCGGCAATGCCATGCACCTTTGTGACATTTATTTATTTGCTTGCTTCTTCTTTGTCCTTCCTGTTATCGCTCCTCTCTCACTTCTCAAAACTTCCTTTCTCCTCCTCGTCGCTCTCCCTCCTTGTTGTTCTCTCTGAACTACAATCACCAAGAACCTTTTGTTCTCCTCTCTTCTGTCTCTATCCACATTGTTCAGTCTCGTCACTTGCTCGTCTTATCCACCATGGTGAGTTCCCTAGCTATGCTTGCGGCGAGAGCCTCACAACATCAAAACTGGCATCGTTCATATGGACTGACATTCGTCTTACAGGCTGGCGTCGGTGAATCTACCATTGTTTCCAACTCCTCCAATGTGAGTCTCCCACACTGCGCTCGAACGTCTACCCTCGATCACGACCCTGCGCTCTTGCGCCGGACACCACGCACCATTCGAACACTCACTAACCTATCTCACAGTTGGAGAAATACATGAAATTGGACCAGAAAGGCAAAGTCCTTGCTGAATACATTTGGATTGACGGATTCAACGGCCTTCGAAATAAGACAAAGGTAAGCACATTTGCGATATTTTGTCCATGCAATTCATCCCCTCGGTGCCTCCATCTGGCATTTCGACACGAGACCTGCCCATGGCCATAGTGGGCGCGCACCCTCAGCCCGAAATCCCGCCAAAAACCCAAAAAGTCCCGAAACGAGAACTCGGCTGCCACTTTCCTGTTGGCAGGGGTGCACCGCCGGGCTGGAAAGACCCCACGTTGGGAAACCCAGTTGCGGCGGCGTCACAGTCAAAAAGTGGCGTGGCTTATCCACCACCCGTTCTCGACCCCTCCGAGGCTGCGCCGCCCACTTGAAATCAGCCATGCGCCAATCGCCTTTCACCCGATCTCGGCATTTCCCAAGACGACAATCAAACCACCCCTTGGCCCGCGCCATAGACAGCCGAGCATTGACGCGGCTCCACCGAGACTTGACACATCGAAATCCCATTATTACTTGCAGAAATGGCCACAGGCTGACTTGAAACTTCCAGACTCTTAGCGAAGCCCCCAAGAGCGTCGACGATCTTCCCGAATGGAACTTTGACGGTTCATCCACCGGCCAGGCTCCGGGCGACAATTCTGATGTCTACATCCGGCCCGTGGCCATGTACCCCGACCCAATCCGTCTAGGCGAGAACGTCTTGGTTATGTGCGAGACCTGGGACCCCGATGGAACGCCCAACAAGTTCAACTATCGCCACGAGGCTTTCCGATTAATGGAGGCCAACGCCGCCCACAAAGTGTGGTTCGGTCTGGAGCAAGAATACACTCTCTTGGCCGCCGACGGTTGGCCGTATGGCTGGCCTAAGGGTGGCTTCCCCGGACCCCAGGGACCGTACTACTGCGGTGTTGGCACTGGCCGTGTCTACTGCCGTGATATCGTCGAGGCACACCACAAGGCATGCATGTATGCCGGTATCAACATTTCGGGGACCAACGCCGAGGTGATGCCCGCTCAATGGGAATACCAGGTTGGTCCCTGCGAGGGTATCGATTGTAAGTCACACGGCATGGGTTGCGCAGCGTCGCGAAAGATAGCTGACTCAATGTACAGTGGGTGACCAACTCTGGGTTTCACGATGGCTTCTCCACCGTATCGCCGAAGAATTTGGCGCCAAAGTCTCATTTCAACCCAAGCCTATCCCGGGTGACTGGAACGGAGCTGGCCTCCACACCAATGTGTCGTCCAAGGAGATGCGAGAAGAGGGTGGTATGAAACACATCGAGGAGGCCATGAAGAAGTTGGAGAAGCGCCACGTCGAGCATATCAAGGTCTATGGCGAAGACAACCACCTGCGTATGACCGGTGCACACGAGACATCAAGTATTGACAAGTTCACCTGGGGTGTTGCCGACCGAGGATCATCTGTCCGCATTCCCCGAGCCTGCGCCCGAGAAGGCAAGGGTTACTTTGAGGACCGACGACCAGCATCCAATGCCGACCCATACCGTAAGTCTCAAACCAGTTTGCTGCCGCCTAGCATGTGCTAACTTATGCGTGTCACAGAGGTCACTGGAATGATTGTTGAGACGTTATACGGAAGTCTGCCAGAGGAGAAGAAGTAAGCTGCTCATTGCGATGAGCTAGAGGGACGGACGAAGCGAGAGCAATAATACGAGACTAAAGAGACAGTCCACCGAGATGTGGATTGCCAGGGTTTTGTGATGGGGAGTTTACTTGCAACTGATGGAGGTCGCTGCTTAACATAGATCGAAGAAAGAGCGCTATTGAGGTTCAATATCATGATGCAACAACCCAACCATCTCTCTATTCCTTTCCTACAGTAGTGATGCCCGTTTCAAAAAATATGTATTCCCTTTCAAATCAATTTCTTGCGGCTTTGTTGAGAAGTGAAAACCAAGTCCGGAGTCGGAGAGACTTGGAGACCCATCAACTACGCGTAGTAGGAGTATAACATCACCGTGTTGCCGTGCCCTTGAGTTAGTGACACTTGTCTATCATCGTCCAATCTACTCTGTTAGTGCATTGAAGCTGGTTCAGTGGTGACTCGTGATAACGGCGGATATTAGCCACGAAAGATCTTCTCGAGAGTTGATTCGAGACATTGGGACAACAAACAACCAACCAAAGATTGCGCTCGTTCTACGTTGAAAACCGTCCGACCGTCTCTCCGTCCAATGGGAAACGAGGCGAAAAAAAGTGCATAGAAAAAGGAAATCCCCCAGATAATAACGTGAGATGCCATTGGGAGAAAGATTCGTGCAGGGAGGGGAAAACAGGCGAGGTTGCAGGTGGCACTATTATGGCGTAATCGAGCTGGTGTCAAACGCGAAGGGTCGGGACGGGAGGCATATTGCTTCTTTAGATAGGGAGGTAGACTGTCATGCTGGTCATCGGATCGCCCTTGGAAGGTCATCTCAGGTGAGCTGTTCTGAACTATACTCGCAAGGCTGGTTGGCACATTCATTCGTCCCCGCTATCAAGTGATCTTCGTAGCTCACTTCCCCGACGATCAACAGAACCGGACGCCTGGGAAGGGAAGAGGCAGAGGGAAGAGGGGGGACGGGGATCCTCACATCAATCCTTGTAAATCCTCGAATGAGCCTCGCACACACGCGCGTGTATTGTAGGGTGTTTTCCACTCAATCGGCACCCGCCCTACTTCATTGGTGTAATCTCAGTCCAAGTACTCGTACGGTTGTCTGGGCTGAGTACCGTGCTAGGCCCGCTTTTGTAGCGTGTAGAGACCGTGCTAAGGACGGTGTCCGTCCCCAGTTATCCGATCAAACCCGGTGTTGGTAGATTCATCATCAAGCTCTGTGTGCCCAGAACGGCAGCACATGGCGCCCGAACTCTCTCCTCAAGGTTTGATGTCTTGGAAGAGATAACAGAGACAGGGGTGGCATGACTTTTGCCAGAGAAACACGAAGCCATACGAAGACGAGATTGTTTTGTAGTTTCTTTTTGTGGAGGATTGGGTGTGGAGAGGGGGGTTGTTCAGCTTTGTGGCGCGGATAAAACAACAAAGACATATAACGACTGATAAAGATGCAGAAGGGAGGCACGGCACTCACGATCCTTCTCCGGGGGGTTCTGAGCTGTCGTCGATTCGACAATACCTGATGCACCTTCTGTTAAAGGGCCATAAGCGATAATCTGGGTGAAAAATTTCTTTCACCCCTGGACAAAAAATTTTCCCTTTAAGCGTGACCTGGAGAAGTTGGAGGAGGTGTGGTCGATGAGCAGAGGGAGCTAATGCGTGAAAAGATTATGCGCATCATGCGACAGGTCTATCGCAGAGGCTGAGGGACTCCAGATTGGGATTGCCATTGTTTTCGCATGCACCCCAGTTTGTGCATGGCTATAAGCTATGATCCCCCAGACGGAGGCTGCGAGGTTCCGTCGCTGAGAAAGGAGATACGTTGCTTGGCTGCTCACGTGCCTATGACGTCAAACTATTTCCGCTTGGCATCATTGGCTTTCGCTCGCTCGGTTAAAGTGGACAGACAGTCGCCGATAGGGAACAGAAAATAAGCTGGGCCCTTGCATGAGGCTAATGCCCGCGCTGCGTCTTTTGCCGGGCTCATCCCTGCATCGGGTCTGCACGAAAATCATGAAAGTCTGATAAGCTTTGCCGTTCCCATTGGTCGTTTTCAACCTCTATCTTGAATCACTCGTCGACGAAATGAATAACCACGCTGATTACACCGTGTTTTACACCTGGTTGAAAGCTGCAATTACCAGAAGCAATTCTCTTCGCTTCTTGCCGTCTTTAAGAACTGCCTTGGCATTACGAGACACAAATCTCCCTCAACCGAAAAATTTTCTCTTTGTCGCGTGTGTTGTTGGGCTGTTGCTTTTGCCAGCAGGGTTGTTCACCCTCTCACTACCAAGTCTTCCCGATATCGGGCGAAAGTCTATTCTCGAGTCAATCCGTCAGTCAGTCAGTCAGTTGTACCGAATACCAAGTCCATCTGTCCGTACGCCGTACGGTACGCCTGCAGGATGGCCTTGCGATCGACTGATGAGGTCCCCTGAGATATTCACAGGCCAAGGCTTTGGAGCCGACTGGACCACGTCTTCCGTGCAAACATGTCTTTGATAACAATTGACAGCTAACCACTCACCGAAGGACAATATGATCAGGCTGGGGATCTCGGCCCCAAAAGCCGTCGAGTCTTGTAACAGCTTCTCGTGCTGCCAAGCCACCAGACATGCATCCAGATCACAGATACGGATTCAGCTTTTTCGTCATGAGCATTGTATTGTTTTCTTTTCCTCGGTTTCGGTCCGCGCGGGCTCGTGCTAAGTGCGAACCACCAACCAGCTACGACAACCCCACAAATTTCCAAACAAGCTGCAAGTCCAACAGACCACCAACGAGCGATTTACCGTACCCAGGTACCTCCCTAGTCTTGCCCAATCCGCAACAATACCTCGAGGAAGACAAGGAAAAGAGGTGGAAGATAAAGACAAGAAAAGAAAAGAAAAACACCTCAAGCGGCTCATCCCAGTCCACAGACACATACGGACACAAACCCAGAGGCCACCCGTAACAAGCTCCTCCCCCGGTTCCTGTGACATGCGGTCCACTCAGATCGCCGTGACCCTTGCTCCATCGAGACCGTCACAGATGCATCACCTCCAACCCTCGTTACTCCCACTCCGCTGACCCATGACGCGACACCGAACTTTTCCCACCCTGTCTAAATGTCCACTGTCCAGCTGTCCAATGTCGTTGAAAAACATCTTCTGAGGCTTTTAGCTCCGTCTTGTCGTCTTTCCCTTGCTTCTTCAGTCAAACATCCCTGGGGCTGTACAGTCTTGGAAAACGGCATCCACCTCGTTTCGTATCTCTTGTCTCGCGTGCTTGACAGGCTTGATTGTTCCTATCTTTTATGTCGTCTGCCCTTATCATCGCCACGGCACCAACCACGTCGTCTCCTGCTGTCCGGTAAAGTCTTGAAAATTACTTCTTAGACTGCTGGCTTATTGGCACCTGATTTTTCTTTTTTTCACGACTACTCTTCTCTTCCTGCGACGAGGTATATATCTTGAGCTGGCCTGCCTGGGAGTTTGACAGCCTCGAAAACGCCCTTACCGAGGCTCACTCCCCTCTGCAGAACCCCGTCTCAATCACGGTGCCGTCACCATGTCGTCGAACGACATCGCTGACTTTCTCCCTTCGTATGCCTCGTACAACTGGACCGGCGCGCCAGCCGACTACTCTCTGGCTACAAATGAGAGAACAGGAGGAGACTCAAGTACGTTGTCTTGATCGCGTTCGGATGGCGGATTCTCTAACCATGGTGCAGGAACGGAGAATCTGAACAAATGGTATCAGTCGGGCGACCAGGCATATATCATCATCTCATCATGTCTGGTGTTGATCATGGTGCCGGGCCTCGGCTTTCTCTATTCGGGCCTGGCACGACGAAAGTCGGCCTTGTCCTTGATGTGGGCTTGCATGGCCGCAGGCAGTGTCATCAACTTCCAGTGGTACTTTTGGGGCTATTCACTTACCTTCTCCCCTACCGGCACAAGCGGCTTTATTGGAGATCTGGTTCACTTTGGCCTGAAACGAACTCTGGGGGCCCCCAGCCCCGGGTCGCCTCTGGTCCCTAGCCTCCTCTATTCCTTCTACCAGGTGAGCGACCTTGGTCCTTTTCTGGTAACACGACTCTGACGGGTGACTCACAGATGCAATTCTGCTGCGTGACCGCTGCTATCATTGCAGGCGCCGTGGCCGAACGTGGCCGATTAATGCCATTCCTCGTTTGGACCTTTCTGTGGGCCACCCTCGTGTACAACCCGATCGCGTGCTGGGTGTGGAATGTCAACGGATGGGCATTCAATTACGGTGTTATGGATTATGCTGGCGGTGGGCCCGTTGAGATCGGCTCTGGCATGTCTGCCTTGGCCTATTCCATGGTTCTGGGAAAGAGACAGGAGAAGATGATGCTCAACTTCCGCCCCCACAACGTTTCCTTTATCCTCCTCGGAACCGTCCTGCTATGGTTTGGCTGGCTAGGCTTCAACGGCGGTTCCTCCTTTGGAGCCAATCTCAGGGCTGTCATTGCTTGCTGGAATTCCAATTTGACAGCGACTTTTGCCGCGGCCGCCTGGGTTCTGCTCGATTTCAGGCTCGCTCGGAAATGGTCGATGGTCGGTTGGTGTTCCGGAACCATCTCTGGACTTGTGGCGGCCACGCCCGCGTCTGGATACCTTGACACATGGGGCAGTGTGGTGTTGGGCATTGTTACTGGCATTGGCTGCAATTTTGCCACCAAGAGTGAGCCATATCCAAGTCCCTTCTGCTTGGGCTTTTGTGGTGCTGACTGTTATTTTTAGTCAAGTATTGGGTCCGGATCGACGACTCCATGGATGTGTTCGCTGAGCACGGTGTCGCCGGCATGATTGGTCTGATGTTCAACGCTCTTTTTGGCGTCGACTACGTCGTGGGTCTCGACGGTGTCAATACAGGCGGCACCAATCCAACAACAGGCACTGCCATTGGCGGGTGGCCGATTGGGAACTATCGCCAATTCTATATCCAACTCGCCTATATCCTGGCATGCACGGGCTATGCCTTCGTCATGAGCGCCATCCTGGCTTATATTGTGAACTTTATCCCGGGTCTGCATTTGCGTGCTTCAGAGGAGGCCGAGCTGCTCGGCATGGACGATGACCAACTGGGCGAGTTTGCTTATGACTACGTTGAGGTATGTCCTTTTCCTTACAAAAGCACCCGCTTTTTTAGCCTTTTCAAATTCTCACGTCAATTGATACTAACCAACTTCCCTTGTTTGACAGGTTCGCCGCGACTATCTCGCCTGGACGCCGCAAAACCCGGACCAAAACGGTATCGACCCCAACATCCCCAGGGAAGATCGCTATGGCATCGGAGAACACTCGGACATGATCCGGAAGGCCGCCGCCTTGACCACCCCAGGCGAGTCGACTGAGGCCAGTACGCGCAGCCACCAGGAACTTCCCGCGCAGGGAGACCGGCACGCCATCAAAGCCGAAGATGCAGAGAAGGCCAGGCATGAACCAGAGGCGTAGGCTTCTCGTCTCTAGTCGTGTCTCTCTTCGTTGCCGCGTATGCGGGCCTGTGGCTGTGTGGCTGTCTTGCTGCGCTCCTCGGTGATCTGTCAAGTTGTGCGTACGCACGTCTCTACAGGTTTCAATCTGCTTGTTCCCTTTGAGATGGCTTGGCTGGACTAGGCCGTGTCCACTGGAAATGAACAAACACGCAAAGACCGGGAGACCACCACATCCATACATGCAAGCACAAGATGCAATCAGATGTCCTGTTCTTTCAAGGGTTCGCAAGTGCAAACGAACGCGAGGGCGAAAGCGGAGAGAAAGTTCCAAACTTTTACCCCACCTTTTTTGCGGTGCATTCTATGAACGAACCACAAAAAGGAATTCTTTTTATGATGTGCTGCAGCGAGAATATCCCACATTGGCTGTGATCAATATGTCTATGTCTAGATACAAGAATATATTACTTTTTTGAGCATACAATGGATCATCCGTGAGGCAACCCCCTTTTGTCACGGAAGAGAAGATTGAAAACGGTCTATTTTCTATGAACTGCAAGAGCTCGGGAGAAGGTAATCTCATTTGTTACAGTGAGGTTCCTTTCACTCCTGGTTCCCGCGTCTCGGTCGAGAGGAATTCCACCTAAAAGCACAAGGCACCTCCATCCACCCGCAGATCTGCGCCGGTGATATATCTCCCCGCCCTCCTACTACTGAGGAGGACGACGGGGCCGGTGATTTCCTCCACGTCGCCCATCCGGCCCATGGGACAGCGGCTGGCCCAGATGTCCCGCACGGGTTTCAGGTTGTCGCCGGCATTGAGCACCGTGTCCATGTACCCGGGGGAGATGCAGTTGACGCGGATGCCGTGGACTGCCCACTCGGCCGCGAGGTTCTGCGTCAGGTGCGCGACGCCCGCTTTGCTGACGTTGTAGGCCGCCTGGGGTTGGGGGAAGTTTGTCGCGTAGGCCGAGATGGAGGCGGTGAAGACGATGGCGCCGCCGGACTGGGAGGCGATCATGCGTCGCGCCGCGGCTTGGGCGCAGAGGAACGACCCCGTCAGGTTGACGTCGACGACCTTGCGGAATTGGCTGGCCGTCGCGGAGACGGAGTGCACGCACCCGACGATGCCCGCGAAGCAGCAGAGCACGTCGACACTGCCGAGCATCTCCTCTGCTGCTTGGAATGCGCGGTCCACCTCCGCCTCCGACGTCACGTCGACGGGGATGGTGTGGACTTTTGCGTTGGGGAAATCCTCCTTCAGTCGCGCTATCGCCTCCGAGGACGTCTGGATCGTCACGGGCAGGTCCATGAGGGCGACCCCACCGGCGCCGTGCTCCAGCAGTGCCCGCGCAGAGACCAGGGCCAATGTCCCCGCTCCGCCCGTCAGGACCGCGTTGCCCTCCACTTTGAACCTCGCGGCGGCTCGCTCTGAAGCGGACGTCGCCTGTACGGGGGCCAAGGGCGCCGTGAGAGGGTTTTCAGCCACCGAGAGACTCATGGTCGGGATGATACGCGAGGTGAGGGCTGCCCGCTCGTCCTGGTCCGCCATTGGTGCTGCCGGTATTGAGTTGGGTTCGCCCATTTTGGCGGTCTTGAGTGCGAAGCGAGTCTCTGACACAGTAGATCTCGGCGTAATGTGACGATTGATTGTCTGAGCGTATGTGTATTAAGAAAATAGGGGTTATCCACCTGTCTGTGTGGTGAGGTTATTGGCGGTGAGTCGTTAGAAGCAGGCACTGGTTTAGAGTAGGAAAGCAGAGAAATAATAAGGTCAGTCAGATAATAATTGACAGATTTCTATTCATCACTAGGGCTCACCGATCGACCTTGCCTCTCGACATTGACGTGACTTGACTTGTACCCTGTTGACGCGTTTCACTCTCTGTTTGTGTCTCAACGGTGTGTAGTGTTACTTCGCACTCGGTATGTAGTGACATCTTTTGGCATATTCTCGGCGAAAGATTGCCCGATCCGCCGACCACCAGAATATTTTTTTCTGAATTATTGTGCCACAGACACGCAGATCAATTTTCGAGTGACTGGCAGATTGGCTGGCATTTTCTACTCGGTACAGGTGGTACACCTCACAAATCAATTCAGAACCACTTGTCGTATCCCTGCTTCTCCCTCTTCCTACCTCGTCGAACACTCAGCAATGTCTCAACCCAGCCCGCTTCCGGGCCCCACGCCCACCGCGACAGCGTCCTCATCTCAATCTCTCTCCTCCCAGATCGACCTGCTGGTGGCCCTCCACCTCTGGTCCTGGCCGGCCTTGACCCTCGCGATCCAAAACGCCTGGGGCGGCTCCCCCGAGGTCTCCAAGGACAAGCGGGACTGGTTCGCCGGCGCCGTGTCGGAACTGCTCACGTCGACGCCCCCGCAACTGGCCGACGTCGGCGACCTGGAAGAGGTGCTCATCCAGGTCATGCTGGACGAGTTCGAGGTCGTGGTCGACGACGGCAGCGCCGAAGAGACGGCCGCCAAGATCTGGAGCGGCGCCACGAAATTGGGCGCGGGAGACGTCTCGGAATTGATCGACCTCTACGCAAAGTGGCAGGAGAAGCAGAAAGACGGAGGTGGTGACAAGGTCGTTGGTATCGTCAGGGGGGAGGACAAGGATGCGGAAGAGACGGATTGGGACGATGACGATGATGATGAGGAAGACGAGGAAGAGTGGAATGGGTTCCCTGATCGAGCAGACGTGCAGATGGATGATGCGCCGCCGTCACTCATTGACATTGACTGGAAACCGAAGCAGAAGCCCGAGCCCGAGGTGGACGAAGACGGGTTTACAAAGGTTGTGGGCAAGAAGAAAAGATGATTCTGTGCTCGAGACTCTGGTCACCAGACTTATTTTAACCATCTATCTGGCATACAAGTTCCAGCATTCGGAGAATCAGACACACTGTCGACCGACCCATCCCTCTGGACAATGGCGTCACCCTCACAGAATACTACCGCGACATTTCAGTGACCCTCTGGATCGACCAGCCCCAAATCCTCATTCTCCTTCTTACTCCTCTGACTCCACTCGGGCGGCTCGTCGATCCCCTCTTCCTCCTCGCGGTCGCCCTGTGCCTTGTCCTTGTGCACGGTGGTCGGCTTGTGCTCGGCCGGCGAGTACACAGTGTACAAGATCAACGGTGTCGGACCGGTGTTGATGAACTGGTGCTGCGTGCCCGCCGGCACAATGATGAGATCTCCAGCCTTGACGTCTTGATCCACGCCGTTGATGGTGGCCTTTCCTTTGCCGGATGTGAATGTCAAGATTTGGTCGACGGTGTGTTTCTACAGAGAAAAACAAGCCACGATATTAGCAACAAGCCACACTAAAGCATTCAACAACATCAACCATCCGCCAGAAGAATCGCCAGAGAACCCAGAAGACTAGGGACCAGGGACCAGGGACCAGGAGAGACTCACCTCGTCTCCGATCTCTCCGTCCACCGGTACCGTCATGAGGACCAACTGACTGTACAACCCCGTCCACAGCACCCGGCGAAAGTCGCCCGACTCGCTGGGTAACGAGGTCGTCATGTCGGGAAAATAGGCCATTTCGTGTTTCGGCGGATCCATGGATGGGGTGGTGAACTTCATCCTGGCGGTTTTCGACGTTCCCGTTCCCGTTCCCGTGCTCGTTCTCACGTCTGCAGCGTTGATCCGGGTAAGGAGTGGACGTGCGACGGCGTGGTAATCCCGTGATCCGAGACGGCTGGGTTCAAAGTGTAGACAGCGACAGCAAGATCTCCCGAATCTGAAGAATATTTGCGATGCGAGAGACATGGAGCAATAACGACAAAAAGAAAAAGAGACGAGAACGTTTCGGGAAAGGACAGGGGACAAAAATGATGACACCTCGAGGGATCCGAGTTGAATGAGATGATGATATGGTGTGACTGATGCCCAGGTATCTTGATCTTGCTCCTCCACCACTTACCACCCACCCACCACCTGGTGACCCTGCGGAGAGAACTCGCGATTACGTTACGAAACGAAATGAAACGACCGTAAACCTCATGACCAAATAAAGTGTTCACGGAACACATTTCCCTGACACACATGGCCCCTACATTGGGTAGCACGTACCAAGCTTTCCCATGAGCTGAGAAAAGGAAAAAAGACCAGGAAAAAAGGAAGGTCTCGTATTACCGGAAGCGGAAGCGGAAGAGTGGTCCACACACACCGTAGCCAGCCAGACTCGTGATGTCATCAAGACGAAAAAGTTCCATCCTCGTCTATGTATGTACGTATCATGTATCATGTATGGTCTATGCTTCGAGTCTAGACTTGTATGTATCGAGAGAGTACATGTCCATATCGTCCGTCTGTCTGTTACTTGTGCCTGTCTGCCTACCTAGTAGGTAGTGGGGAGGGAGTTGTTGAAACATCACGTGTGTGTGGTATCTGTCTATGTGCTCTATGCTCTACCTTCTACCTTCTATGTTCTACTGGACTGGCGTCTTCGTGTCTATACCATTGCTCCCGAGCCTCCCTCTGCCCCTTCTATTCGAGCACGCCAGATCCATTGATCGAAGAAATAAGATACCTTTGACAAAATCGATAGAACGCAGTCCACCGACATTAATCACGACGCCCTCTTCATCTCAATTCCCTTGGTGCCGTCCATGACCCTCTTAATCTTCTCCTCGTCCACCTCTCTCCCAGGTTTGCCCATGTACCAGGTGATGTCGCTGCCGTCCCTCTCGCAGACGTGAAAGCCGTTGCCGAAGAAGCCAAACATGTTGTCCTGGTCGTCGTACTCGATCTCGTAGTCCTCGAAGCGCGGCTTCTCGAGCAGGCGCAGGAAATGAAGCCGCGAGCCCGGGTAGACGGCGGGTTTTCCGTCGACTTTGCCGCCCTTGAACCAGCTTGAGCAGGGTCCTATTCAAGAGGTAAGCACATGTCCGTTTCTACTCATGCCATGTTGTACTGCCATCCACCACAGGATCAGGGGAAAAAAGAGCGGACAAAAGAACTCACCGGTCCATGCAGTCCTCTTCAAGAAGGAATCTGCATGTCTCAAGAATTGGTCCACCACCTTCGCCTTGGGTCGCAGACTCCGAATGTTCTCCACCTGCATCTTCTCGATCACTTGGACTGTGTAGTTACAGTACCCTTCGATCAAGGGGAAGAAACTGCCATGTGCCGACGGACAGTAAGCGCCGCCGTAGACGAAATAATTGGGAACCTCGGCCAGGCCGAGACTCAAGTACGAAGGGACGTGAGGGTGATCTTTCCACTCTTCATTTTTCGAAACACCGTTGACACTCAGCGGGAAACGGGGTTTGTACGAGGTGTCAAAGCCTGTGGCGCAGATTATCACGTCGACTTCCCTCTCTTGGCCGTCTGGATCGATGAAGCCCTTTTCCGTGATCTTTTGCAGCTGCGATGCAAACGCCGTGGTTTTTTCGCCCGTCAGGGCTTCCAGGTATCCGTTTCCAGGAGTCGGCCGACGGCACCCGACGAAGAACTCGGTCGGCATGATCTTCTCCAGTAGGTCCGGCCGGTCTTTGAGCAGCGTCCTCATTTCGTTCTCAGAGTATTCCCGGGCTGCCTTTTGTGCCTCGGAACCATTGATGATGAAGCCGAACCGTTGATTGAGCTCACCTTCGATCATTTTACAGTAGGCCAGATACTCGTCAGGATCATCAAACAGCTTCCGTTGTTCCTCATTGTAAATGAAATTGGCACCATCTTTGCCTGCGAATGCTTGAGCGAAACCGGCTGTGATCCAGATCTTGTTCCGAATCCAGGTATATACCTTGTCGACTTTGTCGTAGATGTTCGGTAGGATCTGAACAGCGCTGCTTCCCGCCCCGACCAGTGCGACCCGTTTACCCTTGAGATCCGTGTTCTGATCCCATTGGGCTGAATGAAGGAGGGTGCCCTTGAAATCGTGCAGACCAGGGATATCCGGCCACTTCCATTTGTTCAAAACTCCACCCCCGTCGATGACTATATCTGCATGATCCTCGAATTCCCGTCCCGTGGTGAGGTCCTGCACACGGACGGTCCATTGAGCGGTGCCCTCGTCCCAAGAAAGAGCGACAATTCGATGCCGCAACTTGACATACTTCTCAATAAAATTGTTCTCCTGCTCGACCTTTTTGATGTAGTCCCAAATTTCGGGCGAGTATGAGTAGTACCGGGACCATGACGTGGGTCTCCAGGGAAACTGATATACCACACTGGGGATATCACAGGCACAGCCTGGATAACGGTTCTCATACCAGGTGCCGCCAACATCGGCGTTCTTTTCGTAGCATATGATCTCGACATTTTTCAGTCTCTCTTCCGCGGTTTTGAAGAAGTTCAACCCAGACATGCCAGCACCGAGGACGGCGATACGCATCTTCTTCCGGGAACCGTACAATTGCTCCAGAATTTCAACATCATCCGGTGATGGGTTGTTCAACAGTGGGCGCGTTTGTTCCCTGAGAGCAAGTCCAGCTCTATCAGCGTCGTCGGGGAGATACATCCCCCCATAGCCGTTGGTGGTGGCCGATGGCGCCATGTTCGTGATTTGAAGAGGTGACTAGACAAATGGGCAACATATCCATGGCCAGGGAACTCCATAGGTGCTCGTATTTATACACACATCCACACATCCACACACGAGACATGATTCATTCGGTTCCGAGAATCGGTCCTCCTGCTTTGACGAAATTCGCACATCCGGTGGACAAGTAGAAGGTAGAAGGTCGATGAGTGCGGAGATGTTTAGTACCATTGGCCGCTATTCTCCGCATATTTGGAGAGCCGAGGCTGCACTTTTGGTTTGTTGTGATAAGACTCGGTGGGAAAGACGACAGTCTATCACAGCTGAGCCATGAGGCTGGGGTTCACGATGACAGCTGGTATTATCAGGCTGAGCCACAGCGTGCGCGGTATTGGTGAGAGCCATGTCTCGTCATATGAGACAGCACCAGGAGGAACGAGCGCATGAGCAACTTCGGTACGCAGTGGCACGAGTGGGTGAGGTGATAGTGTGTGTGGTGGCAAAAGCCAAAAAGGAGGCTCAGCCTCGGCCAAGACGAAGTGACATGGAATATTTGTTTTTCCGGGCCCGGTGGCCCCAACGGCGACGGGATTCCAGCGAGCGAGATGAGCGAGATTTGAATGGGTGGCACTGCATGGCCGTTCCCAGCCTTCCTGCGCCCGCCCCACGCGTCTAAGTATCGTGGTACCTTAGAAGCCTAGCCTTCCACTCCCTCCGCCCTCTCCGCTTATCACAAATCTGGCTGGTCGATCTTCTCGAATCCTCGAAAACAACAAGCCAACCACTGTTACGTATGGGCCAGCCTTGACTGCGCCTCACTTGACAACAAATTCTTTGCCCTGCGCATCATATTGCCATCCCAGGTACCGCCCGGGTACTGCGACTACAAAGACTCTTCTTATTGTTACAAGGCTTTCCAATCACTTTTCCTCTCCCAATTCACTTGAGAATCTCGTCTTCTATCAGACTCGAGAACAAGTTATCTGGCTGGACACCATGGCAGACATACAACGACAGCCTCTCTCCCCTCTGCAAACACAGATCCCTTCCTCAAACTCTCCTCCCGCATCAACCGCCTCCTCGCCTCGCCCATCTCTATCCGCCAAACGTTCCCGATCACCTCTCTCAATCGACCTTTCATCTCTCCCGCCTCTTTCCCAACCAGCACCTCCCTCCAACACTCTCCTGATTACTCGCCTTGATGATCCCAAGATCTTCCACCCAGCGTCCCTGGCGACAATCAGACAACACATCACAGATATCGCGCCCTTAAACTCCTTCTCTCCGCTCAAGTCCATGCACCGCATCATCTGCTCCTTCTACGACGTCGATGCCGCCATTGCCGTCAGACAGGTTATCGACGGGTCTGCGATAATGGGAGATGCCGTCGCAAAGTGCTACTTCGGTGAACCGACCCCGATAGGGGACGAGAAGAAATACCTCGACCGACCGGACGCTGGGAGGTTGTTCTTTATCAGCCCCCCACCGAGCCCTCCCGTGGGCTGGGAAATGAAAGAGGAGGACCCTCCAAATACACATGTCCACGCCGAAGATCTAGCGTCGAAGCTGGAGAAACTGAATGGCAAGCTCACATCGGCCCCTACCAACGCTGCCGACGACTCCGCCTCTGAAGACGACGCCAAAGTGCAATACACGGCCGAAGGGCTGCGGAGGTTGAAAGCCAGCCGAGCGCCGGCCGTCTCTGGAGTGTCTGCAGACACATCCCCCACGGCCGATGCATCACCAAAGAAGCATCGGAGCCGAAGCTCGACTTTGATCTACGACCCCAAAGCCCACGGTGACAGCCCCGCGCTTCCGGCGGTAATGCTGGAGGCCGAAGATGAATCCGACGTGGAGCTGGAGGCGGAGATTCCGTCCAAGAAGATAATGGCCAGCACGGCACGTCCGCCTGTGGAGTTGATGCAACATTGATGGAATTGTCTTGAGGGGTAAGGTACTCTTTGGGAAAGGAATGGCCGAGATTGGTATCACAACGGGAACAACACCACGAGATTGGCGTTTTTGGGAAGAGGATAGGCTGCGTTAGGCCCGTCTAGATTGGAAGACGAAATTAATATCCGTTGGCTACTGGGTATAGGATAAAGGCTCAAGGTCCAGAAAAACATGGTTGGTCGAACCCGGGATATAGTCATTGTCCCGTATCTACAGTTCTTCATATGAATACGACGATCACCCCGTCCACCAGGCCGGTGAACTTGGTAACATTCTCACAATGTCCTTCGTAAAGACCCTGCCTCCTTTGTCTCCATCCATGCCTCCGTATACCATACCTCCGTGATAGCCTGCAAACGGCTATTGCAGGATAGGAAAGATAAAAATACTGGACGAGCGCTGTCTGTAGGCACGTCCGGTGGCGGCGCCGCCGCCGCTAAGAATACCTCGTTGCCATAACTCCGTATCAATGCGAATTGCTGTACCAAACGTGATGTTGTTCGTCCCAAGGTTCGGTCCGGAAGAGCCCATTCCCGGTCAGTTTAGCGGACAACCCAACGTGGTACCAAAAGGGCACACAAGGTGGGTGTTTTCGTCCAGTCCCTCAGACACACCTTTTTTTTTGGTCTCCCCCCCAACAAGCCCTCTGCTTTTGTATTCTTTCTCGCATTATTCTTCAATGCCTTTGAAGTGCCGGTACCATTTCTTGTGCTGCTCGAAGAAAACCATTGTACATATCGTCTGCGGGCCCAGGCGCATAAAGCTCGGGACCCATCCGCGGAACATCCACAGGAGGCCTTCCTTCTGGCTGGCCTGCGTCAGGATTTCGAATATGCCCATCTTCCCCCCTGCGGACATGACCCGTGTTTTGATCACATCAACGGGCGAGCACGTGGTGGTCGCGACGAAACCTGCCGCTAACGAGGCGCAAAAGTGCGTGCTGAGCGTGTCGGCCATTCCAAAAGTGTTTATAAACGCGGATTTGAACCCGTCGTAGCTCGCCAGCTGCGCGGCGTTCATGAGTAATGCTCTAGTAGAATTCGCGGTCACGCCGCGAAATATCGACATGGGCCCCTCTTCGCGGATCATTCGTAGTAGGCCGTCGAGCGCATGCTTGTAGTTTCGTTGAAGTTCGGGAGGCTTGGTGAAGTCGGATTGCATTCGTACGTTGAGTACGTCCCCGGGATTGCCAGCTATTCCGCCCAAGAGTCCCGCGGTCGACGACATGAGAATGAGATTGAGTAGAGGCTGTTGTGGCTTAGGATTTTCAGCTGTGGGCTGCACGGCGAATCGAGACTTCAGGTCTTCGTACACGCCAAATCGAACGGTCGAGTAAGTCATTTGCCGAAGCAGAGCGGCTGAGAGACCGGAGTATAGACCTAACAGCCCTTGATTGCGGAAAACATACGCGAAGGTGCCGAGCGTGGTTTTGGGCGCATTGGGAGGGCGGGTTTGTAGGCGGACCTTGACTGTATCAGATTGTTAGAAGAAACCGCGAACACGACTGAACCCGAGGATAGCCACATACCCAGGTCCAGAGGATGAGTGACTACCGCAGCCATTGAAGCCGCACTTCCACCGAACCAGAAGGGATAATGGATCGCTGCTGCAGCTTTCCGCTGCTTCGGCACAGCTTCGACATTGTGCCTAGTGGTTGTGTCAACGGTTGGAGCAGTTTCGGCCATGGCTCCATTCCCAAAGGTCGTAGTCGTGTCTATCAAACGGCAAACATCAAAGTAAAGCAGGCCCAAAAAGGATAGGATAGGAATGAAGAGAAGAGGAACAAACAGTAACGAATGCTCACGGAAGCGCAGGGCTACCGGTACATATGTAAGTTTAAATGAGGAATAATTGTAGGGGGAGAAAAACTGCGGCAGCTGTACAATCAATCAAATGTTTAATGTTTAGGTGGATTCGGAGATAAATTGATGATGGAGGATGCCTCGTTCCGAGAGACACGGGGAATCTCGAGACAGCCGGGTGGAAGAAAGCGATATCGGCTCCGAGCCACGTACCTTGTGTGCTCGTACAGACAGATCCACACAAAGCTTGACCTCTTCCAGAGCTCAGGAAAATAATCAAACTTCGGGTCGCCGTGCCGCGTTCTCCCACTGCTTTTCACCAAGCTCCATACAACCATTCGTATGTATACCGTTTAGAACGGCTAGTCCAATCCTTGTCGATATTTCCGATGCGGCTTCTCAAGACGGGAGCGTTTGTGCGTGCCGCTCAAGCTGCCAGATTGTCAATTCCTGGCTGTTCAAGGGCTCCTACCTCATCCCCAGTCGTGGTAGCATCGAGATGGGCGTCCTCCCAGGCTCAAGCCCAAGCTGCAACCGAAGAGCAATCCTTCCCCGAACAATCTGTCAACCTTGTCAACGAGGTCGACCCGGCAAAGACTGGTGCGGCTTCAAGCCAGAGCGGAGATCATGTCGAGTTTGAGAAAAAGCTACAAGAGTTGGGCCAGGAGAACAAAATAGTCCACGACAATGGACAATCTGGAGCAAAGATCCTGGGTTCACCGTACATTTTCGATCGGACCTCAAATCTCTCCAGCTCCATCCTAGACCTCGTCGGTCGTAACCTTTACGATCATCCTGACCACCCCATCTGTATTACGCGGAAGCTCATAGAGTCATGTTTCGAAGAATCGACGTTCAAACACTTCGCGATGGGGAATCCGGTCGTCACGGTCAGAGACAATTTTGATATCCTAGGCTTCCCTGCGGACCATCCAGGCCGTTCAAGGACAGATACATACTATGTCAATTCATCTCAGCTCCTGCGCACACATACTTCTGCACACCAAAACGCCGCATTTAAGTGGCTCGCAAAGAATCCTTCGAGCAAAGGGTACACCATCTGTGCCGATGTCTACCGCAGAGATAGTATCGACAGGAGTCATTTTCCGGTGTTCCACCAAATGGAAGGTGCCCGAGTTTGGGAAGCCCAGCAGAACCGAGCCGCTCAGATCGAGCGGGACTGTGAAGAGATGCCAAAGACCGGTCTCGTTGTAGAAGACCAAGCCACCGACTTCACGGGGACTGCAAACCCCTTGCAACCTGAACATGACCCCGCGGAAGTGCAACAAGTCGCCAGACATCTCAAACTAAGCCTCGAGTATCTTGTCAGCCGTATCCTCGAGGCCTCTCGACAATCGCTTCCCTCCGCTGCCAGAACCGACGCCCCTATGCAAGCTCGCTGGATTGAAGCCTATTTCCCCTTCACGTCGCCCTCTTTCGAACTGGAGGTCCTGTGGCATGGGGGAGAATGGTTAGAGCTGCTTGGAAGCGGCGTCGTGAAGCAATCCATACTAAGCAGAGCGGGACTGAATGACCATATCAGCTGGGCCTGGGGTTTAGGCATTGAGCGCTTCGCGATGCTCTTGTTTGGTATCCCTGACATTCGTCTGTTCTGGTCCACCGATCCAAGGTTTTTGAAACAGTTCACTCGTGGGAAGATCACCAAATTCGAACCATTCAGCAAATATCCTGCCTGCTACAAGGACATTGCATTCTGGATCAAACTAGCCCCTTCAGCGTCATCACCGCTCGCTTCACAACCAGCGCACGCGACCTCAGGTGTTGCTGCTGCTGCGGGGGGGGATGCCACAAAAGCATCCCCAACAGAAACTCAGCCAGCTGCATTCCACGAAAATGATATCATGGAAGTTGTACGAGACGTGGCAGGCAGTCTAGTTGAAGACGTGAAACTAGTCGACGAGTTCGTGCATCCCACCACAGGGAGGAAGAGTCTCTGTTACCGGATCAACTACCGAAGTCTCGAGAGGACATTGACAAACGACGAAGTCAATGGATTGCACGAAGAAGTCGGCCGCAGAATGAAGGACCTATTGGGGGTTGAACTTCGTTAAATTGTTTCCGATCTTGTCGCCCGCCCGCGATCTGTTCAGTCAGGTAATCACTGCCGTCGCCGAGTGAAGGAGCTCACGAAGCCGCCGTCTACTGTTCACCCAGCTGGCGGTCAACGGGTTATCATGACAGGTAAATATCCCCGACCTGCATTTGCGTCTCATCCCCAGATATCTCTTTGTGATCCAATGATGAACTGCCTAAATCATAATTGTTTCAACCCCATATGATCAACCGACTTGATTATACTGTGCATTTGCCTCTTCTGAATTTTTAACGGATCAACAATATTCTCTCTTTCTGGTTTCCTCGTCGCGCAGATTACCCATTCGCTGATGCTGACAATCGCCTTTCGGGGACAGACAAGCGGTTTCGGACGGCGGACGACGACAATTCCTCGATCCAACTCAGCCCATCATCTTGGGAGGTCCATCATCCCAACCGCCTGCCTGAGGAGCCAACCAACCAGCCAGCCAGTATATCTGATCTATGTATACCATGGGACGGGACGGCCACCACGCGCGTGTCCTTGAGCCCGTCAACTCTTCAACCCTTCAATCCTCCAAAACATACCCACTCCCCATATCAAGGAAAGATGCGCAAAACAACGGGAATGGTTTTTGCGAAAAGATGTAGGTTTAGGTATATGTATAATACTGCCTAGGTATACTTGTACATATACTTGTTCTGTATTACTATACCTAGCCACTTATCCCACTATTTTCCACTGTTTTCAAAAGACCTCCAAATCTTCGCGTCAGCGGAGATGTGTTTCTGAATAGAATAGAATACAATGTGCATACGTAGTGGCTGCTACATCGGTAGCAGGTAGTAGGTCTGGCTGATAATTTCAATTACATGTCTACATAGATGTAATGAAGAGAAGAGGAGTAAGCTGTACAAAGGCAGAGGAGAACCTGAGGGCCCAAGAGCCCAAAGGGGGAAATGTCAGGAGGTGTAAGTACATTTTTTGAAGCACGTTGCAGCCAACATGTCATGCGGATTCGTGGTCATCATCTCCGACACCGCTGGTGGTGGGCTTGATATAGACAGACAGATAGACAGACACAGACCACCAAAAATCCCAGCCTCAGCCGCCATTGCCGTCCTGCGCGATGCCCATTATTATTCCCAGTGCCCTTCCACATCAGGTCTTCCAAGACGGAACATGTTAGCCGTCACACTCTCTCACACACATTATCACCATGTGGTGCTCCACTCTCCCGTGATCCCGTCACTTCTAAGATGAGAGCCGACATATCGTCCGATTTTTGTGGAATCCCTTCTTCGCGTCATCTCTAAACCCGTCTCTGTGTCACCCACAGGCAGGAAGCGCAGAGACGGAAACGAGATTGAAAGGTCGCAAAACTTTTGGTACAACAGGGTCAAACAAGTGGCCCCGAATTTGACGTCGAAACAAGCCGAGACTATGAGTTTTTCACGACTCCGACCTTGGCCGCTCTCACAACACGCCCGTTCAGTTTATATCCCTTGCTCTGGGTGTAAAAGACATCACCGTCCTCTTTGCCCTCGACTTTTGTGAAGAAAGTGGCCTCGTCCGTGTTGGGGTCGAATTTGCGCCCTCCGCCCTCCAAGGGGTCGAAGCGCTCCAGACCGTGCTTTTTCAAGGTGGACATGAGAATTTCTTCCGTCATCTTCAGGCCCGAGAACAGATTGACCAGGTCCTTGTTAGGCTCCGAGGTGGATTCGGCAGAGGCGGCGACATTAGGTTCGGAGGAAGAGGTGTTGGTCCCAAGGGCTTCTTGAGGCACTGATGAGAGTGCCCGATCCAGGTTATCTATTGAATCGAGTAGGTCGGAGGCGAACCGCTGGATGGCAAACTGGCGGGCAGATTCCATGTCTCGACGGGTTCGCTCTTGAAGGTTGCGGTAATCTGCAACGGAGCGGAGGTATTTGTCCTAGAGAGCCCAAGCATTAGTCCCTGGTGCATTATCCAGAGCATACAGTGCGGAATCTGCACAGTACCTTCAAGTCGATAACCTCCTTTTTGGCCTTCTCAAGCTCTTCCTTTAGAGGGTCTGCCTTTGCCTCCTCCGCCGCTTTTGCCTCTTCTGAAGGAGCCGCTTCCGTGGCAGGCTTCTGTGGCTGCGCGTCTGTGGATTGCCATCTCTGTCCTATCCGTGTTGAGAGGTAGGCGTTTCTGGATGTCCGGGGAAATTTGAAGGTGGCGGAAGAAAATGGCGAGTGGCGTATCCGTGACGGAGACGCAGATAGTGAGTCTGAGATGGTGCGCACCTGGCGAAGTAATTGCTTCCGAAACATCGTGTGGACGGAGAGGGAGGGTAAGCTTGAGAAAGTACAGGAACGATAAAAGACTTTGATTGCGATGAGCTTGAATGAAAGCTGTTTTGTGTATGGGACAGAAAAGTTATCTGGCCGTCAAGAAGTATTGAGAAATTTAGTCAAAGCACACGACTGGGCGTCCAAGCTCCGAGCAAAGGCCATTTTGGTAGAGTCGCTGCTTTAACAATGTTCGGAAAAGGTGCCCCTTTGGGACTGCTCTGCTCCATACCAAACGTGAAGAATAAACGAGAAAAGAGACAAATGTCTGCATACGAACAAATCATTGATGCTGATTTCTGTCCTTCTCTGATGCTGCCTAAGTACTGGTACTGGGGCCGATGAACCACCAGACTCCTCGCGCAGCCACCCCTGTGCCTGTCCACCAAGGTTTGGTCTTGTGTCAAATACCAGCACGCCTCCACGTCCAGCATTTCGACCCAACTCGTCCCGAAGGAAAGCCATTGCTGCTAACATCACTGGTCGACATTGTGAGTGCCCAGCACCGTGTTTTTTATGTGTCTTACCAGGGCCAATGGAACACTCACTACCCGTGGCAATTGAGCCCTGTCCGCTGCGTTGCTCGTGTGGTTCACTTTCTCGAGGTAATAGGCGTTACCCCCAATGAATTTGGCCACGGCCGATGGATGTGTGATTGTGGTCTTGATCGGAAGCGTAGCTGCTCTGACTCGATGGATCAAAGCAAAACCCAGGCCAAAGACCCTCCCAGGTCGAGGCATGCTGGCGACACTGCTTGTTTTGTTCTGGACCATGATCATAGCCTCATTAGCTCCCATGAGCTTAAGCTTGCCAATTGCGTCCGAGGTCATATTGATGGTTGGGTGAATGGCTGCCCCGGCGTGTCGCGCAACAACGAAAGGAAACCCCAAGAACTTCAAGGGCAGAGGCACCGCGGCAGCTTTACTCACTCCCCCTGTTGCACCTCTGCCCCCAGCGCCTTGAACCCCCGCTCCTGCGGATCCCCTTCCAACATTTCCTCCTTCTGTTTCGTGACCACCACCTTGACCGCCTCCGCCTCCTTTCTCGATCTCTGCGCCAGGGACAGATGCCTCGGGAGACAGGTTCTCTTCTTCAAAGCACACATCACCAAACACGCCGTCGCTGGCAGATGTGTCGCTCACAGGATAGCCCGAACCGATATTCATCAAATGTGCGAGGCCAACAAAGACCCTCGGCGCTCTGTGCGCACTCGCAGCGCTGGAAGCTGGCCAGCTACCCGTGGCGAGGTCGGTGACGACGGGACTGGACAGGCCAGTACAGGAAGCACCGTGTGCGCAACAGGCTCCGTTTTGGAGTATGTCCACGGTGCAGTAAGTATTTGCCGGTCCACAACTGCCTGCGGTGGTGCAAAAGGACATTCCCCCCTCGCAGACGCCCCCACCCTTCACTAACAACGAGGGGGAGATCAAGTGGTTGACTGTGGTGGTTGTGGAAGGACGTATCAGGACTGTCGTTGGAATCGGCATGCGATGGTATGGCTGTGTATCAAGTACTGTGCCGGAATTGTGATTGAGACCCGAGGCAAGAGCACCCAAGGCCAGGAGGCTTAGAGACGCAAATAGAATTTTCATCATGTCGAATTCCACCGATGTCAGTTCCGCAGGTTGAAGGCGTCGCTAGTAGGGACCAAGTTTCCTTAGGGGAGAGAGGGAATATGTTTATAACGACAAAAAAGAAAAAGACAAGCCATCAGCGCCTGCGTGAGGTTTCACTTTTCCGTTTACATATCGCCGATTTCATGGCAAAGTCAGTCACCCCCTAAATAGTCACACCAGAAGGGGTTGTTTGATCTTCACTCCCAGTCGTTTGTCAGGCAGCAACAGATAGAGAAGTATGTCGTTCGATTCAGGAGGACCACTCGGGCGCGAACCGAGAGCACACATATCAACTGGTGATTCCTGATGAACGGGTGTTTGGGCCGTGATATATAGAGAAATATCCAAGGGAAGGGTGATAAAGACAAACCGATGTAGGGTTGACAATCAAGCAACATCTTTTATTTTGCCCATTGTTTCATCCCCAGTCTGGCTGTATCGCTCACAACTAGTCACGAACTATCACGTAGATGTTCAATGCCAATGTTTCTTCCATGGGGACACGACGAGTTTCGTCTGGGTGTCAGAATGATGTCGGTAGGGATGGAAGCGGACAAGGTTGCCAGGATTCTGAATAGTCACCACAACTTCCACATCACCGTCCTGCTGTTTGATCTGAGCCTAGATCTTGGTTTCTATCCAAAGCAACATCTTGACTTGTCTTCGAGGTAATCGTAGTGCTGGTCGTACTAGGCGCGGCGCTCTGAAGAGAACCATTTCAGCTTGCATTCTAAGGGTGAGCCTCTCAACAGCCGAGATATCTCAACTATGATGGCATCCAGAGAGGAGCTCGCCCACCTGTTGGCCGCCAGCTTCCTTGTCTTTGTTGCGCTGGTAACCGATAGGTCGAATTCTTTCGTAGGAGTGCAGTCGAGTGAAATGTTCCTTGGATGTATTCGAGGCCATCAATCCTAGTCAGTCGTGGGTTTTTGTGGCAGTCTTGGTCAAGGTAGGGCCTGTATCGAAGGAGATTCAGGTGCAACGGCGGTATAGTTGGAAGAACTGCAGTGTCGTCTTGAGGCCACCTGGGCTGAGAGCCGGTTTTGTACATCAGTGAACTCCGAAGTGGCCTGACCGCTCTCGCGCATCATCGTCGCGAGGGTATGATTGGTCCTGGTTGTCAAAATACTGCCAGCGCACTGTTCTGGAGGAGTTTCGGCCCCGTAACTGCAGCAAGTTCTGCCGCCATGCCTTTCATAGTATCCGGGTCGTCAATTTTCCCATCTTCCCAGTCCCGGAGATCCTACAAAGTAGTTAGTAAGACGCTGATCGACCCTCGGAAGCTGGGAGCTTATACCTCTAACTCGATCAGAGTATTGCCTACGACGAGGCGCCAGTGGTCGAGATCAAGACGTTTCACTTCATCTTTCGTCAGCACACCGGGTATCTCGTAATCAAACAAGGATCCTTCGGGTATTTCCGCATCTTCTTCGTCGCTTGGGGGTTCGTCGAACTCTAGATCTTGTTCGTCGTCAAACATTCGTCCTCTTTCTTTCGTGGTTTTAGGAGCAGGGACGCTATCCGAAGTCCCTCTGGCACCTGCTTGTTGAATGGTGCCCTCGGCAGCATCCACTCCACGTTTCCGATCATGGGACGGAGAGACGTATTTCCTCTTGTCGAGCTCCTGGCGATATTTATCATCGAAGAGATTCCATTCATAGCTCTCTGGGTCTAAAAAGTCGTCAGCGAAAGTTGTGGCATGTAACAGGTTGACATACCGAGAATGTAGGTCGGAGAGAAAGCGGCTTTGTAGCGCATCTTTGTGCATGAGTGGATATAATAGCCTACTTGTGATGAGCCAGTAAACACGCGGAAGGGACTCTCAACATACCCATGTAATAGTACTCGTAACCGGCTTCTTTGGCCAGCGATATCTCTCGCAGAGCACTCATCTTTCCCAGATCCCAGGCCTCGTACTCAGGATCATAGCTTGTGAGTGATGAGTAGTGTATTCCAAGTTGAAAAGATCAGACCTTACAAGAGATAGACTGAGCTGACGGCATGGGGTAGAAGGTCGAGAACTGCCACAGCCACCAGTTTTCCATCGAGGCGATAGCACTGGTGGTACGACCCCAGTTTGAGTGTCTTGCCGCCGATCTTGAGAATCTTCCGGTCAAGACCAGTGCATAAGAATCGCTTGAAGTCAGACTCTTTCCACCGGGATGCAGGGTCCTTATGTATCCGCAACTGATATTTCAAGAAGATCTCGTATCTGACGCTTGTGAGATGTAGATCGCAAGCTCGTGCTGGTACTCACTTCTCCTTTGTGAAGCTATCGCCTTCGAGATTGACCTCGAATCTATGAGCAGGTTCAATGGACACACCAGTCTTTTTGCCCACTGGACGCTTAACATTGTCGTATTCCGCTTTGTGGACCGCGGTCGACAGGTCAAATTTGTCTCTCAAACGGCGCTTTTCCCTGTGCATGTTAGCTGCATTCTTACAACCATGTGCTTCAACTTGCTCTCGCGATTGTGGACACAGCATAGCAGCTTTTCGTTTGTACTCTGGGCCGAGAACGTAGTTGTTCCATCGATTCATCACTTGTCGTTGGTCTTTCGCGGGTCGGAATTCTGATGCCTTCAGACTGTGGATATTAGCGGGTCTCCACCATATTGTTTTTGTTGTAAAGCATCTCATACCGTATCGTGTAGTGGGGACAACATGACCGCAGGAGATCCGGTTTGTAATAGAGCGATCCTGATCTCCTCCAGCCCCTGTCCATCAGGTATTGATAGTGATCGACTCGCATGTTGTCACACGACATGTAATACGAGGAGCCTGCACTTTCAGCTAAGGCCTCTGCAAAAGAAAACACAGACAAGGGTAGGTGGCAAATAACGCCAGGGCTCTGGGGAAGGACGGTGACCTACTGCCTGCGGCATTCTTGCAATATCCACACCAATTCTTTCTCTGATAGCCTGATCACAGTCAGATTCAATCATCTGCTCGACGCAGGGGAGCCAGCCTCGCTGAACAGGTGGCCAACATAATATGATAGCCCGGGTCAAGCGGGTCGGGCCATGGCTCATGTTTGTGAAGGAACCAGGGTCAGTTGTCCGTCGCAAATAGAACTTACCAAGGGGTTTCAAAAGTGAGATTTCGTTTGTCATGATCAACCGCGAGCACTAGTGGATCCCCTGCTCAAGCCAAAGAAGGAATATCTGGGCCTTCACGCACTACACAAATATCTTTGAATGGACAAGTCGGTCTCCCAGCGAGGCAGAATGACGACTCACTCGCGGCTCAATATGATGTCACCTGGTTCCGGTTGGCAGGCAGACAATGACGAATTCCCAACGATATCCAAGGTCACAGGCGGTCCGACACAAGGGCGTCAAAGGAGCAACTCATCAGCCGGAGAACCCACAGTCATATCCAGGCAATGCTTCCCGTGGAACTCGTTCGTGGGATATGCACACGACTGGCTCCAAGGTAACCAATGGAGGATACTCTGGCAGTGCGCGGTGTACTGGTGTACTGGACCTTAAAGGCTGGAACACAACGCAGCAGTCTTTCAGGAGAGAACCCCCACTTCCTGCCTGGATCTTGGGCGCTCGCGTGAGCAGTCTTGAGGAGGGGCAACGTTAGCCCCGAGGCGAACTGGAGGTTGTTTGGATGAGCGGTGTTAAGGGCGATCAAGCCGAGGAACCGTAACTGGAAGCGTCGAGGCAAGCAGAAAAGGTGGTTAGGAGGGAGGAAGACGGGGGGTCGAGTATCAGAAATTTAGACCAGTATAAACGTGAAGATGGGCACGTGTATGTTCGTCGTGTGCTTCGATTCGAAGGGGGGAATGGCGTGGAAGCGGTGGAAGCGTTGGAAGTGGACACGGAAGCGGTTTGGAGTGACATGGGCCAGCAAAGGACGCAGCGATTCGAGCGAACCAGATGTGCTAGAACCTAGCAATTAGTCGGTTGGCAGTTTGGGAAGCCAAATAAAATACCAAAAATCCCACTCGACGAAGTGAGGGAGTGCCTGGTCGTTCTCCTGCCGCAGCGTCTCTAGCCGCATCAGTCATGAGGCATGAGGCACGAGGGACGTCGATGGACCATGAGCGAGCAATGAATCAAGCATGCAGCATCAAAAGCAAAAGAGAATGGAACATGGCTTGACGGCCTCGCACGCCTCGTTCCCTGTCCCCTGGCACCGCTGGGTCACTGGTGGGAAACTGCGATTCGCCATTGCCCGCCCTCGCCCAGGTCAGGAAATCGCCGCTACCGATGTTTTTTTTCGTGCTCCCCCATGAGTGTCCACCCACTATGCACCTGCACCTCCGACACTCAACTGCCAAAAAAACTAAACTTGTCCAAAAGGCTACATAACTATGGCTGTTCCCTTCCTCAGGATGCTCTACACGTCAACTTCGTTCCCTCAGCCCCGTGCCACACGGGACTGAAGGTCTCCCTCATTCATGCGCTGTATCGCACACCCCACTGCTATCGTCACCATGGGTCATCTTTGATCCCCTTCGTCTTCTCTTTCTAGAGACTGACCTCGCCGTCTTGCACCCGGGAGCAGCTCGATAGTGTTCCCACGTGCCTCCCTTCACCGTCTCTTTCTACGTTCGCTTCTGCCACTTAGCCTAGAATATCCCTCCGAGACAGTCGTACCCAAACGGTCCTTTCCTTAAAGCTTTCTGGCTTGTGGCCGTCCGTCCAAGCCCGGCGGTTCCACAATCATGGCCAAAGAAATGTCCATGACCTCTCGCACTGGCACGGCCAATCAGCGTATGTATGCCACTGCTTTTTTTTGGTCAGCTTGAATTTCTCGTGCTCATCGTGTCGCAGGCTATGGAACAAAGGGCGAGAGACTGGTCGCAGGTGTTGTCCCCCTGTCTGCAGACAAGACCCGAGTTCTACTCATTCAATCCTCCCGGCGTAATGGCTGGGTGCTTCCCAAAGGCGGCTGGGAATTAGATGAAGCCTCGGCGTCAGTTGCTGCCGTCCGAGAAGCGTGGGAAGAAGCCGGGATCATCTGCAAGGTCGAAAGAGACCTGGGTCACATTCCGGATACGAGGCCAACAACTGCCGTTACGAAACACGCTCCTAAAGCGAGTTACCACTTCTTCGAAGCTGTCGTGACCGAGGAGAAGGACAACTGGCCCGAGAAGAACAAGAGATCCAGGCAGTGGTATGCTTATGCACAAGCAGTTCAGCTACTGAACTCCCGGCCCGAGTTGTTGGAGGCTTTGAGGAGGAGTTCGGTCAAGAAATGAAAAGAATTGGATGAGCGGTCGTGTCTAGACAGCCTACCTCAATGCCGGTTAGAGAAGACCCCAAGAGAAGCTTGCGGAAGATGACTACTCAAGGGCTTGATCATTGTCTTACTGCTGCGTTGGTCCTGGCGGGCGATCCAAGGGACAACGGCGGCCTTTGGGCGGTTGGCACTGAGAGCATTAGCTCAAGCATCGAATAGAAGACCCCAGAGCTCACATGAGCAACTGCATCTGGTGCTGTGAACGCATCGACCCCTTGGATCAAGGGCGACATATGCAGTAGTGACATGGCAAAACAGTACCATGGGGCTCACACTGCCCTCAAATGATAGCGTTAACATCTATGGGAACCTTGAGCCAAGTACTATCTATTCCTGAACCAATCGAATTTTTGCGCATCAGCACGATACGATTGCTCTGGTTATTGTTGAACCCACGAATGTTAGTAGACACTTTCGGCGGCCCAATACACAGATCTGGAAGCTGCATGATAGACACAGACTGAAAGCAGTACAACGATGCATCGGACCATGTACGTAGCTGTATTGGAGGAGTGTGTTGGCTGCCACTGGTTTCATCTGGGTCTATGTACAATATCCATGCCACCCTGAGCTTGCCGTGAGAACTCCGCGTCTGTAGGCCGGGGGTTTTTCTTCCTCCATCTGCATCCCGATAACTCATTCGACTCTCTAGTGCTCCAAGTCGACGGGAAAGTTTCCAGCTTCACGCTGATCGTCCCACCTATGAACCCAGGAGCTAGGGCACAGGGATCGATATGCCAAATAGAACTGAGACAGGTCAGCATATGAGTCCCGGTCTTTTGGCCATGAGCATATACCTGTCTGCATGGCTTGAAATCTTCGCCCTTTGCAAGAATACACTTGTGATAATCGACGTAGTTTTGCCAACAATGTTTTGTCCTATAATACCCACGATTAGGCTGCTGGATGTTTTCGGCCACGGCGGAAGGGAACGTACTGGTTCTGGTTGGGGAAACGGGCGTCGTATCCAGCTGTTATATCGTTAGCACGAATTTCAAAGCAGTCGTGGACCTGGAAGTCTTCGTACCCGTAACAAACTTGAAGGGTTTGGTGACGTTTCCGCCGAGCTCCTCAGCGTCAGGGACCTCAATTTGAGTCATCTTGGCAGGTGGTAGAAGCCTCTTGTGAGCGCGGTGGAATATAGACAGGAAGCTCGAGTGCTGAGGTTGAGTTGAAAAGGGAAGCTTTAGAGGGGAGGTTGTCACCTGAGGACTGCAATGAGGTTGAAAGTCGGAGGTTGCAGAAGCTACTAAGGCGTAACAAGAGTGGCCTGATTCTGATTGGCTGTCGTACTGCACAGAGCTTGGGAGCAACTTCAACTGCGACCAACTCCAACGTCACTCTTCCTTGTCCCAAACATCTCTCTCTTCAGCTTCGCTTCCAACTCTCCACTCCGCCTCCAAGCACACAGCAAGGATGAACACTGTGAGACTCTTGAGGCTGCAGCCCCTTCGGGCAGCTGGCATGCGGCAAGCTGCCTTCCGTCAATCCGCCCAAAAACAGACTGCCAGACCGTTCCACAACACCCGAACCAGGTTCAGGGCTAAGGTGAGCAGGAGTATGTGCCGGACGTTGGAAGACTCATACTAATTATCTCTAACAGGAGGACGACCAAAGCGGTAAGACGGGCCGACCTATAGACCTTCGACCAAGCAACTGACCTCGACAACCCGCAGCGCACACCATCACCCAGAGAATTCGCATGCTCAAGCGAATTCCCCCGGAGTTGCTCCCTCTCGGCGTTGTCATTTCGTACGTATATCCGTTCTTAACGAACTTGGAAGCACAATTGAGCAAAAATACTGGATCTCGAGACAAATACTGATACGTTTTCTTGCCATTGTAGCTTCGCCTTGTTCGCCGCTTGCTTTGCTATGGCTAGGAAGCTCTTCACCGACAGGACCCTTCGCTTGCAGCGGTCTCAACAGAAACATTGAGAAGGCAATGGTAGCATATGGAGATTGGCAGCAAACAGACGTGTGAACAATGGAGAGTCTCTGCTATATCCTAAATTGCCGAGAGTGGAGATGTTTCCGAGCCTTGCGGATTGTGTATATAACACGGCAGCCAGAAGGGAAATTCACAGTCTTTTCTGAGACTTGTTGACACCATATTGATCTTGATCTCAGCGCACTTTCTGGCAACCTCGCTAGTCCCGAAGTAATTCGGCTTTGCCAGCTCTCTTTTTAACCCTTTCCAACTTCTCCAGAAGACTGTGCTAGTCTTTCATCTGCTCGGCATGGCAAACTCGATGTTGATGACAGCGGCTGCCTTATTTCCCTGACTGCTGCAGGAACTGCATATTTCCAGCGCTACGATTGGCGCTGTTGGATGGTTAGGCCCTTGCCTACCATCATTGCTGTTTTTTTTGGTTGGAGCCATTTCAATCTTGTGATGGCGTTGATCTCGTCCGGTCATCTCTTCGCTCACTCGGGTTTCGGCCCAGCAACGTCTAGACCCTCTAATCCATCCATGGGATCTGCGGGCCTCTCGTTCTTTGCGCTTTCCACAGCAGCCTTATCCTCGTTCGCTGTGCCATATTTTGCTAGATAGTCCTCCTTGATTGCCACAAGGTTAGCACTCTTCCTCCTTAGTCTAACAAGCGAAAGAATGACCAAACTAAACATAAAGCATCGACAATTTTCAGCCACACTCACTTGTTCCCAGATAGCGGTGGTGCTACCCAAACCAACTTGTCCGGTTTCCTTTCTGTCGGGTTTGGCCATTGCTACCTTGATCACCCGTCCGTAAAGCTCACTCTGATCCATGTTGTCGATTGCTTCCTTTGCATCGGCCGCATCCTCGAATTCAACATATCCAAAGCCGCGGTGTAAATCCGTCGAAGACGGCGCCTCAGGCTTGGGCAGAGTTATGTCCACTATTTCGCCAAATGGGACGAACGCTTCCGAGAGAGTTGTGGCGGTCACAAGATTGGTGTCGAGACCGCCAACGTAGATTGTACTGTTTGGGCGATTTGATCCCTCCGCCATACTCGCGCTGCTCGACCCTGCACGGACTCGAAAAGAGAGGCTGAAACTCGAAAAAATGTGGAATACCAAGATCACGTGGGATCGAGGTCTGCCTCGCTGTGCTGCCAACCTAAGCTGCGGCTGCGGAGTTCGACATATGGGGGGTTCAGGGATGACGCTGGGAGGCCACTAATCGTTTTGCGGCCCTAAAACCTTCTGGACAAACGACGGTGTCCAGATCAGAAAGTTGAAATCCTCAGATGTATCAGAGTGGAAGATGAGACCAGCTGGTTGCTAAATTGTGATTCTCCTGTCTATCTGTTCCCTTGAAGCTTGTTTCTTTCCTGCTGCATGACTTAGCCTTTCTTTACTCCTGTTTACCTCTCTTCCTCCCTTGAAGCAGCCCAGCACCACATCCCATCATGGTGCGCCTCAGGGAAATTCCACGCACGGCGACTTTCGCGTGGTCTCCCGATGCGCCCTCGTCTTGGATCGCAACTGGCACGAAGTCTGGTGCCGTCGACGTCGATTTCAGCAATGAAACTTGTCTAGAACTTTGGGATCTCGCATTGGACAGTGGTGAACAGAGTCAAGAATTGCAGCCCTCCGTCACCATCCCTACTGAGACGGGGTATGTGGTTCTATCCGTTGTTAGCACGTCCACTGACAAGTCGCAGCTTTCACGACATTGCTTGGACACCGGCTCAGGCTGGACACAAGAGAGGGATTATTGCTGGAGCATTTGACAACGGGTTACTTGGCTTGTGGGATGCGGATAAGGCCATCACGAGCACGGCAGAAGCCTCCATTTTCACCCACAAGATACACAGCGGGGCAATCAAGGCCTTACAGTTCAATCCCAAGATACAGAATTTTCTCGCAACGGGTGGTGCCAAGGGAGAACTCTTCATCTCAGACCTGAACCACCTCGACACCCCCATACGACTTGGAAGCACCGCTGCCCGGGCAGACGATATCGATTGCCTCGATTGGAACAAGAAGGTCTCAAATATCCTGGTCACGGGAAGTAGCGGAGGATTTGTGACAGTATGGGACATGAAAACAAGGAAAGAGAGCTTGACGCTCAACAACTTTCAACGCAAACCGGCCAGTGCTATTGCCTGGGATCCTGAAAAGCCCACACGATTGATCACTGCTGTGCCGCTGGAGCAGGAGCCTGTCATTCTGGTTTGGGATCTGAGAAACTCGAACGCGCCCGAAAAGGTGCTTCGCGGGCATGACTCGGGGGTTCTTTCGGTCGCTTGGTGCCCACAGGATCACGACCTCCTGCTATCTTGCGGCAAGGATAACAGAACCATACTATGGAACCCCCAGACTGGAGACGCCTATGGCGATTATCCAGTTGTGACGAACTGGACGTTCCAGACAAGGTGGAACCCTCATAACCCGAACATGTTTGCGACCGCGTCTTTCGATGGCAAACTCCAGATCCAGACTCTACAGAACACCAATCCGAGCACCACGCAGACAGACCAGAGCCAGGCTGCAGATGGAGAGGATTTCTTCTCCAGAGCTCAGACACAACCTCAGACTTCATCTTTCTCCCTTACCAAGGCACCGAGGTGGCTAGAGCGACCCGTTTCCGTGTCTTTTGGCTTTGGTGGAAGAATCATCAGTGTGAAACAGGCAGACCCTGGGAAATCAAGAGCTTCAAAGATCTGCATCAGCAAATTCGAGGTCGACTCAAATGTTGGGAGCGCAACGGAAACCTTCGAGAAAGCCCTTCAGTCAGGTGATCTTACCAGCCTGTGTGAGGCCAGGGTCGCATCTGCAAGGACTGAGGAAGAGAAGGCTGATTGGAAGGTCATTGAGACTCTGGTATCTAAAAATCCTCGAGCAGAGCTGGTGAAATACCTAGGTTTTGAGGACAAAGCCGAAGACAACGCAAATGGTGTTGAGCAGCAGACCCCAGAGGACGACAATTCCAATTCAGAAGAGCAAAAGCCGTCCGTCAACGGCGCCTCAAAAGCTCACAAACGGTTCCAATCTATTTTCGCAAGCTCCGCCGATGGAGACTTTTTGGCAGAGTTGGCGGCCACGAAGGGTACCAGGACTAATAATCCCTTCCAGATATATACGGGATCCGAGTCCCAGGCAGACAAGCAGATCACAAGAGCCTTGATACTGGGACAATTCGAGAAAGCTCTGGACGTGTGTTTGCAAGAGAACAGAATGTCAGATGCTTTTATGATCGCTATCTGCGGCGGCGAAGCCTGCATCAAGAAAGCTCAGGAAGCATATCTCGCCAAACAATCTGGAGGACCCAACTACCTGCGCCTACTCGCTTCGGTCGTGGGCAAAAATCTATGGGATACAGTTCACAATGCTGATCTAACAAATTGGAAGGAAGTCATGGCTACGCTGTGCACGTTTGCTGATGAGCAGGAATTTCCAGATCTTTGCGAAGCGCTTGGCGACAGGATTGAGGAACAGATCGATGATCTTTCTCCTGTCTCACGGAAAGATGCTTCATTCTGCTTCTTGGCTGGCTCCAAGCTGGAGAAGGTTGTCGCCATCTGGATCCAAGAGCTCAAAGAGCACGAGGAGGCGGGAGCCTCGGAAGCGGACGCATCTTCAGCATTTTCACTACACGCTCGTGGTCTTCAAGACTTCATCGAGAAGGTTACCATCTTTCGACAAGTGGTCAACTTTAAGGACGGAGAGCTGTCTAAGACCGGGGAGTGGAAGCTGGAAGCTTTGTACGGCAAATATCTGGAATACGCCGACATTGTCGCTGGTTCAGGCCAGCTAGACGTTGCCCAGAAATATCTGGATCTGCTTCCAGCAAGCTATCCAGGTGCGGATGTTGCGAGGAGCCGCATCCAACAGGCAAGGAAGAAGACTGCCGCTCCAGCTGCTGTTCCTCAAGCTGCCCCTATAACGACAAGAAACAAACCTCTGCCAGGCATGTCACAATTTCAGCCTCCAACAACTGCGTTTACGCCACCAACTCCTCAAGTTCCGACTCCTTATGCCCCAAGTGCCCTACAGCCGAGCAATCCCTATGCACCACCCACGGCCATCAGTACCCCATCCAATCCATATGCACCCGTTGGCGGTAGTTACCAACCCCCACAACAGATGAGAATGCCTCCCGGCCCTCCTCCCCCTGGTCCATACATCACCCCACAGCCTAATCCCATCCAACCGCCTCCCAGGTTCAATCAATCTCCAGCCATTCCTCCGCCATCTCAAGACAAAAGTATGTCCAACTGGAATGACATCCCGGAAGGGTTTGTCAAACCTCCCACTTCGAGAAGAGGCACACCCAGCGTCCCACCGCAGCCTGTTCAGAATCCATTCAGCCCACCGCCGCCGCAAGTGACGTCTCCTCCCACAGCTCCGCCTTTTGGTGCGAGACAGAGAGCCTCGCCAGTTCCCCCTCCACCGAAAGGGACAGGTCCACCTCCGCGAGTAACGTCTCCTCTAGGTGGCCAGCCCTCTTTTGAGCGACCTGCATCGGCAAGCAATCCTTATGCGCCGCCGACCGTGACATCACCACCCATTGGGCAGAATATCATGTCGCCGCCGATCCCCAGGGGTCCATCTCCATACAACGCACCTCCTTCTCACGCTCCTACACCCCCGAACAGATATGCACCGGCAGGAGGCAGCCAACATGCGACTGCTCCGAATACACGTCCATCTATCGCACCTCCACCCCAAGGCTCGTCCTTCCAAACGCCTGCTCCGCCGTCAAACCCCTACGCGCCGACCCAGCAAGCACAACCAACGCGGCAGACGAGCTACGGTCCACCACAACCAACACAGACACCGCAGTCAGCTACAGCGCCACCAATACCGACACCCCAGCAACAATTCATCTCAGGACCACCTCCCACAGGAAGTGGGCCAGGAGCCCAAAGACCACCGTCTCGGCCTGGCACTGCGGGTTCAAACAAAGCCTCCGCTGCACCTCCGGTGCGAAAGTATCGTAAGTTGAAAATGTCGTCGTATCTGATTCTTTGAAACTAACGGATTCTTGTACAGCCAAGGGCGACCGAACACATATTTCCCCCTCTGCCCAACCAATCTATACCATCCTCTCGTCCGAGATGGCGCGTGTCAAGGCTCGAGCTCCACAGTCATTTAAAGCACAAGTGGTTGATACCGAGAAGCGGCTAGATATCCTCTTTGATCATCTGAACAATGAGGATCTGCTTAAACCGGATACAGTGGCGCAACTAGTTGAGCTAGCGCAAGCACTAGAAGCAAGGGATTTTACCAGGGCGCAGGAGATACAGATGGATGTGCACACGAATAAGGTGGAGGAGTGCGGACAGTGGATGGTGGGTGTGAAGAGGTTGGTGGGCATGTGCAGAGCCACCCCTTGAGGTGTTGTTGACAACACTTGGAAGGCTGTCGACATGTCGACCTGGGCGAGGGTAAAGTTTTCTGAGCAGGACGACGGGGAAGGGGTTTCTACGAAGACGAGCATGACTACACGATTTCCCATGCTAAGGCGGATGGGTGGTAGGATAGAAGAATATCGCGGACATGACCAAGAAAGTGCAAAACCCTTGCCAGGACGGCCGACTTGACTTGTATTTCGGAGCGGAGCAAGCGACAAACACCAACTTCTCTTACTCTGCTACTCTTCTACTCTCCTGCCCTGCCAGTCTTTTAGCCTAGAGTACCATCATCCACCATGTAGAGCGACATACGTATGTCCACGCGAGCCATGTACATACATACGTACATAGCTAGATTACTCGAGAACGAAAAACCCAATTGCCATACACAGTTTGATCCTAGAGGGTGAGCGAAGGCCGCTTTAACCTGAGCCTTCACTGAGCCTGTAGCTGAGCATCACTGAGCGCTCCCTGAGCAAATACGCTGAGGGCCTAGTCTGACCCCCTTAGCCATATAACCTGCCTCTCGGCTCAACATCTATTTCAGACAGGGCGTCAGGAAGCTCGCAGATTCTCTGCCCTTACGCTGCTGCCTAAATTTCCTTGTGGGAAGTGGACGAATGTGTAGGCTGTGCTGTAACGCATTCTTCGGCGCCCCGGATCCAGAATGATCTGAATTATAGGGGGGAGAAATCTGTTAGAATCCTACGGGCCTCGTTTTGGGATGTAGAGGGGGCCGAAATAGATCTTCATCAGAGTTGTAGAATCTCCTTTTGCCGGCTGCTAGGATCGAGGATGGGTATTGGTTTCTTCCCTCCTTTTAAGACTTCAATCGTCAAGTTCCCATTCCCTGGCCCTCTCCCCTGCGAATCGACTCGCCTACCCTAAGTACAAAATAGCGTCCCTTGCATCCCTTCAAACCACTCGCCTCGATCGGGGAGTGCTATATCCACGGTATGAGGTACGGTGAGGCGTTTTGATGTGCAGAGGAAGTTCGAGCTCAACGAGATATGTTTTCGCATTGGCTGCGGCACAGATTGTGGTTGGTTGCGTTGTACTCCATCGTAGGTTCGGAAACATTCTTGAGGAGGACTGTAGCTGGATCTACGCGTGTTGAGATGTTGTAGGACGTTAAGGATTGGATTATCTTGCATGCTCATTAGTTGGTTAGGTACAATGTATCAGAAGAGTCCAGGGTAGGCTGCGTTTTGCTTCGAACCAAAGCAATGAGTTCGATTGATTGCCCTCTCCCCAAATCCGCCCCCAGTTCCCAGCTGATCATCATGTGCCATTCTATCCTCTCGAAAGACGCCCGAATCCCACGAGACGCACGCTTCTCTTTTCCTTGATCGGGAGGTGGAAGGATCGAATCGGGCGACATTCCAGCTTGTTTAATGAGAAGCTCCATGCAACGTCGGTCAAAGCAGCCTCTGGAATATTCTATCCAGAGTATGTTAGGGTTCAAGCCTGCAGCAATCAGGATGTCAACTATCTCCTTTGGCGTTTTCGCGTTGTGAGGGAGTTTGTTCTCCGTAGGCCCTCGATGTCTTATAAGCCCTAGCTTCCCTGGACAGGTATACCCTGCGCGCCGAACTTCAGCCTCGAACATGGTGTTAGTGACCCCTTCATTGTTGATAACGCAGCTCACAATGATTTTACCATTTCCATCACGAACAGTAAGTTCGAGGAGATATTGGGGCAGATTTCTTCGCTCCTGGCGGTACACCGTTTCAAAATCGACAATGAAAATGCGCCAGGGAAGTGTCACCTTGAAGTGTCTGTACTCCTCTGCTCTAGGGGGATCCTTAGAGGCTCTTGTTGCATGATCATTTGAAAGGAGGCGTGGTTGTTGGTGAATTGACCAATACCAACTCGAATCTTCGGCTCCAGGCCAGACTTGTCTCCAAAACTGATCACGAATGTGTCGTCGGATGGCGGCGTTTGTACAGGGGATCAGGGCACCGCAATCTCGCCAGGGCTTTCTAGGAGGCTCAACATATTTCCTTCTCTTTTGATGAGGTTCATAGTCCTCTTGCGCTTGGAGGAGATCGATGTAGATTTGCCCTTCAGAAGCGTCGACATAGAATGGTTTTCCAGGAGTTTCATAGGAATACTGTGCCTCAGGAGGTTCAGGATGGTTCGAACGCCCGGGATGTTCGTGACTCTCGGGAGAAGTGAACTGCGTCGGAGTTTCTGAATCGTCAGACTGGCTCTGAGTAGCTAGGAGGTCGAACTGCCCGGCGGCCTGCACGGATGTGGGTAGATTTCCAGGATGCTTGTTATGCTGCTCCGATGAGCCAAAGTTGTCCCTATGATGGGGACTCCAGTAGGAATTCAATGCCACTCCCCTCACAGCTGGGTTGTTTTCTATGAATCGGCGTCAATAGCTGTGTGCTGATTCAGTACTGCCCAAACACAAGAAGTGAAGCAGGATAAACAACTTTGGGCTGGTGACTGACACATGACGCTCCCCAATCAAAGTGCAGACGGAGAGATTCACCAACTCCCATGATCCTCTGACTAGAACAATGAAGTGGTTCTGTGGTTACTGTTCGTAGTGCGCGCTCGAATACTTCCATACCTTTTAGAGACTTCGATAATGGCTCTAGTGTCACGAACAGCTTCTTCCAAGTGCCCTACCTTACCCTCACGAAACGAGAGGGTGAGGCAGGGCAGGTGAATCAGGTGTGGTACACAAGGCAGTCAGGAGACGAGGCTACGGCACGAGGCTGTCAGGCTAGAGCACAAGGTTCTCTTGATGCATTCGGCCTAGTGCACATCCCACGTGACAGTAAACTATGCCTGTCTACAAGTAGTTCGGGAGAGATGCTGGAACTCCTCAGACAGAGGCCCTGCACCAGTCCTGACTGGTTGAAGAGAGTTTCGTCGCGGGGCTGCCAGCTGGCAAGTTCTAAAGCTCGTCTCAACTCACGACCCTTGGCCAAGATTGTCATGCACAAGCACGTCAGGGGAAGAAACGAAGCTCTCATAGGGTATGAACTGTCTAAGAGCAAGAAGGCCTGCGTTCGAAAAGCTGTAGAGTGCCGAACCAGGCCGCTAACCCTGCCAGCCAAGCCACTAAACCGGCAAGTGTGGCCGAGATGGCAGAACCTCGGTATTGATGATTTGCTCAGGATATATATTGAACTTGTCACATATATTTCCAATTCATCCCAGTAATTAGCGACGCTTTGGCCGAGCGGTTAAGGCGGTAAGTGCAACTGCGCCCATAAGTTTATCTGATGATCTAATTGACTGACTTTGGAATTTAGACACCCTGCTACTCTTGAGTTGTTGAGGTGTTCTCTTCGGAGGCACAAGTTCGAATCTTGTAGGCGTCGAAATTTTTTTCCTCCTTCAGGGAGCGCTCAAGAATCGGAAGCACTTAGCAAGCAGAAGGCGAGCAAGGGTGAGCAAAGCGAACGAGCGATTAATCATAAGGAGACGACGAGGAGCAAGTTTTTGCGCTTGAAACTACCTACGTACCTACCCAGGTACTCAATAGACAAGACGGACGAATGAACGACGAGATTTGAGAAGAATGGCTCGCAGAACCATGCACGCATGAGGCCTTAGGTATTCAAGAAAGAAAGAGGCCTACATGGCTCGAACAGACCGTCTGTGCATATAATGGGTCCGGCGTGGTGGGTTGGGCCGGCCTGCTCCTCTTGGTCACGCGGAAAGGGTCTGGGATAGGTGGGTGGATAGAACATCACCATCAAAGACGCTTTCATGGGCAGACGCGGTAGCAATAGCAAAAGCGGGTTTTAGTCGCTTCTTTAATCGAGAAAGGGTAGTTCTTCGTTTGCTATCGAGGGGGTATGTGTTCTCATTGGAACATTGGCACGCTTTTGACAGTGAAATCCAACTAACATTCAAGACTGTCTCGAAGCATTGGAAGCTCAAAAGGGTATCATACAACTTCTGTAGTCCGTGCAATAGCTTCCAGCAAAAACAGAGACCTTTCCCAACTTATATAGTACCTGCTCAGCGGCCCTCATCTGGACGGCAACGTGAATGGCTGCGCTGGTCTTGCAGTTGGGAAATTCCTCGAACTGAGTAACGCGCCTTTCAGCGCACGTATCTCGTTCCTGAACTTTGTCGCCTCATTGACGGGCGTTTGCTTCTTTTGTTTATTATCTGTGCCTGTCGCAGTTGATGTGCCCGGTCCGCTGTAGCTGGAGAATGATCCCATGAAGTCGACCTGGAATGGGTTGTGACTTGCTTCGAGTTTGTCAATGACGGCTTGAAAGCCACTCACAGAATCTTTCAGGCGGTCTTGAGAATAGGTATTGTTTTGGGAATTGAGCAGAGAGAAGAGCGTCGAGTGCAAGGAGCGCAAACGCGAGGACTGTGACGTTGTGGGATCTTGCGCGTACAGGTGGTCATTATCTGGAAAGGAGGAGAATGACATCGCCCGAGAGGGCCGGGGGGACGTTTGTGTTGCGACATCGCGGTGGAACAGTTCTGTTGGATCTGAATCCACGGATTCAACATCGTCGTCTTCTTGAGCTTTTTGCTGTTGCAGGACTGTGCTGCTCGGTATGTAAGGGATATGGGATACGGTGGATTCCAGCTTCTTGTTGAGAGTTTCAAGGTTTGTCTTCGCAGTTTCTGCAAGGTCGTGGCGAGCTTCGGTAAGGGATTCGATCATGGGCTGCACAATGTATTTGCTTGCGGCCCATGTCAAGGCAGACGCGCCCGCGAAAACGTAGGCTGCATGGGCAAGGCGTTCGAAAGTGACCAGCGGAGGTGGTTTTTGGGGTTTCAGCAGAAATTCTGGATAGGTGATGATCGGGGGAACCTCGCGCTTCTGCGCAACCGTGGTGGATTGCGATCGCGCTTCTTTACCGACTGGCTTTGTGGTTGACTCCGTCTCTTTGCCTTCTGAAGCCTGCGTCTGGCTGCTGTCGTGTATGGTCTTTAGTTCAGAGTCCTCATCAGAGGCCGTCGAAGGACTTGAGTGTTCCGGGCCAAGGAGTTTTTCTATCTCTTCTGGCTGTACACCTTTCTGCTCCAAGAACGCAACTTTGCGTTCTCGCGAGGCATTTTGTATAGACTCGTCTTCGAGGAACTTTCGGGCTTGCTCAAGAAGAGGTATTTCTGAAGGTGGCGGAGATGCCTGTGTGCTGGTATCTGGGGGCTGGTCATGCGAAGAAGAGTCCCCGTGCTTTTGCTCTGAGGTGTACTGCTGCTGCCATGAGGGAATGGAGGGAGTCTTCTTGGGATCTTCGTGGACCATATTGTAGCGCCAGCGACAGTGCGTCAATACATCGAGGAGGTTGCACTTGGAAGAGAGACTGCGACACTTTCACACAGTACATGGAGGATGACCGAGACTTACTGGGGAAGAATGCCAGCCTCGGCTCATTAATATGGCGGCGAAAGTGGCGCTGGCGATACCGTTCGTTCCTGTGGCTGGGTCACTAGCCACAGCAGCCACGCAGCCACAATGCTGGGTTTGGCGGGAACAGCCACAGTCACCAACCATTTCCCACGCATTGCATTGTTAAGGAAGTTGCTGCATCAGATATTTCGCTACTTACGTATTTCGGGATTTGAGTCACATCGACAATCAATCTTAATCATCGAACCATTTATTTAGACCTGTGCAAAGCCGCGAATATTGCTTCTGGATCTCAGGGGTCGCATCTAATCAAGAAAACACGACCTCGGACGCGAGAATTCCACGAGAATCCAGGGCCAGACGCAGACCACCAAAGGCGGAGAACCTAGGCATTTAGCCGAGCTTGAAACCTCAGAGAAACATGACAGATAGAAGCCGACGTGTGCGACGTCAGATTAGTGAGGCCACCGAAGACTTTACAGAAGAGTCAGATCTGGGCAGCGGTGAAGATTATGATCCAAGAAGAACAGACTCAATGAGGCGAGCAGGCAGATATGAGTAAGTGCGCAGTTCTCGTTGTGCGCAAAGACACTTTTGCTTGCTTGATTCCACAACCTTTTGATGGAAAGGCTCAATCATTGTCGCAGTTGGGATCCTTTGTGGGTGCAGCTCATTGTCACCAAAATGAGGATCAAACCAACTCCTGGACTCAACAGTGAATATCTACCTGGACACACGTCGATTCACATCCAGTCGCGTCAATCTTGTAATCGCTGATTTGGCCCAAATTCTCTGTCACGTCTCCTGAGCGACCGAGAAAATAAGCCATAACAGCATGTTCCACTTTGTCTTTCACTACATTATGCTACGCACCTCGTGTCGGCGCAAGAGCTAATTAAACTTCTAGTTCTTCGGCGGCGTCGACCCCGGCGTCGACCCCGGCGTCGTCCAGGCCACGGCGATCAGGGGCATCAGCTGTTGCAAGCAACGTTTCTTCCGCAACTGTTCAGCGTGGGGCGGGCTCTGCAGACGACAGACGACAAAGCCTCAAATTGACCGTCAAGGCTCCTCCAAGCAAGCTGCGAGAAGTCATGCGGGCCAACGAGGTTGAATCTCTCCATGACGTCCTTGGGGGCGGCCAAGTTCTTGATGGTCCGCGAAGCAGTCGTCGTTCTGCTTTGACTGCTAGAGCCAGCGCTCGAGGTAGTCGGCGGCCGACGTACGCAGAGTACGGTGAGAGCGATATTGAAGATGAAGAGGACGAGGACGAGGATGAGGAAGAAGAGGAGGATGAAGACGAGGACGAGGAAGAGGAGCCTACCGACTTCGATCGGCTCGGCGCTGAACCTGAAGGTGGCACCGACGATGAAGACGTGGAAATGGAAGACGCGCCTCCTCCGCCTCCAGCCAGACGCCATCTTCCTCCTAAACCACCAAAGATAACATTGAAACCACCGGCCAACAACAAACCGGCAGCCAAACCCAAACTCATCGTCACTCCGGCAAAGGTTGGCCCCCTTAAGTCTGTTGAGGAGCAGGAGATGGAGGATGCATCAGAGGATGTGTCGGACGAGGAAGAAGACGAAGTCGGCAATTCATCTGACCTATCTGATGAAGACGAGGAGCCCACAATAAACGTGCATGACGAGGACGCGGAGGGTGAGGAAGAAGAGATTGTGGTTGAGGAGGATGCTCCAGGTGAAGACGAGGAAGTCGACGACGATGACGATGACGATGACGATCTAGACGATAGCAGTGACGAGACGCCTGCCTCTGGTGCTGCCACTCCTGATATCACTAGACTGACCAAGAGGCAACGGGGTAGGCCAGAGGATCAGGGCACTCTCATGGCGTTGGACATGGCACCGCAGCAACGAAAGGTATGATGCAGACTATATCGGTCACGGGCAGTTGGGCTCATCGCTGACTGGATTTAGTTCTTCACGGACGAGGAGAAAGCAATGAAGAAGGACGAACATGCCAGAAAGCGAAAAGAACTCACCAAGCGCAAAGTGCAGGAGGAGAAGACGGCTGCTTTGAACAGATTGGTACGCAAATATCCCTGTTTCCTCTGATTTGTGCTGATTGCATCTCAGCTTAAACCTCAAGTCTCAAAAGCGCGAGGCGCCGCTCCAAAGCCAGAGACCTTGGCTGCGGCAGCGGCTGCTGCTGCTGCGGCTGGGTCGCCATACGAGGAAGAAGACCTGCCTCAGAGAGCCAATCCACTCTATACCAGATGGATCAGCACGCAAGAGGGTGTGAGACTGGGGGTGCCAGAAGAATGGTTGGGGAAGAAAGTCGGCCGTTACTTTGGCCCGCTATACCCTTCGAGCAGCAATATGCTCATTCAAGAGACTGAATGATGGCATGTCAACGGCATTTGATGTCCTACCCAGCTACAACTTCTCGATATGTGAAAGGCCAGGAGGATCTCCGTGGCTGGGACGAAACTTCATGATGGGCTAATGGATCTGAAGATACCAAACACCTAAGACTTAGCCAGCGGCTTTGGCCATCAAATACCAGCTACCAGATTCCGGTAGCTCTTAGCATAGAATTCTCAAGTCAGCAGCAATTAAACTACATGTGAAGGCACTGGTTGTCCTGGAATCCTTGAGCAATGTCTCAATAGTACTTCTTCAAACATCACGGTGATGTTTGTAGTGCTCTGTACCTATAGGTCAGGATATCTCCTTGTTGTAGCCCAATATCCATTGGTCACGGCAGCAAGCACGATCCCATCACATCTTATTCAGATAGCCGCACTTCTGAAAACTTCAAGATCTGGTTGCTCTTGACACCTGGTGACTGTGGTTCCGGACGCAGCAATTCTCAAGTGCACCGTTTTCCATCGATCCGAAGGCCGGGATTTGGGGACTGTGTGCTCCTACAACTGCCGTCATAGAGGAATGTGGACAAGTCTCGACTCGCTCTTCCATCCTTCGTTGTCGGATGGCGGATGCTCACGAAGAGCGACCTCCCTGGCGTACTTTGTGGTAACCCTGTAGAACTTCACTTTTCCTTCGCACCATCTGTCACGTCTTTTGGAACGAATATTGGAGAGGAAATTGGTAACGAGCAGCCTGACGCGGCAGCTTGACGCCTGGTTGTAGGGTTATCACTCATTTCCCCTTGCGCTCAGCGTGTTTTGGCCCGAAGAGATAGTATGGTTGCTTTCCTGCGCTGGAATTTCGATCATGTTGGATCCGAGCTCCGAAGCAGCCCGCTCCCTAGATTTCGAGCGAAGATATCAGCAGCCATCCCTGTAGTTGTCGGAAACCTGGACCAACTCTTCCTTGAACTTCTCCAGTGCTCGGGCTTCAAAGGCAGGCTTGAAGGTCATGTACCCTGTAAAGCTACATTAGCAATGATTTCTGCGCCGGTCAGAGGTGGCTTCACCATTGAGTACACCGAGTCCAATGACCAGTGCCCAACCAGCCCACCGATAACTCATTTTCTGTCCTCTTGAAAGATCCTTAGTCGGGTGTCATCTGCAGGCACAGAAATCAAATGGTTTGCAGGAAGCCTCACAGATTCAGGAACCAATCGGAGGAGATTCCGCAGCCTCGCCTTGGCGCCCCTCATCATTCCAGCCTCGACGCGTCTTTTGCCATTCGTGACGCGCAACAGAGAAACCAAAGAGCTTTCACCAACATCGATAGTCTCCGGCACGCAAACAAGGGCAGAACATGGAAAGCAACGGCGATGGCGAACTGGAGGGAGCGTGGATATGTGCCAGACTCTGACGACGATGAAGAAGAAGACGGCAGGAATGGAAGTCTCGACAGCGGCCTGGCGCGTGGGACAATCTCTGAGACTGCCTCGAATAATGCGCAGTCTGTGAAGGGATGCGGCACCCCCCTTGATGGTGACGACAGCCGAACAAAGCAAAGCGACACCGTTGTTGACAAGCACGACGCTTATCACGATCCTGCACCAAATGGCACTGCCAACTTGCTGCAGGATGGGCCCCAAGTTTGCCACCCGGAATTGTCGCAGGCCTCTGATTCTCCTTTGAATTCAACTGCGGCGAGGCTTGAGGCTGAAATCAAAAAGGGTCTGCAGACAGTGCAAGATGTCCTTGGGTCGGCGGTCCTTGGTTTCGACACTGATGACGACAGCCCTCTTTCTTCAGTTCCCTCATCGGTGCATACTTCGCCCAAAAGAACCCAGTCAAGACCTTCACAGCCAGCTGCTCTTCCCGAGGTGGAGATCTCTCACATTGCCGCCGACGATATCTTGTTGCTAGACGCTGCTGCTGACGCCTTGCGGCGACGGTCTTTCCGACCTCGTGCTCCCATCCAGCTCCATCCCTATGCAATTGAGGACGCAAGGTATAGACAAACTTGGAGGGACAGGGGCTTGAACCCTCTTCGCGTTCCAGACTTGCCTCCACATCTGGGAGAAAGCTCCAAAGACGATTCCCAGGGCACCACTGCTTATCACAGCAGCCAAGTGGATCATTCCGACAGTCAAATTCCACAGTCAAGCCCTGCCCTCGACGAAGGCTATGAGAATCCCGTGGTCGTCGGAGATGAGGAATCTCAAAGTCCAATACGTGGAACGCGTCCTCGTGTACCTGCTCCTGTGTCTGATTCCGATGAGGACCTTCCAGACCTCTCAGACCTTTTCAAAAATAGGACTGCAACCCTATCTATCTCGAGACTAAAAAGACCCAAGTGTGTGTCAGTGCCGCAGGTACAGACAGGGATTGACGGGTTTCGGATCTATGAACTTCCCGACGAGGGTATAGCTCCTAGGAAGGCATCCAAAACTGGTGGCTCAAAGTCTATAATCCCACCTTCCCCGCCTCGATCTGGCGATGGACTCTCGTCGCAGTTCGGCGAAGCGGACAACACTCCAGAGGTATCACTTGGAAGTAGCACACCCATCGTGCTCCCCACTCCACTCGTCTCGTCTGACAAGCAGGTTTCGAAGAGGAATTTCACCGAAGCCCTTGACCTCTCTGATTCAGAGACTGATGTTGTCAGTATCAGTGACGATACATCTGTAACTTCCGGATCAGAAGAGCGAACCAACGATGGACTTCAATTTCGACAAATACGCCGCAAGATCAAAGGAGTTCTGCCGGCATCCTGGCTGAAGCTGGATATGAAGCAGCAATGGAAGGGAACCCGTGCTGCTCGAAACCAAGCCCAATCTCCTGTCAAGAGGGCCTCGGAGAAAGGCGTAGCGCAACACATCTCGTCGACAGGGGGGAGAGCGAGACAGAGAACCGTGAGAGATGGAGTCGCAGACCTGGAAGTTTCGTCAGAGAGTGATTCCGCTATGCAAGTCGATGATGATATGGGGGGAATTGAGTACCAGGGACCAGAGTCCTTCGAGGATGATGTTGTTGAAGACGACGCCATCGATGCCATGCTGGCTCCTCAACAGAGAAGGCCGTACACAGTAAATGGACAACGTCGACTGCAAGGTGTCCGGTCCAAGAAGAATACTTTTGATGCTGACAGGGTACTCTCTCGCCGAGAACCCTCTCTTCGCAGTCCGCGAACTGCTGCTGCTTCCTTGTCAAGCAATAGGGCGCGGCCGCGCAAGAAGACCAAACGCAAACATAGAAAGCCGCAGATGACGATCTTGGACGCACCTGGTCTGAGGGACGAGGACGTGCCACGGTTCTTGAAAATTGCATCGAGACGTGCAAAGCGTCAAAGATCAGCAAGGAAGCAAGACCCGTCAAAGAAATTCTTCAGGCTGGCAACAATGAGAGATACAGAGGATGTGAACGAAGCTGTAAGAACATGGAGACGTGAACAAGGTCAGATACATCATTCTGTCAAACCCAAAGATATCATCAGCCGCACGACCTCCTCAAAGCCCCAGCCGCGCGGGTTCGACGACATAATACATGGGAATACTGCCGCTCCAACACGCATTTCGCACGAAGACATTCACTTTTCGGCCACACACCTCACTTTCTTGAAACGCAGCACCAACGCTACCCTCGACCGCATTCAAAACCATCAAAGTCGTTCGTTCCAGGCTGAATCAATTGGCCTCCCTACTGATCGTTCTTCTGTGATTCTGGAATATTTCAAGCCTGGAGCCTCGCGTCGCAATCATCTCAACTCGAGGCAGCAAGTTCCAAGTGTTGAGCACAGCACGGAAGAACCAGCCTTCGCATCAACCAACCCGTTCGCGATCCAAAAGCGTCTACCAAAGGAAGCACGGCCAAGACAAAAGCGAGTTCGTCAGGACGCCTTGCAGAAAACATCTACAAGACCTTCGGTCCAAGAGCCTGATCCAATGTCTCCATCTGCAGAGTACGTACTAACAATTCTCGATGAGTTGATGATGCTGACTGAAGCTCCAGGAAGCGAGGCTTCTCTCCTCCCTCGCCGCCTCTGCTCCCATTGCGTCCTTTGAAGTAAGTACTCTTTTCGCCAGTTAGAATTTCGCGGAGACTAAGATTCAAACGTAGGAAGCAACGTCCTGTCTCACGCGGCACGCGTTACGCGAACAATCCTGATCAACATGATGTCCTATGCCTTCAAAGTCTGAAATTAGAAGATGACCACGACATTGTCACCTCTGCAATTCGGTACCCTCCAAGATCAAGCACCTTTTCCAAGACTCCAATGCTCTCTAGCTCTACAAGTGTCCGCATCCATCTTGTCAAGACCACAATATCTTCTATGGCGGATACCGCGCATCGGTTCCAACCAGGGAGGTCTCACAATGCTATCAGTACTCCCATATCCCAACGTAGTCTCAATGCTACTGGTTGGTCCGCAGAAGTTGAAGGTATCATCCGAGATACTTTCCAAGAAATATTCACTGTCATGTGTGGCGACACTGCCATGCCGGACACGACACCAGAGCGACGCACTCAGCTCTTGGGTCAAGCTGCAGATTCGATCCAAATGATCATCAGTTACGCGAATGAGAGTCTCTTCTTCGTAGATAATCAAGGGTTGGAAGCCTTCATCCGATTGACAACCGAGTCAATCGACAGTCTTTGGCAGGGCGTCGCTATTTGCGAGAGCGCCACATCTGAGACCTGGGCCTCCCAGACTTTGAAACTCTTGAACGGATTACTCATTCTGGGATATCAAATCAATCGATGCGCCACAGCCGCAGGCTGTCCAGAGAGACTTCGTGCAACGAGCTTGAAGATCTGGCAGAATGTTGCCGGCCTCGCTTGGGAACTCACTTTCCGAAAGCATAACATTCCTCGACTCTTCGCCAATACCGCTGCTCTGTTCGGGGCCAGCTTGGTATCAGAAGGTCAAGCCATTCCCACGACGGAAATCGAGACCATCTACTTGATACACCAGCTCGGTCCAGACCAAGAATGGAGTGTTTACTTGGAAACAATTTTTTCCAGCCATGGCAAGCCGGGGGTCCTCTTCGATTCTTCAGCAGAGTCACTCGCTTGTATGGTCATCGTACTTGGCTGTCTCCTTTCCACCGGCGCACTGGATGAGCCCATGACACATGTCGACAATAACGTTGGGAGCGCTCTTGGTAGCTCTCTTCTTCGTCTACTCCCGATTCAAGTGTCGGATTTTCTCAAGTCCTTTGTTGAGAAAAAGGCGAGTTACCATGCGCGGTTTCAAGTCAAGACGATACAAGTGAGAAAGCTAGAGCAATTTGGTCTGGTCATGTTTCAATGGTGCTTCGCTCTCGCACGAAATCTCCCGACTGACATGGCGGACAACTTGCTCAAACAGATGTTCAAGTATTACTCCGAAAAGACAAACAACATGCTTGAACTTTTTACGTCCAAACATGCAAACCGAACGCCACCATTTCTCGATCGCCTGGTGCGCGCCGAGCAACTCAATCTGGAGGACACTGATACAGACTTCGACATTTTCCTGAAGCTCACGGCCATCACCTTGATTGCCCAACCTCGACCGGACACTGAGGTTGAAGAACACATTCGGAAGCTGGCGCTCCGCAAACGCTCTCTCTTGTTCATCCTGTTACCCAACAAGGGCCAGGACACTTTCAACGACAATGAAGTGATTGTCAGTGAAGACTGCCCACTTCCAGACCGTGATCTGACTTCAGTATCAAACCGATACACGCTGTTCACAACACTGTATCACTATGCACCCGTCGGCTTCAAACCAGAGATCTCACAGATTCGAGACTACGTCGACTTCGCTACTGCTCACGATGCAGTACGCCAGGTCATTCTGCGATGTTGGGAAAACGTTGCAAAGTCAGCCCTCACTCAGCCGGCAGGCCCAGCAGAGCTGCTGGAACTCGGAGGGTGGATGCTGGCCATGTTCTTTGCCATGTGCGACAAGCTTACAAGAATCCCAAACGTTGATGATGATATGCACGAGGACGAGAGACGCATACACCTGGCCAACCGCAACACTACAGTTGACCGCGTCCTCCACATCGCAGATCGATATGTTGCAGCGATAGATATCTGCACCACCCGTGACCAGGTTTCACACCTCCTTTCTCATGAAGAAGTGAGCCGTTTGACTGTTTCCTGCTACCACGATCAAGGCCTAGGTGATGTTGTGGTCAGCGGAATCTTCAACCTCGTCACATCTTATGTCATGAAAGGCATTGGCAATGTCACAGATGAGATCTTTGCAGTCCGACGAGAGATTCGTGGTGTACTCGTGGACCAGCTCAACCGTACCGATTCTCCGGATGATATCCTATTGGCGTCTTTAACCGAAACCTGGTTTGCGATCGGAAAGCTGATGGTAGAAGGCGGCCACTCCCAGTGGGACCATTTTCTGAATGCATGGTCTTCGATGTCTTTTCCACAAATTGCCGACACTGAAATTGCAAGACAATGTCAGGTGTTGCTGCTGAGCAAGATTGCAACTGATAGGTCCGTCGTTCTGGCTGATCCCTATCCTTTCATCCATACTTGGTTGTGGTCAATCCTGAAGCCGGAAACGATGATCAGATTCGAGCACTGTTTGACGAACCAGCTCATGGAAAGTATCCCAGATACCTTCGGCCTTGATGATTTGCGTCAAGATATTTCCAACGGTGCCACCAGATACTTCCTCGACAAGTCTGATATCATCAAGCATCGCCTTTTAATCGTCCACCACATTATACGCTATGCGTACAGCGTCCAAAACCTTGCCGATCCGACTTCACACGGAAAACTAACGAAATATCAATGGGACCACTTGATGACCATGATTTCAAGAGCCATGAAGCAAACATGGGAGCAGCTGGACGGACGAGCAAGACCAGAATGGACCACGTTCATGCAGAAAGTGATATTCCGACTTGGCATGTATAAAGGCCCAGGCTTCGAAATCGACCCGTGGTTCACAGATTTGAGTCAGAAAGGATTCGAGGACAAGGCCTTCCATCTTGAGCGTCTCTTCATTTGTCTACCGGGCGAGAAACGACCTGATCGTTATGATACCGAGTACATGATCAAGGCTTTCCGGACAGCTTGCGAAATGGCCTGGATCAACAACAAGGAAAAACCACTCTTACACCATCTGATCACGATCTTCGCCGCCACCGACCCGAGCTACGTCGAGCATGATGGCAGCTTCTTACTCGATATTACCAAACAACTGGACTTTATGAAGGCAGTCTTCCCGGCATACATTGAGCGATCACTCAACGACACCCTACCGACAATGCTATTCGCTGTCCCAATCCTAGACGTCGCCATACAGATCTTGCTGAAACTGGAAATGCGCGTTGACCTTCAAGATCAATCACATATGGAATCGTTCGCAGAGCTCCTTGTGACCTTGATGGGAGCAGCAGTGGCAGCAATGCAACATCAAGGCTGTGAGGCTCTGTATGATCTTGGCTGGGAGATCGACACAGTCTGTCGTCTCGGCGGTATCTGCTGGCTTGGTTGTAGCCGCTGGGCTCATCTTCACCGACTCTTTCCCTTTTCTGACACCATCCTCGCCTTGCAGCCATACGTGCAAACGTATGCATATTACGCCTACGAGTGGATCTGCTCTGCGGCTGGCCTGGAGGACGGTGCTCGGCCTACGGACCCAGCACTCTGGGCGAGATATCGAAAGAGTGCCGATCGGGCGAAGGAGGACTTTGGCTTCGAGCTGCCAGAACTGGCGCTCCCAGAGCATATCAATGCTCTGAAGGAGTTTGCCGCCAACGACCTCGAGTGGTCGGGCCGAAACGAGTGGCATCGAGGCCAATTTTCGACCTGGGGGCCTGTCTGGGGGCCCGTCTGGGTGCTTGCCCGCCCTGGGTCGGAGCCAGAGACAAGAGGACCGCGAGAAGCGGTCCAAGACGGCTCCATGGTGAACGAGGTCCGGGCGGTGTTGGTGGGGATGGAGCAGGGGTTGACCTTGTTGGGTCTCATGGAAGAGTGGTTGTGAGGGGCGTCCGCGGGGTGTGCGTGCTTGCGGGGTGGTTTTTTCTTGTTTTGTTAGAGTAGAACGAGTCACAATCAAAAGTGTTTGAGTGAGCCTTTGTTTCAAAGTGCACGTTGCCTCCATCGTCTACGACCACCCATTTTCAAGTGGACGTCCGCCGCTTATCCAGTGAATGACAAGTTAGGAGTACAACGATGGACAGACACACACTGGCTAGATACATCCTGGCTGACACGGGTGGTCTACTCAGAGGGATTCTACTTTGGTAAGGGACGGTTTCCGGATACCGTCACCGCCAGTGGTACATTTACGTGCATCCACGGAAAGCTGTGTCAGTGCTGAAAGACGATTACTGGCCCCCAAGATTCATAAGAGGACTATCTGTGGCATATCAGAGGCCTGCCTTTGGAATCCATCGACGAGGTATGGAACTGCGTCTTTGACAACGCATTATGTCTCACCTGTTGAGGACGGCTTCCTCTGAGCGAGGGGGTGTACACGCAGCCAATCAGAGGGCGTGGTTGTAAAACACCCAGCCTTGCCCAGCCTCGCCCAGCCCCATCCGAGCTTGGCAAGGCTGAGTGGGACTCACAGACTGCGTGGCGGGCGGAGACGTTGCCGGGCAACTTCCAGACGGTAAATAGAAGGTTGGCGGGATAACGACCAACCCCCATTGCCAGCCTTTTGAAGCACCATGACTCCATGACTCCATGACTTCTTCCCTTAAGTCCCTTGTCAGCACGAGCAAATTCCACTCTTTGCAGCTCCATCGCATCGTTAGCAACCGCATTCCAGGCAAAGCATGGGTGTCGAACCTCCATTCATTTACGACCGACCCTCGACATACACCTTCGGGAGTCCAACTGATCGAGCTTTCAATCCCAAAGCTGCAACTCACGCTTCTTGGACTCCCAGACCTCCAAAACCCAAGCAAGATGGACCGCTCGTTGATTTTAACAAGCATCCTGATTCCGTATGTGTTTTTCCCCGAAGTAGTGATACGGCCTCCTAAACTAACCTGTTTGCGCAGTACATAGTCGTTCCTTACGGCAACCTCAACGCCAAACCGATGCCTCCCAATACCCGCACGAAGGTCGTCCGGGCCCGATATGTTCAGCTCTTCTTGAGGGTTTGCGCTTTGATCGGGGCTCTGGGCTGCCTCTTCTGCGTGATCGCCATCAACAAGACATCGGCGACGGTGGGATGGATCATTCGCTGCGCTCCCGCCGTTGCCATCCTTCACACCTTGTATTCGGTCTTTCACCTTGCCCGGGCACCTACAAGCCGCACTCCGGCCTCGACAGCAAGCTACATGATCTTCGCCGCGATGGTGGACACGGGCCTGATTCCCTTCTGGGTCTTCTGCGCATGGGTGGCACAGGCAGACTACACAAGAAACGAATATGGATGGAGCACGCTGTTCAATGACTCAGATCTGTCATACAAGATCATCTACGCTTTCTTCATTCTGTCCTGCGTTGAAGGTGCCCTGACGGTGGTGTCTCTGCTCATGGACATCTACTTGGGTGTCAAGTTCAGACAGATCTCCAGGCTTCCACCAGACATGAATCCTCTGGAGTTGAACCTCACTTCCAGGCATAAACGGAATAAATCGGAAATCACCGAAAAGAACATGAGGTCGTCAGAGCTGGCGGCTAAGCGGGGATCTCAGGCTTCAGGCTTCAAGAGAGTCCCTTTCATTCATACCCGCACCGACTCGGCGGACAGCGTCACGCTTTATGGCGGCGACAGTGCCCGCAACTCCAGGGTAGAGTTCCGCAAAGAACTGGAAGATAACGGAAAGGACCCCTGGCGATGGTCACGAAACTCGTCTCCAGAACGACCCGGGTCCGCGGTCAATCCCTCTCCAAATTCCCGATCAGCTGGCAGTGGACTTGACTTCCGCCCAGAACGCTCATCCATCCTCAAAGAGAAGCCCTCTCGTCCGTCTTCGTGGCTGTCATATCTCGATTACGAAGGCGTGCCTAGTCCGATGAGCGAGGAAGCTTCCGCAGAACTAGACCACGAAGTCCGTCCCGTCTCCCCTGTGTCTGCCATCTCGGTTACGGACATGACATCCAGCAGGGTGCATCGTGAACGGGAAAACTGGTACCATGGCTCCCCAGCACGCCACAGCCAGGTTCATTTACCAACCTATGGCAACAACAGCCAGACTCACCTCCCCTCGCCCACCACGAGCAAGCCTAATCTGCATCAATCACTTCCTGTGCCATCTCCGAGCTCCCCAGCAAAGAAACGAAGCCGTGAGCCTCTGGGCATGAATCCTCCTACACCAACGCACTCAACTTTCAATGACGAAAATGCATTCGTCACGCCAGTCAGGGACTCCTGGACCCAGAATGATGGGAACCGAACCGCGCTCCACGATGCAGATGGCAACGCCCAGGTGCCTCTCAGAGGTACACCCACTAGCGTCAAACCGTCCAGCTTTGTCGGTAGTGGTGGTAAGGCACGCTTCTACGGCAATCTACGACAATCCGTCAATACTGTGTCGCCCTCTCACGATCAAAGCGACAAGACGGCCAATGTTCGAGTGAACGTCAACGAGGTCCAGGATACGGACGAACGGACTCGGACAATGCAGACAGAAAGCGACTACTCTGCCAATTTTGAGGTCTATTCCAATTCTGACGACGAAGACGAGGGCAGATTGAGCGCCAACATTACCAAGGCGCAGACAGCTTCCCCGACGCAGTGGAACGGTGCCCGACAAACCTCGAACTCGACTGGGTTCGACGTGAACAGTGGGTACGCGGGACTGGGGGCAGAGTTTGGCAAGGGGATGGGTAGACGGAGAGACGTCAGCGGCAAAGTGGCTGAAGAGGGTCGAGCGAGTCCGACGAGAAACGGGGCAGCGGGATGGGAGAGATTCAAGGGTTTGTGAGGTGGTTCTTCTTCTTCTTCGGGGGCAGTGAGTGGCCGACGAAGTGGAACGATTCAGGATATTGAATATGGCGGCGGCAAACTGCAAAAGTGACCGACTGAATGATTTGCATTTGGATCGGAATTGGGATTTAGGATTGGGAACTGGTGTTGTTTTTTCTTCTTCGGGATAGAGATATGGGAAAGCCAGCCAGCCATGTGAGCACGAGCACAAACATGGTATGGACAGAGGATCTTGTACAAGGTACAAAGGTACGAGGTACTCGGGACGAAACAGCTTTTGAGGATTTGGCAATCGATCAATCAAACCCCTTGATTTCACGATTGCGACCGACTGGTAATGGTAAAATGGTAAATGGTAACTTGAGGTGCTAATCATGGGACGACGGGACCTGATGTATGTATGTACCTACAATACGAGATAGAGTCTGCAGACCCGATTCCTTTCTTCGGGCCTCGGGGTGTCAATCGAATCGAATCAAATCAAATCAAACCACTGTACCTCGTAGATGAATGGATACGGGTAGGCGGTAGCTGAGTACCTCGTACATACTTACGGGTGTACCGAGTACTCATCAATTCAATCCGATCTCATCCACTCCACCACTCCACCACTCTCCGGTGCTCTACCGAGTACAGAGTACAAGGTACTAGTAGTCCTAGTCCTAGTCCTAGTCGTGACCCAGGTCCTCGGTCCCTAGTTCTTTGGCCGAACGGTAGAACCCCCGAACCACCGTCATTATCGGGACCGATCATCGAAACTGGTATTCCGAATTTGTAAGTAACATCTAATTACGAGGTACATGTGTTCCACATCCGCCCACTATTCGTGTCGCAGTACTCGATTCCTTGAGTACATACAGTAACCACACGAGTAATGGTTGCTTACTCGTCTGCTCGTATCCTGGCTCCCTGGCACCTGGTAAGGGGAGGAGCGGCGGGCCACTACTCTTGCGCATACGCCACGATCCTACCACCTACGACCATGTATATACGTGTACTCGGTACTCTAGGGACATTTACCTCGGTGACAAGCGAGGAAGTGAGTACATATTAATGCACAACGACCCGCTTTCCCGGGGGGGATTAAAAGCGGTGGCCCCGCCGAATACATTTTGTATCGAACAGTCAGCCCGTCAACACCACAAGTACCTACTCGCGAGCTCGGTACTCGGTACAGAAATACCAGCCATGTCATATGTAAGCATGGTTGCTCCACTTGGTATCTGGTGGAGTGGATGTCAGAGTCATGGACAGGATGAAACGAATGAGCACGAAAAGACCTAGAGGATGCAGAACAAGAAGACTTTGTTCCTCCTGGAGGAGAGGAATGGTGTTTTCTTGTTCTTACCATGAGATATTGGGGAGGGTTGGGTGGTTGAAAAAATCTATATTGAACTGATATATTTGTTAATACTCGTACTCTGTGTCCAATCTCCCTGATGGGCACGCGTAATCTTGCCGGGAATCACAAAAGGAAGCAGGGTCATTCCTTCATAACTCTGGCTTCGATGCCCACATAGACCAAAGACAAACGTCAAAAATCAGTGCTTCCTCGGCCGCAGAATGACATTATAGTCCCGGTCCGGCTTGAGAATGGTAAACTCTTTCGTGCCCAGCACCAAGTTGGGATCTTCGAGCTCAATGTCATATCTCAACAGCAACGTCGCAATCATCTTGATGATGAACTGGTTGGCCACGTTCCTCCCAATGCATTGTCGACTGCCAAAGCCGAAGCCTAGGAAACACGTCTTCATCGTAGCCAGATCGGCCTTCTCGTCAAGCCAGCGGTCGGGGTTCCACGTGTTCGGGTCGCGGTAGACGATGGGGTTGCGTCCGATGGTGGCGGCAGGCACCCCGACGTCGACGTTGCCCGGGACGTAAACGCCGCAGATGACAGCCCCCTGAGGTGGAGTCATGCGTGGCATCGCATAGCCGATGGGTGGGTGCATGCGCAGGCACTCGATCTCGGTGGCTTCGAGGAGGCTCAGCTTGTTCAGCATCGAAAAGGGAAGAGGGGTAGCGGCGTCCAGGTTGTCGGGGAACATCTCCTCGAGCTGTTGAAGAATGCGGTGCTTGACCGAAGGGTTCTTGCTGAGATAGTAAGTCATCCAGTTCATGGTAACACTCCCTGTGCTAGCCCCAGCAACCATCAACGACGAGGCCTCAGCTCGCAGCTCTGGAAAGTCCATTCGCGCCCCTGTCTCTGGATCCTGCGCCTCGATGAAACGCTGCATGATATCTTGCCTCGGCTTACCACCAAGGGGCGCCTGGTTACGGTTATCCTGGAATCGTTTCTCCAATGCCTGTCTGGCATATTCCAGATATTCAAGTCGTGCTCCGTACAGCTTCTGAATATATGGCGACGGCACCATACTGAGAATCTTCACATTGTACTTGCCGAAAGGTAGCATGCCACACAGATTGGCAAAGCGCTGCGAGAGTTCCACGAGCTTGGAATATTTGACCGGTTGGCCACCCTCGATGGCGCCAAAGTTGTGGCCAAAGGCAAGTTCGCCCATCAGGTCCATCGTAAAGAGCTCGAACCAGAAATAAATGTCAAAGGGCTGCTGAGTTCTTGCAAACTCGTCCATCTTCCGCAAAAAGATCTGCATCACGGCGTCGACATAGGGCTCGAATAGATACAGAGATTGCATGCTGAAGCCATGGGAGACCATACGCCGCTTTCGCGCATGATTCTTTTTGGACCGGGTTGAGAACAAGGACTCTCCAGTCGTCGAGAAGGCATCGTACCAGCTTGACTTGCCAAACTCCTCTGCTCCCTTTCCGTGGCCTGGTCTAGTTGTCAGCTTGATGCTCACTTGGTGAGCCACGTCGATTCACATACCATAGATGGCTTTAACCGCATCCGGGTGGTTGAATGATACTGCGTTAGGACGTGTCCTGACCGCAACAGAATCTGGATATTGTGCAAAGAGTTCACTTGCCCATTCGGCACGTCTTTTGTCCTTCAAGGCGTTTGCCTCGGGGATGTCGGAGATTCTGGTTGTCCATGGGCCTGGGATCTTGCTCATGGGCGAGAAGAACAGCCGATATATCAAGAGGGCCGGATAGTACGCCACCAGGAGGAGCACAGGCCCCCAGAAGAGGATAGGACGTACAACAAGAGATGTGTCAGCCATGATTGCGGTTGTTCAGCCAAGAGGGAGTCAGTCGCCAGTGATTCAGCAACCACACACGAGCGTTACCTATTTAACGGAACCCTTTGAGGTGCTGCTCGGAGGGGCGTTGTTCACAGTGAACACAAGTCACCACTTTGTCCCAGTTATACACCGTGGCACTCGTCAGCTCAGTGGCAGGTTTCGGCAGTGCCACCACATGTCAGATGGAGAGGATTGAAGTGGGATTTCCCCGCAAACAGTATCCGTCCAGCCCCACGACTTTTGGAGCAGGTAGCGAGGTTGCTCGTTGATATTAAGGGGAGCCAGGCGCGGAGTTTGACCGTCGTTTGTGGGGTCTTAGACTTCCGGCATGGCCATGAATCCATGGGGAAATGCCCGACCGTCCGCCTCCAAGACAAGGGCCCTGGCTCAAGCAACGCCCACAAACGCCTAAGCCTTTAGCCCGCCTGCTTGAGATGAGAAAAGGGGGCAGAGTCATTGGTACTTTCCTTCGAGCTCCACAGGAGTCAGAGCGACCGGATTCATGGACCATCTAGATCCCAGCGTCAACCCCCAATGGGTGTAGAGGAGCGCTTGACTGCGTCCTCCACATGGTGAACATGGGAGAACAGGGGCCACGGGGTTGATCAGAGCCACTTTGGGGGAATTAGTAGCTGCTGGGAACAGATACAAAAACTCATGGGTCGTCTCACCCGCAGTCCCCAGATTTTTCATCCACCTACCCTTACCACGCTGCTCCAGGTTGACCTCCATCAATATCGCTCCCACTATGCAGGAAACAGTAGAGCACAAGACAAGCGTGGACGCGGAGATCGAGGTTGCCCACAATGAGGGCCACGATCTTCCGACAAAGGGATATGAAGATCCTCACAAAGCTGCCCTCGAAGACAATCCTGAGCATGCCGAGAGGCTCAGTCTCTCGGTCATTCTTTCAGCTCTGTTCTTGGGCACTTCTTTCACGGGTCCGATCATCTTCGGCTTCATCCTCGCAACACCCATATTGGTGCAATTGAGTCAGAAGCTGGGTGGTGAAACTATCGACTTCTGGATACCTTCTGGCTGGGGCGCAGCTGCAGCTGTCGGCTTTTCCATTGCAGGAAGACTGTCGGATATCTTTGGTCGTCGTTATGTTATTCTTGTTGGACAACTCCTCACAGTCGTAAGTCTATTTTATTTCTTGCTGCAGGGGCCCGTTGTCGAACGAAGTCCGCGATATTGATTTTGTTCCGTTCGCCCGTTGGCGTGTCCCAACACACTGGATGCCAGCGCTGATGTTGCCTGTGAAATAGATCGGTGGTGCTGTTGCATGCAGTGCTCAGACAATGAATCAACTCATTGCCGGCGAAGTCATCCTCGGAGGTTCCATCGGAACAGTATCGGTAGCCTATGCTGGTGAGCCTCCCTTCAGTGCTCAGTTCACTGCAAAGTTCAGTTCCTTATCTGTTTAAACAGGCCTTTCTGAAATTCTGCCCAACAAATACCGTGGCGTTGGCCTTGCCTGGACAGAACTCAACCTTGCGAGTTGGGCCATCGCCGGGACGCTTCTAGCAAATGCTCTTCTCTCCCACGCTAGCTGGCGGGTGATGTATTATATTGCGATGGGATACGGCGGCTTCTCGCTTGTCGGCACGTTCCTTGTGTATTTCCCACCCAGCCATCCGCGTCCTGATGGCTTGACCAAGTGGCAAGAGTTCAAACAACTCGACTTCACCGGCACCGCCATGTTTGTTTCTGGCCTCGCTGTCTTCCTGTACGGCTTGAACTCGGGTGGTAACACCTATCCATGGTCAGCTGCAGGAACCCTAGCTCCTTTGATCCTCGGAGTGGTCGTGTTTCTGGGATCTTTCGTATACGACTTTACCGTGGCGAAAGATCCTTTGTTCCCGTGGTACTTGTTCAAGAGTTTCCGGTCGTTCTCGTCACTGCTTATGCTTGTCTTCGTGGCGGGCATGGTGTTCTTTGCGGCCTCTGCGCTCAATGCGCAAACAATCCTCTACCTCTACACTGCCGATCCTATCAAGATTGGTGTATACTCCATTCCTTCTGGGTAAGTCTGCTTGCGGTCAAGATGTGAACGTCCATGTTAACAATGCATTAGTGCTGGTCAGCTTGTAGGAGGCGTCATCATTCCGGGACTTGTACACTATATCAAGCACGTCCATATCCAGCTCACCTTTTCTGTCTTTATGCAGACTCTCTTTTTCGGACTGGCTGCGCTCATCACTCCCCACAATATCAACTGGGTCATGGCGGTGCAGTTTCTTGCCATGCTTCCGTTCGGATGGATCACGCTTAACTGCTACACGACAGCATCGCTCCATGTGCCCCAGCGAGATTTGGGAGTCGCCATCGGGCTGATTGGCACTTTTCGGTCTCTTGGGGGATCAATCGGCTCCGTCATCTTTTCGTCCATTTTCAATCAGATTTCGGAGAAGCAAGTCCCCCGTCGCATTTCAGAGGTTGCTCTAGCGGCCAATGTCTCAAGCACGACTCTACCAGACCTGATTGAAGCGGTCTCACTGACACTGGTCGGTGTTCCTGGCCAGGCTGCCACCGTTCCCAGTGTGCCAGCAGCAGTCTTTTCCAAGTGTATAGAGGCAGCCCGGCTCGGATATGCTTACGGATTCCGTATCACCTGGCTATCATCGATCCCTTTCGGTGTCGTCGCCATGTTATGCGCGGTGGCTGTTGCTGATCCTTCCAAGTATTTCACCAACCATGTTGAAGTTCACCTCGAAAAGGAGATTGGTGGCCGAAAGGCCGGGGAGACGAAGGAGGTGGACGTGGAGCATTAATGGAAGTTCGCTTCAGCGGCATGTTATTGACCTGAGCATTCGGTGTCATTAGGACGACATCAGCAAGACGCAACACAATAGGAGCACTCGCTGTTGCCGTCCATTGATAGGGTGTGAGGGATGGGTATCTCTCAATAGAGCATTTATGCACCTTTTCATCCTTCGTCTCCTTATCCAGAACCACCGGTAACGCCCGGGAGTTTGGTGACACCTTGTGGCCAGTCGTTGTACCCCCCCACCTTTTTCTTGGAAGCGGTGTCCCCTCCCGTTCCAGTTAACACACTGTTGTGGCGTGTTCATTTGTAGTTAGCGAGGTCAGTCAAGGACTTGAACCGGGGACTGGCTGGCTCCATGGAGGTGGATAGCGAGTGGTGAGAGGTGCAAGGAAAGTGAAGCAACGAGTTGACCCTGGTTTATGCTCAGGGACGAATCGACATCAACGAATGGACGAGGGACAGCAAAATGTCCCCCCCCCTTCGCCCCGCTCCGAAATAGAAAAAAAAAAAAATAAAAAAAAAGTTTTAGTGAACGTAACAACAGGATTCAACAGTCTCGAAGTCTGTCTGTCACACGACGGAGACTTGGGCATTTCACCAACTAGTGCAACATTACTTACACTTGACTACAGCCCCGACTCTGTCTAGGTTGTTGTCTGCTCTTTTTCTTCCTTCGGTTCCTTTTTGCTCTTATCTCTTCACCAAGTACAATTCCTTGTACTCTTTTTGCTTCTCCAACAGTCCATTGACGGCTGCTGTCGTTGTTACCCCGCGTTCACTCACTCGTTTCGACATTTCCCCTTTCCGCCATTCAGGTCGATTGCCATGATGTCCGAAATCACTCATCCTACAATTAAAGGTATGATACCCGTGTTCGTTGTTCTGTTTGAGATCCTGTACACGACCTGACTCGCGCGCGTTCATCACAGATGGCTGGTTCCGAGAAATCTCGGACATGTGGCCAGGCCAAGCCATGATCCTCAAGGTCAACCAAGTCCTTCACCATGAGAAATCCAAATATCAAGACGTCCTGGTCTTCGAAAGCAGTGATCATGGCACAGTCCTGGTCCTTGACAACGTTATCCAATGCACCGAGCGGGACGAGTTTTCTTATCAAGAGATGATTACACATTTGGCCATGAACTCTCACCCGGACCCAAAGAAGGTCCTTGTCATTGGAGGTGGTGATGGAGGCGTTTTGCGGGAGGTCGTCAAGCATGAATCAGTGGAGAAGGCTATTCTCTGCGACATTGACGAGGCGGTCATCCGCGTCAGCAAGAAATACCTTCCTGGAATGTCCATTGGATTCCAACACCCGGCAGTCGAGACCTTCATTGGAGATGGCTTCAAATTCCTGGCAGACCGCAAGAACGAATTCGACGTCATTATCACTGATAGCAGTGATCCCGAAGGTCCTGCAGAGACCCTTTTCCAGAAGCCTTACTTTGAGCTGCTCTATGGAGCTCTGAAAGACGGTGGTGTCATAACTACCCAAGGTTGTGCGCACCCATCTCCCTACACATTTCTTTGAGCTTCAAGATGCTCTGTTCCCACATATACCTGGAGAAGCAACACGCTAACACATATTTACTCTCTAGCCGAGAACCAATGGCTCCATTTGCCTCTGATCACCAAGTTGAAGAAGGAGTGCAAAGAAGTTTTCCCAGTAGCAGAATATGCCTACACCACGATCCCGACCTACCCCTCGGGCCAGATTGGTTTTATGGTCTGCTGCAAGGACGCCAACCGCAACGTCAAGGAACCATTGCGATCTTGGAGCCCCGAGGAAGAAGAGAAACTGTGCAAGTACTACAACAAAGAGATCCACCGAGCGAGTTTCATCCTTCCCACGTTCGCTCGGAAGGCATTGAAGTAATCAACGCACTCACACGAGGCTTTCTGTGCAGGGCTTTCTTGAGGTTTACAGGCATGATACCAGGTTGACTTTGGGTCTTATTGTTTTAAACGCGTGGTTTTGTCGGCGGCTTTGTTTAAAGTCTGCCGTTCCAAAGAGCAGGGACGGGGGAAACGCACGCCGATGGAAACATAGAGAAAGAGCAATGAGATTTTTGACATGAGGCTTACGACCTTTAATGATAGAAGAATGTCGTCGATCAGCGATTCATGTTTCGCTGTTTCTGTATGTTCGGGGGACGATGCCCAACCAGTGGCAGAGGGGGAAAAGATGGGAAATTTCAACAATGACTTCACAGTGGACCACCAGGTGATGTCATTACCATTTTTCCAGTGAGAACAGTGACAACAGTGACAGCCCTCGGATGATCAATGGCAAAAAATACTGAATGGTATTTCTTTCGACGCTGACATCTCGTCGTGTGAGCTCTTTCTTCTTTCTTCCTTGACCATATCATATCATCTCACAACCTCTCTGGCTTCAAGACACCTCCAGACCCAATTCCTTGCCCAAAACTACAAAAAGGTCGACGCAGATATCAAGTCCCCTTTCACAAATACCCCAATAACCTAACGTCACCTACATTGAACCCGAAAAAACTCCCACTTTCTTTCCGAAGGATTTCTGCAGAAAACAAAATGTCTTTTGCAGCAAACCCCCGTGCCCCGAAACCCGACCGGGACAACATCTCCCAAGAGCCAACGGGGCCCGTGGCGTCGGACTCGCTCGCTGCCGAGTCGCTCAAGAACCGTGGCGGGTTCACCGAAAACAGCTCCGCGGCGCCGCTGGGCGTCCGGGGCGACCAGTCCACGCTCAACAACACGGACACCTCGGGGGCGACGACGCTGCCGCCCGCCGAGTCGGGGAGTGAGCGGGAAAAGAAGAATGCCCTTGGCGCAGGGGCTGATGAGAAGGGCGTCGCTGGATTGAAGTACCCCGAGGGGGCGGGCAGGGCGCAGTTTGACGGCGCACACAGTGCCCAGGGGGGTTATGTTGGTGGTAGGCAATCTAATAGCAGCGGTGGCGGACAGGCTAGGCCAGCGGGAGCGAGTGACTTTGGTGCCTCGACGACCACCTCGTCCTCCACGCGCGGTGCTGATGACCAGTTCATACGGTCTGGCGCGGGCGTCAACAATTCCGCTTCAAAGAGCAATACCACCCAGAGCAGTGGCGCCGGAGGTGGTCCCGCCGCCGGCACGGGGGTCCGTCCCCACGTCGACGCTGCCCCCGGGTACGTCTCGAGCGTGACAGGGGATGCCGCCCCCGCGGGCACGTTTAAGCCCAAGGGCGCCAACCTCGACGACGCCGACGTCTCGCAGAGTATACCGCAGACAAAGACCTTCACGGGCGCCATCGGCACGGTCAACGACCCAGGACGCCTCGCCGAGCGCGAGTTCCTCGGCCGCAACGACGACCCTATCGGCGAATTAGGTCAGGCTGGCGTTGAAGGGGGTCGAGCGAGACAGCAGGTTCAGGACAGTAAAGCAGGCGATCAGGGCCAGTATGGTGTCCTGCAGAGCGAGCGGGCCTAGTTCTATCCACTGGACGGTTGTCATGGCCTGGTTCAGAGATGACCATCGTTGTTCAGGATGGCGTGGTAGTATCAGTGCGTACGGAGGCGGAGTTGGAATGGGTTTGAAAGTCATGAAAGAAACCCTGGGGGTTTCAATCAAATCTTGTTTGCCCAAAGGAAGGGAAAAAGGGAAATCTGGGGGAAAAAAGCCATTGATGGATAGTTGAAGCAGCCTTCGACTATCACATACCTCACAACGACATGTCACATATCTCCCGTCACATGGCCTATATTGAATAGTACATAATGGCATTCAGCATCCTGAATTCCTATCCTGACCTGCGTCCTGATCAAATCGATTGGGTTGGGTTGGCTGCTGCGGTCGTAAATTGTAGAGCGTCACTGTGTCTTTCTTCCTCAGGCAAGACACTTCCAGAGACCTAAGACAGAATCGAGTAGAACAACTGGTGGACATGAGTACAATACCTACTCGAGTTTCGCATCCATTCAGGTGTGAAATTTACTCCGTCCTCGTTCATCCATAAAGTAATCCCCCGTCTTCGGTCGAGGTCTCAACCTTTCGTGGCTTCATCTTCCTGCAACGTGCAGTGGCAGCAGCCCTAAGCGTGAAATATCTTCCTAGCCAAGCATGACGACCGATGCACCTGATCGGGTTGTCGCGCGTGTCCTTGTGCCTTGGTGTTGTGGGATGTCTAGTGTTTGTGGGCCTGCGATTCTCTCACCTGCGCCTCCGAGAATCTCTCCTCGTCACCCTTTTGTGGACTCTGTTAATTACCTCGTGCAGGTCTCAAACTGCCCGTACAGTAGTGCTTCACTTCTTAAGACATCAGCTGCTTGTAATCCTCGAGTCAAATTGGCTATCTGAGTTGTATCCATTCCCGCCTGCTGTTCATTATGCAGCTCTGAGTGCCAGACCTACGACGACCTTCCTTTGCTCCCACGTCAAATCTCCTCGATGTCGCGAAATGCTGCCCTTCACTCACGACGACGGAAGTCGAATTGGGACTCCGGAGAGGGTCGTCGCTTGTAAAAGATGCTCACACGTAAAAGACAAGCTTGAGTCTTGACCAATCAAAAAGATGCCAAACATTGCATTGTCATGGGAAGGGCGTCGCAATGGTAGCGATACGAGCCAGATACGTCGATCTACCGAGTCTTGCGACGAACGCACTCCAAGCAGCTCATAAAGCTGGGGCCCAAGTTTTGCGTTTCCATGATTTCTGTACCCTACTCGCCAGCTACAAACCAAAATGTTCCCCCTCGTCTCACTACCAGATCCACGAGACTACGATGTTGATGTCGAACTAGGGTTTGTTGCCGCGAAGTCGACTGAGTTGCCAGCATACTATGCACCCTGGTGCAACCTCCTCTCGCATCTGCCGCACCTGCTTGAGGCTGAGGCTCTTCAGGCCCAGGTCAGCCATCTTGAAATACTCACGACTGATCATCTCACGACCTCTGCGCACTGGCAACGTGCATATGTTGTCCTAGGGTTTCTGACCCAGGCCTTCATCTGGCAGGACAAAAGAAGGCCCTCACAAGTTGTTCCGGCTAGTCTCGCCGAGCCTTTTCTCGAAGTCTGTAGCTATCTCGGGACGGAACCCGTTCTCAGTTATGTCGGACTCTGCCTGTGGAACTGGATGCAAAGAGATCAGGAGATCCGGTTGCCCCCGTCGCTGGCTCTGGCCGACTTTCGGGACATCAAGTCTGTCGCTTCTTTTACAGGCACGAGAGACGAAGACGCATTCTATCTAGTGCCAGTGATGGTCGAGGCTCAGGGCGCCAAGCTCATCAAGTTGATGCTGGATACAATCGTTGCAGACCAAAATGGAGAAATACTAGACTTGGCGTCCGTCTTGGATGTTTGTGTGAAAACACTCACGACCATGAGGGAGACTCTGTCTGTCTTAGACCGGAATTGTGATCCAACCTTCTTCTTCCAAAAGATACGCCCGATGCTCGGAGGCAGCTCGGGTGCAGAAGAAAAGGGACTCCCTAATGGTGTTTCGTTCGAACGAAGTGACGGATCTCGAGTCGTCATCAAGTGCGTTGGAGGCAGTGCAGGACAGAGTTCTCTCTTCCAGCTTCTCGATCACATGTTTGGTGTCCGCCACGAATCCAAAATGCTGCTCGAGATGAGGGCCTACATGCCAAAACGGCACAGGGACTTTCTCGAAGCGGTTGAACTCATGCCTTCGTTGCGGGACATGATTGAGCGACGCCCGGAGGACAAAGAGTTGGGTTGTGCCTTTCAAGGCGTCCTCGATGCATTGCAGAAATGGAGAACGAAGCATGTCCACATCGTGTCGAGATTTGTTGTCCTGCCCGCCGCAGCTGAGGCGAAGGGCAAGCCTGCTGAGCAGCAGAAAGGCACGGCTGGCTCGCAGCCGATTCCATTTTTGAAACAATACAGGGATGAGACAGTGTTCAAGCTTCAAAATCAATAGGATCTGCTTCTCGAAGGGAGAATTTGCTGCAGAAGTTCTTGATCCCGCCATTTTCTGTACCAGCCGCCAACGACCTAGCTAGACTTTTGTAGGGCGAATCCAGGCCCTTAGCCAGGGGACGATCCAGCCGGAGAGTCGGCAAGACATTAGGGTTTCTAGGCGACGGACTTAAGCTCAGGAGCGAACGCACGGGCATCCACGACTTGTTCTCTGATTTGTGGAGGAAATGCACCACATGTCTTGGACTGTCTGACTGAAAGGTAAATAATTACATCACTTGATCGCCAGCCGATAGCAGCTTAGCCTTTCATTCAGAGAACAGATGCCCCAATACGAGGTCCTTGTTCCCGGCTGCTGGACAAGGCTGACAGCTTCTCCATGACAAACCACCCAGTCGAGCCGTGCATGCGTTGCACGGAGAAAGATATCAATGATGGTGCATAATTGCGGCCTCTTGTCAGCTAGACATGTCACGCCATGAATTGGCAAAGCGAGCGCTGATAGTTACAATTTTTCTCTGAGCAGGCAATTTGGAAGTTGCGGCTGAATTTGTTCTTGTCCTTTTGCTCTTCTCTCGCCGACCTTTTTCACAACAGCTCTTTGACCTTAGCCGTTAGCCTTCGCTTGACACTTCATATGGTGCGAAACAAGAAAGAGGAACTGGTCTGCAAAAAAGGGGGGGATGGAAAAAGAGTCCAATCCTAGGGGGTTTTTGCATCCCCCCAATATCCTTCCTTCCGTCGTCTCGGCCTACAACAATATATCGTTTCTGTGCCAACGCATGCGGCACGACGAACGCGTCCATGCTATCATCGAGGACAGCGCATGTTGGGGCACACTTTGTTGTCAAGTCCCGGGCACGCATCCAACCTCGCAGGCGAAAATATGCTCGTCGTCCGGCAGAGTACAAGCCCGTCAGTTCCGTCAACCCATGCCCATTTTAACAACGAAGACACTGGTAACGACTTCGTCGTCTAGGAATACGTCGCAGGTCAGGTTGCATACAATTAATTTGAGAAAGCTTATCAAGGCGGCAAGGAGGCGGAGTCTCCGCTGGGTCTTTCAAGGCCATGACTTCTTGTCTTCGCGCGCATGGCGATTTTCCTCCGTCGAACATCATCTTACGTGGTGATAACACGGTTTTCACGATCGACAGTACGTGGTCGGCTGACATTCGAGCTACGTGGAGGACTGCAATGTCTCATCACTTATGTCTTTCGAGATCGATTGGTCCCTTTGTAGCTGCTCTCCCACGTACAGACATCTCTCTGCACGTTTTTCTTCATCCTTCGTGAATTAATCGCGCGAGGAGCATCCTGCCCCCCGAATCCCCCGAATTCTGGTATAAGTATTTATCAGCAACATCAGAATTGGAGACTAAGCGCTGGTCAAAGTAGATGTGAAGACGTCACTGATTGAGGACGGTGACCGGGAGCCATTCCAGAACAAGACTACTTCCGTCAACGTCTTTCAGGCAGGCACTGCTTGACCGACGGGAGCTGGTATTCCCTGGTTGAACAGGCATTGTCGTCCAGAAGGACCTTCCCATGGGTGCCGTGTTACCTGTTGCCTAACTCTATCGGGAACGTTAGACGGCTCCCTTGAACTTGCAGCATTGCCACGACCACGTATTCCCATTAGTTATGTTTCATCAATCAATCAAGTAAAATCAATTAGAAGAAGAAATTAGCTCTCACAGCGCACGCAGCTATGAACACCAAAAGCGGAGGACCAGAAACAAGCCCTTTTTCGAAAACAGCATGGCCCTCCATCTAACCCCTTGGAAAATGATGGGTGCCTCCGAGGCTCTGACTACACTGTGACCCCTGCCCGACGGTATACGAGCCTTATGCGGTGGAGTCAGGTGGGGGTTGGGGGACCGAGTCTCATCGTTCGAAATAGCTAATCATGTTTTTATTCTGGTGAGGATATTGATCCAGCGGTATACAGTCCCCGGGGTCAGGTTTGGCCGAGTTCCACATTTCCGCATCTGGCATCATGGCCTGAAGTGGAAGTATAGGCTCGATCGGGTTCGCTCCATATACTCCATATACCCGCTCCATATACATTTCCAACCTCCATTTCAAAGGAGTACCCTCGCAAGTCTTGGATTGCATTTATCAGCAAGTGTACTCGATGGGTGGGCATTGCCCTTCTGTTTCGACTATATATTCTTGTGAGGCAACAGCAACGTCGACTTTTGCTTGAGTACCAAGGAACATCCAAGCGGCAGACGTGTTCTTGTTCTGCTCATTCTATTGCAAACAGTACCTCGCCCGTAATCCAAAGTTCAAAGTCTCAGAATCGGAATTATGGCTCCCTTCCACATCGGCGCGCTGGTGTACAACTACCAGGCAATCGACGTAATTGGTCCCTTTGATTTGCTCAACTCTTCTGGCAAAACTCTCCTCGACGCCATGAGCTTTTACATCCCGATCGACGAAAAGGTGCTTGCCGACGCACCAGAGTTCGTATTCCATCACATCGGCGAGACCCTGGAACCCGTGCACCTGCTCACCAGTTCCGTCACCATCGTCCCCAACACCACCGTCAAAGATTGCCCGGAATTGGATGCCCTGCTCATCGGTGGGCCCAATGTCGCCGACTTTGAGCTTTCCCCACAGTTCGCCGATTTCATCCGCCGCCACGTCGCCGCCGGCAAGCTTCTCTTTACCGTCTGCACCGGCGCCGGGGTGGTGGCGTCGACCGGAGCCCTCGATGGCCGAACGGCCACAATCAACAACCAAGAATTCCACTGGACGAAGAAGCAGTACCCCAAAGTCAACTGGACAAAGGACAAGAAGTGGGTGGTGGATGGAAACATATGGACGGGGAGCGGTGCGGTGGCGGGCATGGACATGATTGCCCACTGGATCAAGGAGAATTATGGCTTGCATGTGGTGACGCAGGGAACCAGCGGGCTGGACTATGAGCCGAGGGACATCGATGGGGCATTCGATACCGTGTTGAAACAGAGGTACGATGGCAGTGGGAAGCGCTTGCCTGCGCATATATTCCCATGATGGATTGCCAAATCAGTCGAGCAGTGACTAGGGCGTTCTAGACGCCAGAGAAGACGGACGAATGCGTTAGCCAATCTCGTAGATAAAAAGTTCTCCGTTTACTGCTTACCATGTTCTTCCCGAATCAAATTCATTTTCCTCCATGATGTTATTGTTATAAGCCAGGTGATCGATTCAGTCCCCTCTGCGTGCCCACTATTGCGGACTGGCAGTGGCAGTCCAGCAGTCTATGTGGACAAACAAGAGATTTGGAAAGTCAGGATGGCATCGAGAAAGGGGCACTGGCAATACTTGGACAATGCACGGATGCTCGGAATCCCCGGTAGTTGTCGCAGAATCTGAGGGTTTGGTCGAAGAACGAGATGTCTGGCAAATCATCCCATGCTTGCACTTGTCTCAGCACTCAGAAACCCATCCAGGCCGCTCATAACCTCTCTAGCAACATCTCCGGCAAGCACAGCGTTGACCACCTTCTTGAGTAGATTCCTCTTGACGCCGCCAATCCTCGGCCGCCAAACACCAGGCACATCGACTCCTTCTTGTGTCTCGCCGGATAATGGCACGCCCTTCATGGTATCCCTCGCAGGAGTATCGATCATCCGTGTCGCCAGCAGTTGCAACTCCCCATCCGTCGATGTGTTTCCCACACTGACGGCGATGACACTGTCCGCAACGGCAAGCTCTTCTCGGCTGGGATCGAAAATGATATTCTCGCCGACCACAACGACAAGAAGAGTCACAGGAGGTTTTGCGCCGAGCGGTGTGGTTCGTGGATAAAGGTATGTGCTCGCCATCCAATCGTCATCTGCAATAGGGTCTTCTTCTCCCTCGCTCTTGAGCTTTGGAATACGCGTGTCACGCAATGCCAAATGTGTCGCCATACTCAACAGCGGGAGTGGATAGCTTGCGAGCCCATTCGGTGAAATCAAAAGGACATCGATGTAGACGTGCCAGTGCCATCGGGAATTGATGATCAAGCTGTCCTGCAGCGACGTAGCGGTTGTCGAAGAGGACAGCGCCAGTGGTTCTCGAAGCATCTCCTCCAGGAAAACCAAGTTTGGATCGTCATCTCGGAGGCCAGGGAGTGTGAGGGTCAGCGACACCCACTCCGGCTTTCCCTTTCCACGTTTTTTACCAGAGTTCCGGGACTGGTCATCTGCATCAACGTCCATCACGCCATCCTCAGATTGTGTTACGCGATTCCCCGCGACAGTCTTTTCCACCTCGAGTTTGACGCCGACAATGGCTTCGCGGCCATCACTGAACCCGACGTGTGCGCTGCCGTTCACAGCAGGGAGCACACCCGTCTCGGCTCTCAATGCTCGAAAGTCGGTCGACAGAGGGCGCGCATCCGGCCGTAGAGGAGGAATCGAGGATAGAGAGGTATGTAGATAAGCAAGCTCGGCTGGCGAAAAAGGGAGGGAATTGGTGAGAGAAGGCATCGTAGAATTCAGCAGCGCGGGGGGGGAATCTGTCGAGGCCAGGCGTCAAAAGACTTTTAGAGTCGGTTCGAGAACAGCGGGGGAGGAAGGGCCGAATTCCTAGCGTGCTAGAGCCAAACAGAACTAAAGAGCGACAGGAGGCACCAGGCCTGTTGTAGCGGCAGATTGGGTGAGTTTCTGGTGGAATCCGAGCCCTCTGCAAGAAAAAAAGTCCCAGTTTGATATGCGGAGTTACGATTCATGCATAACAGGCAAAGTCCGATGCCAGGCTAAGTACAGCAAGGATATCATGCCGCCCTTATAGATTCCAGGAAATCATGAGCAATTGTATAAAGCAGCGCCTACACCGGCCACTTAGAATTTACATGTCTACGCAGGCATGGCAGGACGGCACAACTGATAGCATATTCATGTGAGATACACACAACATGGGCGAAATAGGAGGAAGAAGGTGGTCTGTGGAAGTATTGATGGATGTTTTACAAGGCGAATGCCTTAGCTACGTGGCAAACAAGCACATAAAGTGTCTAGAACCTCGTAGCAATATAGTATCTCTCCGTCTAATTCATACTAATCCATACACCCAGTGATATTTATACTCATTCAATCATGGAACCAAGAACGTCAACCGTCGAGGCCAATGCCTTCCATATCACCGCTGACGCCTACCAGCCTCGTCCGGCCGGCCTTCGCCCCATACACCATTTCCATCAATTTGCTCTTCTGCTTTTCTCGGACGCCCTTGAGGTAGTCATACGTTCCCTCGAGTCCTCGGACCTGCTGGTCAATGACGCTGGCGTTGTCCACGGTGACAGAATCATTCCTCCTTACCAAAGGACTCACCAATTTCCTGCGCAAAGTTTCCAAATTCACTTTTAGGGTCTGCAGTCTTCCGTGATGCTCCATCAACAAATGCTTGTTGTTGACTGTCCTCGCTCGTACGCTCGACAACAGCTGCTTGTTCTTCTCAAACTTCCTTAACATGGCTGCGTTTGGACCTATCACCCTGGTCCAGAGCGATGAAAGAAGATCATTTTCTAGTCGTTCTTGGGTATCGGTTTCTCGAACCACGGTTCGTTGCAGGTTCAGGAACTGTCGATCGATCGATTCAAACAGCGCGAACAGTGCTGCAGAGTGCGTCAATTCGCTGTTAATCGACTCCTCGAGCACATTCACAAACTCGTGGAATGTCCTCGTTAGGGTTGCCCGGGCTCGCTGCGGCGAACTGGCCCCAAATACGTCGGTCAGAAATTTGCCTAGCGGTGTGGGCCCTCTGGATGTCTCGAGCAATCCTCCTCGATTGAAGATGCCGTGTAGGTGATCGAATATCACACCAGAGAACGATATCCCTTGGGTCGACGTAAGGCCTTCCAGTTCTCGTTTCGCCCAGTCCATGACAAGCAAAATGCTGTCGACGTCCGAGTCCACATCAGCGAAGAACCGAGTCAACTCTAGGCCAAGTGTTTTCAAGCTCTCGGACAGCTCGTCCAGGGAGCGCACGATCAATGGTGCTGAGGTCATGTTGGCGCTTCTGACCGACTCACCCAGATCCCACACTGCCACGCTTGTCTCTTGCAATGCCGTGATTTGGGTATAGCCATTCTCCGAATAAAAAATCAAGGGCTCAAATGACTTGGCCAGAGTGGAAACCTTGACCAGGTCGGGCACAGGAGGTGGAATCGGAGGAACAAGGATGATGCGCAGCAGCGAAGCTACCAAGATGGTGGTTATAATTGATATGAAAGTGCTTGACTTCGTCTTTGTCATGGCGTCGAATTTTCCCTGTACAAAGTTGAGAAAAGGCACGAACGGTTCTCGATGCTGCACTTCTGCTCGGAGTTGTAGGCGAATGTCTAGATCACTGTTAGTGAGATGACCAGACTCTATCAGGGGCACCATGTACAATTGTTTGGACTCTCAGGAGGTATGGAGTCTGCTTGGTCAAACTTTCCCATATTGGCTTCATACTGTGGCTCTACCTCCGGAGACCGCTCCCTCACCGGCGAGTCCGTCCCTGCCGGCAAGGGTGTGTTCACTGCTATGGTGATATCCGGATCTCCCTCGGTCGCATCTTGGTAGATTTCTGGGCTGGTTTGTCGCGACCTTGAGGGACTTATCGTAGGACGTAAATCATATTTCCCGTACGGATCGTGTCTGAACCATCCACTAGCATTCGAATTGCGACTTTTGAACCCCGGAGGCGACCATGGCAAGCCCGCGCTGGACTGGTCGTCAAGTTCACTGTCTCCCTCCTCTGATCTGAACCCGGATAGAAGGGGTGAGCGTCGCTCGTGTTCTTCGAAATCTTCGATCGAGGCCTCCAACAACGAATGCGCATCTCCATGCAATCTTTCGGCGAAGTGGTCCTCCATCGGCGGCGAGGGCATCATGGTAGCCATAACGGAAAGCAGAGGGAACAGTTAGAGAGCATCAAGCTGCGCAGAGCGCAGAGGGGTGGGGTAAGAGGCCGACAACAAGGTCTCCTCCCAGAGTAGTCCTCTTTGTACAGAACCCTGTCACTAGGCAACGATTGAATGAATGCAGTCACCTTTGCGCAAGCCACACCTATTGTTTCAAATGAAAGAAACCAGGATAAAGGGACAAGGAGTCCATAATAATGTTAGAGAATGGCGAAAGGGGAAGTCCATCTTCTGGAGAATGCGGGACAGCCCAGCCACTTCCTCACAAATGCGATCATCCGAAATCTTAGGGACGGGGCCTATGCTGGCACAACCGCAAAGAACCCTCGAGAGGGCTGCGTCAGGCAACTTTGCAACAGAAAGGACGGAAGAGGAGAGAAATGATGGAGGCTGGGACAGCTGGCAATCGTGGTGTCGCAGTCTAGAACAGGCCGCTCCACCAATCACAGCTCAGAACACGGTCAAGACCAGGATTCTTGATGCAAGGGCGACACGCCCCGGCCGCATCTTTAGCTTCTGTCCATGCGGCAACGCAGCTCCATAATTGGGGGCAATGACTTGCGAAGCCAGCTCAGAGGGAGGCTAGCTGGGCTTATCAGCTCAAGGCAGGTGGGATCGCGAGCTCGTCATGCGGCGGCAGGGCTGCCCATCTGGATCATCTCAAGACCCGCGAGGAATGGCTGAGGAGAGAAGAGTTGCTTGATTGTCCGTCCTCTGCCGCTAGCTGTACCTGTTTCACGAGGGGAAATGCAGGTACGCCTTGGAGGACTCCAAGCAATAGGAGGATTGTGGTTTTTTATGTACAAAAGGCTTCGTCTACCGGCTTCTCCGGCTTCTACCGTCCCATCCCACCCGGCTTATTGGTATGCAGAGTCCAACATTCAGATTAGGTAAATGTGCGCCTTCGTTTCTTTGATGATACAAGCAGCCGATGATCCCGAAGAACGTCGAAATGAGCGCACTGTCAAGCAGTTGTGCCAACTAGAGTAGAGATCGCGTCTACTTGGTCTCCTCGCGCAGCCAGCTGGTAAAGAGTCAGTACAAGTAAAAGAGTACAGTGCCGTTGAGGCTCAAGGGGTACTAACGTGATCAGGTCGTTCCTGTCCTTGCCCTTCTTGAGGCCACCGAAGGCCATCTTTGTGCCGGGGATATATTTCTTGGGGTTCTCGAGGTATTCGAACTGGACAGAGGTCAGCATCGACTATAACTATATGATTCAACGTAATGAACTCACCAGAGTATCCTCCTTCCACGTAATACCCTTCTGCTTGTTCGCATCTGTGTATGAGAAGCCCTCGACGGAGCCAGTCTTGCGGCCGAATAGACCGTGCAAGTTAGGGCCGATCTTGTTGCCCTCAGATTCAACCACGGAGTGACATTGCGCGCATCTTGTCTTGAAGAGGTTGGCACCCTTCTTGACGTCACCTGGAAGAAGCGATTGTGAGCTTGTATTCTTTGCCTCTTGTTGCTCAGTTCTCTTTGCAGTCTTGTTCGCAGCAGCTTCCTGTTCTTGCCGGGGTCGGGTCGCTTCAAGCTCGTCGAGCTCATGCGGGAGGTAAACCAAGTATGACCAAGTCATTATATCGACAACCTCAGATTCTAGTATGGGGGACTGAGAACGTGGTGGTTGTGTCGCGCTGCGATCGTTCGGTCGTGATATGATTGTTGGGACAGCGGCTTCCCAGCTCGAAGAAGAGCTGGAAAGCGGCGCCGAGCAGTCATGCGACTCGCAGTGAGGCTAGGATGTGATACAAAGGTGCGAAGTGTGACCGTTTGACAGGTGAAAGCGTTGCGTGAAGCTGCTGCGAAGCTGTAATGGCCGTGAAAGCAAAGGATGCACTTACCCTCCTTGAAACCGTCGTCACCCTTGGCCATTTTGAGAACACCGAATAGTCTGAAATAAAGAGAGAACTGATATGAGGACGGCTGAGGTGGTTCTAGGGAATGAGATAGCTTGGATGGTTGTTGTCAGAGCAAATAGTGAAGATGTTGTTCGGAGCAAAAAAGTCGAAGGGGAAGCAAGAAAAGAAAAAAGGTGACGCCGATGAACGACAGACGAGGACCCGAATCCACCACAATCCACTCGCCAGTCATTTTGCCCACTCTGCCACTCAAGCCATTCCACAGCGACCTATTGTGGCTGTTCCGCTGGTTTTCTTCCGGACAGCCACCTGCGAATCATGATGCGGCTTTTGTCATCGGCAATTCTCGGGACTCCAACTCACTCTGCGCAGGCTGCGCAGGTAACAAGTCTCGCTCAAGAACCCGTGCCTGAGCCAATTTATGTTTGATTGTCTGCAGTGTTTCTAAATTTCTCCCTTGGGCCTGCCTTCTTGATTCCATATTCGAACGCTGGATCAGTTGTTCAAAGTGGTCTACTTGGTGCCCACAAGCTCCCAACATCGAATGGCAGCCAAAGATGCCCTACAAGCTCCCAAGCTCTCCCCAACAAGGACCTTGGTCCCTAAAATGAGGTCAATGACGTCGGCGTCTGGCTCGGAAAAACGGCTGAGGTACATTTAATATCTGCGATCACTGTTCCGGTGGCTGGACTATCGCCACAATAGCTGCGCCGAACCACGGCAGCCTACTGCTTCCTGCGTTACATCCTATTACCCGATCGTGGTCATCCAACAGCAGCAGTTGGGAAAAACACTACCTCGGATTGGCCCCTGGTTGATAAAGCCTCCATTGGGTAATGCCGAGCATGCTCAAATTCTCCCGTCACTTCTGCAATGATGCCCAGAACTCGTCAAGGAGCTCGTGCCTCTTGACGGCGAGATCAAAGTCGCCGTAGGGTTCTCCTGCAGCGTAGGCTTCATACAGCCGACCAATGTTCTGACCTTGCGTTGGTAAGTCTGTCCATTCCTGCCCACCTTCATCCACGACAATTTCCTCGACGACTCCTTTCTCCGCATTGGAGAAGAGTATATTGGTTGCTTTGGCAATCTGCGGTCCAGCACCGGCGAATTCCACGACTAGTTCGCCTTTGGTGCCATATATCCTCCACGTTGATCCTGGGTTATCGATGAATCTGTCTCCGGCTCTCAGATGGAAGCTGAATACTGCAGACGGATGTCGGTCCAGGCGCCCTTGGATAAGGATTTGGTCGGGCGTGTCCTTGTCGTAGAGCTCTTCCGACAAGGATCCGTCAGATTTCATAACGTGCATTCTGGGCCGCAAATTGACCGCCATAGGGGTGTAACTCCCAGGTTTCAGTTCACCCACCGCATACAGGATGGAGTCGAGGATGTGGCCGCCATATATGGTCAACAAGTTGCCGCCGATTCTGCGATCCATGAAATATTGATATCTCTCGCTCGCTGCATTGTTTTGCCACACATGAATTGCCGCCTGGTAATTAACACTGTGGATTTCTCCTATGGCCCCTGCATCGATGAGCTCCTTTACCTTCTTGACGCTGGGCGCCACACGACCCTGGAGGCCAACAATGGTCTTGATATTCTTCTCTCGAGCAACAGCTGCCATCTCCTTTGCCTGCTCTGTCGTTGCAGCGAGAGGCCATTCCACAAAGACATCACGGCCGGCTTTCAGAGCCGGCATGGCGACATCATAGTGAGTGTCAACTCGCGTTGACACCACGTATAAGTCAACATCAGGGTCGGCGGCGAGCTGGTCGTACGAGTCGTAGGCTTTGGTGGACTCGGGGAGATTGTGTGCTTTGATGGCTGCTTTTGTGGATTCCAGGGTCGTGTTGCACAGTGCCACGATCTTGAAATTCGGAGAGCTGGCCAGTCGAGGTAGATGAGCCAGAGGTGCCCATGTGGTCGGTTTGCTTGACAAGCCCACGATTCCCACGCGAATGGGAGCCATTGCAACAATTAGTATAGGGGGTGCCCAGTTCACGGCAGGTGACAATGTATAGGAGGACTCGCAGGTTTCGTCAAGCTTGGATGTGTAGGGAAGCTGTGTACCTTGGATGGTGCAAGGCCTGCCCGTGTATTCGGAAGCACTTGCTCTCTATAAGTCGATAGACGTTGACTGAGAGTGATATTGGTAATACAGAGTCTTGCAAGTGTTGCGCACTGGATGCCTTGGGTGCCTAGACATCTGTTCAGTGGCTGACAAATCGGCCTTTATTTGTCTGACTGCGATTTTGTTGTTTGTCGTTGGCTTCCACATTGCGTGCTCAATCATTTCCCTCGGTCTGATTCCACCATAAACACATTGACAAGGACGTGATCCTTACCGTATGTGAGAGACGCCTCCAGCTCTATACTCGGAAACAGGCGAGATTGCCTCAGAGCCAGGTGTACTTGGTACTGGTCCTATCACTGGTGGTTGGAGCAGATCTTCCACTCACTCAACGCTCCAGGTCAGAGTCGACTTCTACGAGGAATGCAGCTTCTCAGTGGACTGCGTTCCTTCAAGCCATCCTAGTCCATCTGGTCCCTTTCATGTCCCGCAACTCAATTCCTGGTTCGTAGGGTGCGTTCACATCAAAGAGGAGGAATTGCTTGGCTTTTCATCGCTTTACTTTGCTTGGGGGACGCCTGCAGACGCCGTATGCGACGAATCATGGTCTCTATGGCACGGTAGCATAAAAAAGACGAGCAGGAATGTGGAGACTTTCCCACGATCACCAACTCTTACCTTTCCCCTACTTATACGAGTCGCGACAGTGTCAGCCGAGTCCTTATCTCTAACGAAAAGATTCAACAGCCATGTCAGCTTCGCAGGATTCAATACGAATCTCGCCTATCAGATCGAGAGGGCTTGTATAACCTTGTCGACTCGTTGCCCTTTCTGGCATGGATGCATGGCACACGTTGTGGTCTTTACAACCACGGGAGGCCTTTTCTTTTAAGGCCACCTTCAGCTTCATTCAAGCCCGACCTCCATCGCTTTCTTCTCTGTGGGTTGTTTTGACGAGTTTCCTCTACACCATGCCGAGCTCTCAGTACACAGCGTCGATTGCAGCTGCGCTTTTCTTGTCCTTCGTGGTTTGGCTAGTTTCCTTCTCCCTGAAATGGCGCCGACATCGTGCGAAGTATCGACATCTACCGTGCCCACCGCACGACTTTTGGTGGGGTCATCTGAAGATCATCGGCATGGCGAAAAGGGAGATGCCGCCTGGATGTAAGTCCTCCGTTGAAGTCGCCATCTTCGAACGAGCCTTGTCAAGTTTCCTGTTTGGACGATCTGATTTTGAGTGGCGTGCGACTCAGCGAACAAGGACACTGACCACGCTAAGTCCATTATCATGCATTGATGTACTATATCGGTGAAAAGTACAAGATGCCACCGGTATTCTACCTGGACTTGTGGCCGATCAGCAACCCGTTGATGCTTGTCCATGATCCTGATGTGGCCCACCAAATCACCCAAGCCAGGAGCCTTCCCAAGCATCCCGTCAATTCCAAGGTCTTGGGACCTTTGGTTGGCTCACATTCAGTCGTGACTGCGGAAGGGCAAGAATGGAAAATGCTTCGGTCAATCCTCAATCCAGGCTTCTCAGCCCAGTATCTTTCGACGTTGGTTTCTCTTCTCGTCCGACATGGCCTCGTCTTCAAAGATCGAATATCCGACTATGCGTCGACCGGCGAAGTATTCCCAATCCAGGACACGGCCATGGCCCTGACAATCGACGTGATCGGCGAGGTGGTGCTGGGAAAGAATTTCGACTCTCAGCGTCAACCGAACGAGTTGACAATGCACTTCAAAAAGGCGGTCTCCTGGGCAGGACCGAGCATGGACGTCATTTCTTGGAATCTAAGCAGACCTTTCAAATGGTGGCATTGTGTGCAGCAGGACCGAATCATTGAGAAGATGATTCGCGAAAGACATGCCGAGACGAGGGCCACGGATTCTCACAGTACAAAAGCCGCCGTGGATTTGTTCCTGCAGGCATATCGCGAGGAAAAGATGGGAGCATCGGGCAAGGGTGGACGCAGGACAGACGAGCTTGATCCGGAATTCCTGAACCTCGCACGCGACAATGTCAAGACCCTGCTTCTAGGGGGCCACGACAGTAAGAACTGCCTTGCCATCTTTCTGGCCGTCGGCGTGGCTGGTGGTTGGTTCAACTTGGCTAACCAAGATATCTAGCAACTTCATCCACAATGGCCTACACTCTGGCCCTCCTCTCGGAACCCGAGAACACCCACGAACTTGCTCGCATCCGCGCTGAACACGACGCTGTGTTCGGCCCAGACCCTACCGAAGCTGCGTCCATGCTCCTCTCCGATCCTCGACTGCTTAACAGCCTCCCACTCACGACCGCCGCGGTCAAGGAATCCATGCGCCTCTTTCCCGCAGCGAGCACCACGCGCACAACCATGCCCAACCATCCCGTCCAGACAGTGTCGTTCAGGGACCAACAGCTCCCACTCGCAGGCCAACAAATCTGGGTCGCGCACTACGGCTTCGGCCAACGTGGCGACCTGTGGCCCCAACCCCGGAAATTCATCATCGACCGCTTCATGCCTATGTCTGGCGAGACATCACCACCTCCACCCCCAAAGGACGCATGGCGCCCGTTCGAAAAGGGCCCGCGCGGCTGTCTCGGTCTGGAGCTGGCCATGACGGAGCTCAGGCTAATCCTAGTCCTACTATGCCGCGAATTTGACTTTGAGATTGCCTACGCGGAAGACGCGCCGCGGGCTCCCCGAGAGCACGGCGTGCAGGGCGGAAGGGGATATCAGATCATCGAGTTCGCCGCGAAGCCCGTGGGGCATATGCCCGTGCGAGTTCGGCGGAGGGAGAAGATTGTGTGAAATTCATGGGTTTTGTGTTTTTTGGGGGCCTGGGGAGACGTAGGGGAAGGTTAGATCTCCTTCGAGAGACCGATCTTGTGCTGAGTGGAAGCCAGACCAGATCGGATCGCGTCGGATCGCCTCAGATCGTATCAGATATGGTAGCACGTAGCTGGTAACACGTAGCCGGTAACACGTAGCCTACCCTTGCAGGAGCGTATTTGAACATGTGCCAACATCACATGCTGAGCCGGCGCAGCTTGCTAACTTAGTGTCCTCTATCGGAACGAGGACTGCGCAGAGAAAAGCAACCTACTAGGCACGAGTGAGGTGACACAAGGCTGTATGAAAGGGACAAATTGGAAGGTTTGTTTTTTTAAGGCCCCTTTCAGAGACCCCTTTGCATCGTCTGTCTGTCTAGACACCTTTGTCCGTCTCGCTCGCTCGTAAACCTGAAACCTCCCCCTTTTTTTTCCCCTCTTCTCTTCTCTCGATTGCTTTTCTGTCCGTTTATATCACAGATGATCTGTCTCCTCAAGTCTTGATGCCCGATTATTCATAAAAGAAAATCTCATGCACTGTGTCATCACGCATACATCCATCGTATTTCTCACTCTTGCTCGTAGCCTCACTGTGTAGAGTCACTGGACTAGGCTGTCTTTCGCACATTTCCACATTTCCGTAGCACTTGTCGTAAGAAGGTCGCTCATAGTTGAGCTCTCGCCTTGCTTGCGGTAGCAGAAGCGGCTAGTCAATGCGCCCCATTGTGTTGCTTGGCGGTGTCGTCAATCTCGCAAAAGGCCCTGAACGTGACCATCCCGTCGGTCGCGCTTTCGATGACCAGTTCAGCAGTCGCGCCCACAAAGTACACCCAGCCTTCCTTGAAGTCCTCCGTCTTGGGGCCGACGCTGATCTTGCCCTCGCCGCTCGTGCAGATGACGATGCTGGGGCCCGCGATCCCTTCAAAAGTGGCCTTGGCGCCTGGTTTCTTGAGCGCCGTGCGCACGACGCTGAATTCCTCGATCGGGGGATCGTACAGCAACGAGTCGCTGCCAGAGCTGTAGGCTTTGTCGTTGAGCGTGACGTACGGGTAGTCGACGGGTTGGAGGAGCTGTTGCTCGGGTGGATCGTGGTCGTAGGTCAAGATGTCGGTCAAGGTGTTGACGTCTTGGAATTTGGGCGTGAAGCCAGCGCGGATCACATTGTCGCTGCTCGCCATGCACTCGATGATGTCGCCCGAGATATAGGCGTGGATGTCGTCTGCCTTGAGGTACATGGCCTGTCCGGGTTGGAGTTTGACGTAGTTGAGGAAGAATAGCACGAAGAGGCCGATGTCTTCTGGGAACTGGCTGTTGCACCGCTGCACTAGTTCGCAGAGCTCTTCAGAGGTGTTGACACTAGGACCGGGAGAAATTGATCCATTCTTAGCGAGCTCCAGAAGGGCTTGGGACTTTTCGGCAACTTCGGCCTTGGAAGACTTCATGAGCGAGCTGAACGCGGCTTTGAGGCGGGATTTAGCATCGTCGAGAGACGGCGAGGAAGAATTCGCAACCTGTTCAAGCCCTTTGGCCTCACTCTCGCCGACCAGTTCGCGCAGGGGTGGAATGCTTGCGAGGAAGTGTGCAATTTCCTTGAGGGGTCGGAAACCACAAAGGCCTTCAAACGGGGTGATGGCAAGTGTCATTTCAGGCTTATGGTTGTCATCGGGATAGTTCTTTGGGTCTTTGGCGTGAAGCTTCTCGGCGAGCTTCTTGTTGGGATGGGCTTGAATGGACAATGCCTTGTTGATAGACAGGACCTTGAAGAGAAACGGAAGTTTCTTGTTGTACTTCTCGGTAATGTCACTGCCCATCAGTGCTTGGTTGTCGGCGACAAGGTCGAGGAGAGATCTACCAGTGACGAGGTCTTTGGAGGGTAGAGAAGGGTGTGTGCCCATCCATAGTTCGGCATATGGCTTGTCTTCTTGGACGGAGAAGTTGTCTGAGGGCGTCGCCGCAGCATATCTCGCAGCAGCCGAGTCTTTTCCCTTCTTCCCCCAGTCATAGCTATTGCAGCCTTGAAGAGGTCAATATCTCGGCGATTACAGAGAGAGAGATTTGCTCATACCGCATTGGAGCCGAATCAAAGGAACCTGCATGATGACTCGTCTCAACCCAATCTTAGATCTTTCGATTGCTGAAACTTGATGACGTCCTCTAAACGGGACAAAGTCAGGAGGAAGTGTCTGTATGACCTGGAGGCTCTGGACTTTAAGGGGGCAACAGTTGGTGAAAGCAATATGGCGGTGAAAGAAGACAAAAGTGGCTTGAGAACAGATCCACTTGATATTGAAGATGGTGTTCGACTTTCAGGGCAACGTGGTTGGTCAATCTGATAGAATTGGCCAGACTTTTGACGGTTGTGGATGTTTGAGAAATGACGCATCCCGCGATAGATGCCCCGACGTATAAATTGCACTTTTGAGAGCGAATACGCATCCGTAATCCTCCTTCCCGCTAGAGAATCCCGCCGTGGCGCCAACCAATCATGCCTCCGTCCCTCATTCTACATGTTCTTGACCATCGCATCCCATATATTGCGAATCGCACATTTGTCTGATCTCTTCATCTCTATATTGCAAACATAATCTACAGTTTGTATTTTAGTACCACCTACTAAGAAGCAGCCTTTGTGGTTCGGCTGCAAACAGGTTTGCGCCTGCCACCAAGTTGGTTCTACCGAGGGGCTAAGGGCTGGTCATCTTGTTCAAGCCCAGTGCCACAGCCTTCTCTCCTTCAGGGACCGGAGATATCCTTCATCTACGCTGTTACAAGGACGTCTGACGCCACGAGCTAGTGCGCACAACGTGTTAGAGTTCGATATGTCCTCCCGTCCGCGAGGAGGTCGCGCGACAGCTGGTCGAGATGGAAAGGAGACCGAACTCGAAAACGATCTACTCACTAGAGCCCTTGAGAGCCTACGCAAAGCCAGAGAGTTCAACGAAAAATGCAAAAGAATTGGGCAAGATATTATGGCCCTCGAGGAAGAGATCAAGGCAGCCGGACGTATGTCGACCCTGTACCCCTTTCAGGTTTGCCCCTTTCTTTTCTCATCAGGTCCAAGTCTGGCATCGCTTAAGATCACGACAACGCGAAGGCCAGTCGGTAGCTCTAGACTTGGAACCTAGGAGTGTCTTCAGAACCTATCGTCAAATCCTTGGTTGAGGTTTGAGCTGACCGTGATCGTTTAGATGGAACTCCCGACCAGTACCGACGTTTAGACGCCCTGTACCGGGACAACCTCAGATATGCGGAAAGCGAGAAGAAAGTTCACGATGACGACGACATTATCAGCAACCTCGCTATCCTAGAGACGATGAGATCCAACGACGAACCGGCCCCTAGGAATGGTCAGCCAAAATCGCGGAAGCATCAGCGGCCTGCGGTTGATTCAGAAGCGCTTGAGTCTCCAGGCCCCAGTCCAGGGGACGGTCGTTTAGAGATGATGAAACGGGTCAAGGGCACCTCGCAACGAAGTTCAAGCACAGCAAGCCAGAATCGAGCAGCCCCAATTGTTAGAGACGACGGGAGCGACCTGTACAAGGGACTACAGGCTGAGAGGGCTGGCCACCTTGTAGCTGGCACCGAAGTCTTTTACAAATTCCCAAAGGATCAACAAGAGCAAGAAGAAGGAGTGGGTATTCATGGTATCATCAACAAAGTCTGGCAGGAGAAGAAACCGTGAGTGGAAGCACTGGCCTCCCCAAAACTTGTCGCTGACTTTCCACAGGATACAATACGATGTTAGAGACCCCGAGGATGACGCTTCTGGCAGACAGACGGTGCGCAAGGCGACAGCCAGAGATCTGGTGCCCATTCCTCAGGTTGCCCCAAGCACTCAACAGTTCTCGGTCGGAGTGACTGTTTACGCCAAATACCCAGATACCGATACCTTCTACCGAGCCAAGGTCAAGAGCTTCCAGAAACCCAACTACAGTTTGAAATTTGACGAGGATGTACAAGAGATGCTCGTCGATGCACGGTTTGTCCTACCTGCCGGGGTAAAGTAGTACAACCAAGAGATCACACCCAGGAACACGTTTAATCTGGGTGAGGCCGTGGCGGATGAACCAGATGAGAACTGGGGGAGGACGCGTGGTGAGCGGCAACATGTTTCTCGATTGATGAGTGCCAATATGTAATTGATCATCCGTCCTACAGTCACAGTTGGCGTTTGCTGGCCAGGTAGGCAGCGCCACTGTCTGCGCGTCGTCAGTAATCCATAGCTGGATCCTGGAGACAGAATCTTGAAGCAACTACGGCTGCACCACTGATACAGGCATCTGACGTGAGAACTTACCCGCCCATATCTCGTAGACTTTGACCTTGTATTCCTGGTCGAACTCCAGGACGTAGGTGAAAACCTCGTCCCACGATTGACCAGTCTCGGTCCAAGTGAACTTTGCTTCTCCACGAACCGACACCTTTGAGACGAGTGGATCGACCACGAAGTTAGCGAAGCGCATGTTTTCGTACGTCAAGTTGGAAGACAAAAGCCCAAAGTACTCTTGCAGGCCCTTGTGGCCTCGAAACTCGCGGCCGAGGAAGGGTGCCAGTTGCGGCAGCCCATGTTCTAGAGCAAGGACATCGTCGGAACTGGAGAAGTGGCTGAAGATCTTGTCTGGCGCCTCTTTGCTGGCGAATGAGTTACAAAACGCCTGGGCGGCCGACAGGAGGGTCTCTCGATCTGGGGCGTGGGAGGGCATCTTCTTCTCGACCGATAATTATTTTAGAGGGGCACTGTTCTTAACCAAATACCCAGGGGGACTGTGGACCAGGTGATGTAGATACCTTTTGGTGCTTACCCAATCTCATTCGGCGACTGACCAAGCAGCAAAGCTGGATTTGACGGCGCAGGACGGGGCTCAACAAGGCGTGACGGGAATTGACAGGCGCACAGGCGTACAAGGCACACATCCGTCTAAACCGGGTGGAAAATGAAGTGCGGAGGAGAGGCCGAGGCCTGGGATTTTGGCTTTCGTCAGCGAATTTCTCGTTTCTCTCCGCTTCTACTCGAACTGCGTTAAGTGCCACCCTCCTCCCTCATCTTCCGCCCAAGCATAAACTCAACTCAACTCTTTCAATGGTCCTTTCCTCCGCTCCCCAGTTATAGAGACACCATGCTTCTCTCTTAAGTTGTAGAGAAACGAAAAATTGCATTGGATATTGAAGCCGGAAGACATCCCCCTCCCCCCACCATGGCTCGCCCGGTCAATGAGCTTCCCTCGCATGCCTCCCCCCGTTATATCGCCCGTGCCTCGGCCATCGTCCTCATACTTGGGCAGCTGGTCCGACCTCGACGACAATGCTCCTCCTACGCCTGGCCTACCTAACAACTTGATATCCCCTGCATTCACTCCTCCCGCTACTCCCGGGGCTGGGACCCCATCCCGCCATCTTCAGTCTGAGCCCAGGTCCATTCCCGTGGATACTTCTCTCGACGACCCTTCGGCAAAACAACCCCGCCTCCTCGAGAGACTACCAAACGTAGAATGCCTGGTTCGAGCGCGGATACCGACCACCTCTGGAGCCGAGATGTTTCTCCATCTGTATCAAAATGACTCAGATAACAAGGAGCACTTGGCGATTGTCTTTGGCAACAACATCCGCAGCCGCAGCTTGGATGATGAGAAGCCCGGAGAAACGGAGATGGATCGCATGATTCGTGGCGCTTATGTTGGAAGATTGAGGCCAGGTCGAACAAGTTCGAGAATAGATCCCACGGAACAGGGCAAGAGGCCCTTCAATAAACGACACAGAAGCGGCTCCGCGTTGAAAAATGTGATAACGGTCCCAGAGGACGGCGTCCTCGAAACGGCACCTTCAGACGGTGCTGTTAAGGCCTCAAATACTTCTCAAGATGAACCAAACCCAGATCAACCCCACCATCCTATCGCCAGCCTGGGTGATGTCCTTGACAAGGTACAAATGACTGGCCAATCTTTCGGCAAACCACCTCTTGTTCGAATCCATTCCGAGTGCTACACAGGCGAGACAGCCTGGTCCGCCCGCTGCGACTGTGGAGAACAACTCGACGAGGCAGCCCGGTTGATGTCCTTGCCTGGCTCTACGGGTGGTGTCATAGTCTACCTTCGCCAAGAGGGACGAGGAATCGGTCTGGCATCCAAATTAAAGGCGTATAATCTGCAGGACTTGGGTAATGATACTGTTGAAGCAAATTTGTTGCTAAGACATCCGGCCGATGCGAGGACTTATGGGCTCGCCACGGCGATACTGCAAGATCTCGGACTTGGCACCGATAGTGATGCGCAGAAACCAGAGGCAGAGCGGGGCATCAGGCTTCTCACCAACAATCCTGATAAAGTACGAGCGGTTGAAGGGCCCGGAAAGGAGGTCCGAGTGAGAGAACGGGTGCCTATGATCCCTCTTGCGTGGAGAACGGCTGGCGCCAAGGGTGTCCGAGGTGCGGAAATTGAGAAATATCTCGAGACCAAAATCGGAAGAATGGGACATATGATTCACGAGGAGTCCTAGAAGAACAGGGGGAAAGTGGATTGCGAATCAGACCCTGGTGAAAATTTCCTCGTGCAGACAAGGTCATCCCGTTGCCGCATTTGACTCTGGCAATTTCTGAGGGCTGCGGGTGAACGACATCAGATCCATCACTCATGTCTTCGACTCCGCTCTTTTGATACGAGGATGGGACCGGAACACGCCAGACAAGAACCGAAGTAAGATGCTTCGCAAAGCGACTGCCGGCTGGAATATCCAGGCACTCTCGGTTGAAAGAAGGTTTACCATGAGAAGCCAATCCACGCCGACAAGGTTCGCTCAAGGAGCATACAGGAATCGCGACGCGCCCGAGTCAGATTTGCCCTCGAGTCTGTCGATGCTTTGACTTCCCAGGCAGCAGCTTGGAAGGATCAGACCCACGACAAAGATGTGTCAACCTCATCAACCCGCGGAGCATCAATGCCGCAAAGCATTGTCATGGCGGGCAATGAGGAGAAGTGACAAACGAGGAAGACTGGTTCGCGGCTTTAGAACCGAGTTGGAATGAATTAGATGAGGTGCAAGCGATGGAATGCCTGGATTGCCATACTATACGAGATGAGACGGGACGGTCGAGGCACGTCATGAAGCCTCCATTATCATGGACTCTGTCAAGGCTAGGACTTCGACTTGGACTGGCAAAGGAGAGCGACGATGCATATGCACGACTCACTGACATGTTAGTGCTCACGCACGAGACTTGCGGATTCAAGACTTCTGCAAAGAGCACGTATATATAATATATACACACATATACTTACATCTGGCGCGAGAAGGAGGGTGTCATACAAGGACCAGGGCAAGAGATGGACCATATACATCCATCCACATACAAAATTACACCGCGCATATATACTATAATACACAGTACTGCAGTACTATATTAGTATCCTCCCTGATTACACTTTGGATATATCATGATATATATTTTGTATGTTTTTTTTTTGAATAACCTCCTCGCCAGCGACGAGATGTTGGAGTATTTTCACGACCACGGCCACCAGGGAGGGAGGAACGGCTGATCGATGATCATGGATGGCTTGCGAGCTATCTCTGTAGGTACATAGGTAGGTAGGTAGTTAGGTATTATGTCTGTAGACCCAGACCGAACTCGTCCTTGTGTAACTTGTGATTAATTTTTTTTTTTTTACATGGTATCCTTGTATCCTTTTGTACCCGGATTTTGGAACCCAGCGTAAGAAAAGGAGAGTAGAAACACCATCACCAAATACCCAACCACAGTTTCCTCTTCCGCTGCTGTTGCGGCTGCTGCGGCGATGATTGCTGGATAGAGTCGTCCTCCTGGATCTCCTGGCTCTGACTGCGGAGCACGTCTTGCACGCTCACGCCTCGGGCTCGGGCTTCGGCCTCGGCCTTGACCACGGCATCCACGCCCTTTTCCTTGATCAGCCTGACGCGGTCTGCCTGCTCCGTCTCCAGCTTGCGGGTGAACTCGTCGACGTCGTCCTCTGCCGATGCAGCTCCAGCTCCGAGTACGCCTCCAGAACTGCTCGCCACGTCGCCGCCGAGGGCAATCACATCGGCGCCCGTGAGGACCATGTCGCGGCCGCCCTTCTCGCGCTCCTTGGCCGTCAGGCCGTCGTCCCAGGGCACCAGTCCCCGCACGTCAATGCCCTGGTCCTCGTCAGCGTTGAGGTCCTCGAGGCCGTGGGCGCGGCGGTACAGCCTGCGTTTCTGGGCGTCGAGGATCTTTTGCTGGCGGGACTCGTTCGTCTTGGCCGTCTCGTAGTCGATGTGCAGGCGCAGGACCGACAGCGTCTCCCGCACGTAGGTGAGTGGGTGGAGGGGCAGCGAGGAGATCGGTGGGATCAGGTGTGCGTAGGGCGACGTCCGCATGAACGACTGCGTAAAGGTGATGCAGGCGAGGATGGTGAGGGTGCCCTAAATTCGAGTCAACGTAAGAACAATAAAGGCATTCATCATTTCCCCCCCTTGCTTCTTCTTCTTCTCTCCCGCCCCCCACCAAAACTATCCCTCTCCTTGCTTTCGAGCGAGACAAGGGAAAAAAACTCACCATCGTGATCCAGAGATGAATCCACCGATCCGTCAAGAACCAGTGCATAAAGGAGCCCTTGTTGGGGAACATGTGCGGGTACGACCTGCTCTTCTGCCTCTCCTTCTCCTCCGTGGTCGCGCCCTGGTTGTACGCCGCGGGCGACCGACGCGGACGACCCAGCCGCGCGGGATGCGAGGGCGGCCGGAACTTGTCGGGCTGCTCGAGCACGATGGGCTTTTTACCGCCACCGCTGGCGCTGTCCGTCGTCGTCGTCGTCGACGATGAAGCGGCTCGGCGTACAGTGAGAGGAGAAGGAGGAGTACGAGGCGGCGGGAGTCGAGTTCCGGGGGAGAGCTGGTCGCGCAGGGCGTTGCGGAGGCACTGCCGGCACATTGTGAGAGACATCTTCTTCAACAGAGGATTCACCCTCTGAACGGTGTTCATCGTGACAGAGACAAGCTTTGGGACAAAGATAGAGCTTCGGGTCGATCGTGCCAGGAGAATAGTGGCAGTCAATAGCTAAGCTACCTTAGGTGCGAGTGAACACAACGCGAAACTCGGTGGGATGAGCGGACAGCTTTTTGCTGGATGAAGGTCAAAGAATAGTCCATATTGGGAAGCCGAACTTTAGCCGTCAACACCTTGTCTCCACCTGGTCATAAGACTTATGGTACAAAGTACTCAGTACGCACCCTGGCACCAGAGAAACACAACAGCTTCACATGTTGATTCCGTTGATATTCTAGAAGTCATATGATATGTCTTCGCGACCGAGGATCAGCGCCATCTTCCTATGCCAACCACCAAGTCCAAAGCCCAGCAATTCTCTAAACCTTTAATCCCGACATCGCCCCTCTCATCTGGCCCATACATATGATGGTAGCAGTACCTATGTAGCTGTACAGTTCTCTCTTTCGAGCACAGTTAACAAATGAAAAGTCTGTCGCTGTCCTAGCCGACAATGCCTAAATATCCCTGGCACAAATCAAAAATGCAGCCCATACAAAAAAGAAAGACTTCACTTCCTTGGCTAACTCTCATGACACCTCGAGACAAAACGCATGCCAATGTCACCGAGACCCAGGGACAACCGGATCGGCCAGTTCGCGAAGAGGGACAAATCTAAAAACAGACACCCAACATGGTGGACACTCTTCTTGAAAACACCTTTGACCTTTTGTGGCCCTGCGCCTTTGTGCATTGGGATTCCCAAAAAAGCCCCCAATATTACCGTGCGCTCGAAATTGCGCTCGTGCGATGCACACACCTTTCTCTTTTCGTACAGGATATCAAATAACAGTATATCGTTGTGAGATATTCAGAACAGAAACTTTGGTTATCTGAACGAGCGTGGTAGGTCGGCAAAGGAGCCAATATCTTCATTTATCGAAACATCTGTCCGGCTGCAAAAATGCTGTTGGCAGCCGCAGATGCCCATTCGTTCTCCTCGTATGGCGGCGTGGGCCAGTGTGAAGGAGCGTGTTCATACTCGTTACGTTTTTTGGTGATGTTCAACGGCTCAGCTTGAGATCCAGCGTCGGAGCTAAACTGAACACCATTCCTCTTGGCGGATGGTGATGGCGTCAGGTACGCGCCGTGTAATGCCGGATTGCTGGGTAATTGCGGTAATGACTGACGGTTATAGTCCTTTTGCGCCAATGCGGTACGTTGGGCCTGGTCTTTTGGGTAGACGGTAGTTTGATCCAGGCGCCGGACCGCCCGATGAGCGGACCGAAGAGCTTCATCCAACAGCTCGTCAGCTTCCTCGGGAGTTTCGTACTGGTTAATCTGTAAAGGACGACGTGTCCGATTGTTCGTGGGAGCAGGCACTTGAGAAACATTCTCACTTGATCTACTGCCTTGTGATCTCGGGACGGAGTGTGTCCGTTTCAGTGTGCCTGAATTGGATACCACCTCGGTGGAAGATTTTCTGTGTAGGGAGTCCGGTTCGGCACGATCAAGACTGTACCGAACATTCTGCAGGATTTTGTCAAGGTCCGAAAAGTCATTGTTTCCCTCGGGAATAACGCTGTCGACCATGAGCGAAGATCGGTTCGACCACGGGACATTCGCGGCGTTGGCCTCAACATCGTCGCCATTGGGAGACGCCAGTCCATGTCGGCCGGAAAATCGTCTTGCCCGTTTCCGGAGATGGGAAAAGAAGCTCTCTTTGTGGCCGCTAGGTGGGGACACAAGTCCACTATTGGCATTCAAAGCCCGTTCTGCTTCCTGGCGATGGATGTCGGCATAATGATTGCCATTCGAATTGACGGATAGCTGCCGGCCGATTTTCTTTGATTTCTCCTCGGCTGGTTTAGACGAGTTGGGCTTCGACTCTGGCTGCGATGTGAATGTCGAATTTGCTTGGGCAGTAACAGCGTTGGGTAAAGGAGAGATAGGGCGAATTGAGGGCAGGATGGGCATTGGTGCAGCACCAGTTGAACTCGGTCCATTGGTCCACGTCGTCCGTTTACTCGCTTGTGGTCGAAGTCTGCTGACCAAGCTCTCGGGTTCTTGTTGTGTAACCTTGGATTCCGAACTGTGTTGGGGTACGGCGGGAGCGCTCTCGCGAGCAATAAGCGACCTTCGAAACCACGAGGGTTTGGATGTAATGGTGGGTGTTTCGGCCGCGTCCTTTGACCTGAAACTCAGGTCAGAGTGCTTCCGCCCGAGTAGGCGTGACGAGGACTTGGGTCGAAGAGGATCAACGGCATCGAGGAAGAATTCGTGCTCCATAGCTTGTTTGGTCGTTGGGCGGTTCTTAGGATCCCACATCAGACACCAGGTCACAAAATTGCTGAATGCCGCAGGCCATTGAGGCGCTTGTAAAATGGTTTCCATCGCATGGGGGGCCATCTGTGAGGAGTTAGTGACTTAGCCACGCCTCAGCATTTGGGATCAAATCACCTTTGGGAAAGAGAAGCACAATTTTTGAGCCAACTTGTTGCCGTCTCTCCATTCACCGCCCCCAACCCTAGTACCGTTCTTGGTATACCAGTTCCCTGGACTGCCCATAACTTCACAAATTCGCCAAACCTGGTCAACCTCGTTGCCTCCTGGAAAGAGAGGTTTGAGTGTAGCCACCTCAACTGCCATCGCCCCAATAGCCCAGATATCCACGGGAGCAGAGTATTCGCCAGCTCGAAGTAACACTTCGGGAGCTCGGTACCATCGAGTTGAGACGTATGTGGTATAGGGCAACTTGGAGTGTGTTTCTCGAGCCAACCCAAAGTCGGCTATCTTGATGGAATAAGTTGGCGGTGTAGCTGGTGGAGTGACCAAAGAGGAGTATCTGCTGAACGCTGACTGGGAGTCGTGAGGTGCAGATGTGGAGACAAGGATATTTTCTGGTTTGATGTCGCGGTGAAAGAAATTGTGAGCATGGATATGGTCGAGACCTGAGAGGATCTGGTAGAGTATGCTCTTGACACTTTTGGCGTCCATGCATTTGTGTTCCCGGGATTTCATCAGTTGATACAAGTTACCGTCCATGTACTCCATGCAGATGTGAAGTTTCTTGCTGAAGGGATCCAAGAAAATGTCCAACGCCGGCACCAGATGAGCATGGGCCGGGAGTGTTCGTAGAAATATGACCTCGCGGAGTTCTAGGCACGGTGCAAAAGAGTCGAATGTCTTCTTCATGGTTTTGATGGCGACCTAGAGGAAATCAGCTGGGTGTCTCCTCGCAGAACGAGAAAAGAATCAAAGCATACCATGGAGTTTCTGCGAGCCACATTGGCACCGTTCGCTCTCACTCTTGCCAAAGCCACGCTTCCAAAACTTCCATCTCCAATTTCCTTGATCACTTCGAACCTGTCTTCGAGTGCGGCCAATGCATAAGAGTTAGGCCTCAGGCCATATTCCGTGACAGCCATGGTGGTCGAGTGAGTTCGTTAGGGCAGGACTGGCTCTTCCTCTGTCGCTTTGTCGGGTGTCGTGGAATGTATGGGACGAGTATATCTTATTCAGGCTGCCCTGGCGCCCATAGATGGGTTTCTCTGAGACTTCAGCACGTCATTTCCTGGCTGTTTCGTGTGTTTCTGTACATGTGTTTCAGGGTACAGGGTAGAAGAGGGGTCGGAGGTTTCGTTTGACTTGTTCGTGCTGTTGCTCGAAGCTGATCAGATTGCAGCTACGCCAGCTCGGTGCAGAGCAGGAGGGTAAATGATGATCGAGCTCGAGCTTCAAGAAGATGATGCTCAGGACCAGAGGACCCAGGACCCAATTCGAAATCGCTCGAGGGAACTAAGGGAACTAGCTAGAGGAATGGTCGATTGGCGGATGCCGACCCGCAAGGGGCGTTGGGAAAGTGGATAGACAGCGTCTTCCCCTTTCTTGATTGACACGAAGGGGGGGTGGGTGATGGTCACAGTCTAGTATCAAAGGAGGGCAGGTGAAGGTGACAGACTGTACTCGTAATTCGGACGTGTTGTCGATGTGCTCGGACAATTAATTGGCGATGTGGGAGGCGCGTCTTGACTGTGTCGGGATGGCAAGGGGGGCTGGGGAGTGGAAAGGCAGAGGCACGGAGGTTCAGAGGCCTTCGCAGTAAGGGTCATACAAGCAACTGGGATGCAAAATTGCGCTGACAGAGCCCAGGATTTCCGTGCCTTTGCAACATCGGACAGGCAAAGGAGAAATGAGAAGTATGGGATTACTGGTATTGTTGAGTGAGATGGCTTGAGAAGAGTGGTTGTTATTCCTACGAAAGGGGAGAAACACGAAATAGTGACGGTGGGTGACAAGCGAGACGAGATGGTACTGGCGCCGTGTCAGCACTGAATGCCATACAGACAAGGCTCCAAGGTTTGGGAAGAGTGAGGCCTTTCCAGCACGGTGGCATCTGGGGGGAGAAGAGAGTGGAGGGGGGCGCGGCCCTTTCCCTTTGCATTGATGCAAGCCTCTGGTGTCGTCCGTCACTCAGGGAAGCAGCTTAAAGTAGGCAAGCCCCATGCAAGCTTGGTTTTTTAGTTGAGGGCTAGCCACAGGGCCACGGGGCCACAGGGATAGGCCGACGGGATCCCTGGATGGCCGGCGACAAGTTTGGGCGAGGATGGTCAGGTTGATCAGGCACAAACCGCCCCTAGCACGGGTCCCTAGCTGCTTAGAGATGGCCTAGCACGCTTAGCAGGCCGGGTTGCCTCCCAACTCCGACCTCTGGCAGCTCCTCTTCTCAGCCTCGGAACCCCGTTCCTGTGCGCTGGCCCCCCATTGCTCCCCAAAGGTCTCAACTCCCAAGCCGACAACCTGAATGACCTTCACCGGGGGCGGCGGATGACGGATCTTGTCGTCCACTGATATTTCGTCTTTTTTTCCATTCGACTCCGGTGAGCTAATAGTCCAATCTACAAGGGTGGTTGCTGGTGGTGCTGTAATAAAATAAATGCATTCCTCCTGAAAATCTTGACCCCGAGAGAAGGAAAGGTAACCTTCTCATCCACCTGTGATAATGTCAGGACTACCGAGTAGTATTGGTATGTACCAAGTACCCACAAGTGGTTAATGTGCTCCGTACATTACCGGACGCTTTTTCTTTGCAGTTGGAGTGTCTCTCTAGGTACCTCGTACCTACACCGCCCGTCGTCTGCTTCTACTTCTGCGGTGAGCAGGATGGGAAGCGAAGCATGTTACGAGTAAGTACTGCTGCATAGCGTGTACTTTTCTTGGGCTCCTCTTCAACGATATCACATCACCGCCATCTCAACAAGTCAGGAGAATCACAGGAGAGGAGAGACTGAGGCTTGATGTCTCACCGCGCGAAAGACGCCTTGACTGATTAAATTGATTCATTTCTGTACTTGGTATTGGCTGGAGAGGTCTTCCAGAAAGCCACCATCTTCTTGATATTCTGGTGTTCATGACGCTTTGGCATGTACCTCGTACCTTGTCCAGTTTATGCTTTTGAAAGAGATGTACACGAGTGACAGTACAACTTTCTGTGTGTGTTTGCTGTACCTAGTCCTAATGGGCCCGGACTGCAGATACCGAGCTCAAGTGGCAAAATACAAGGTTGGATCCAGGATCCAGATTCAGGAGAAGAAAGTTGTTGTTGGTGCTGTATTCTATCCCACCTATCACTGACATTATTCCCTCCGTGCCCTTCAATTAGCAGCAGCAGCAGCAGCAGCAGCAGCGACAGCATCGACAGGGCAACAAACGCGAAGATACCTGGATAGAGACCATCAGTCGAATAATGCCACGTTTCTTGGAGATGCAGCCAAGGGTGTCGAGTTGGCTGACTGCGTTGCCAAAGCTTGGGCTAAAAGCGTCATGACCATTATTGACCACTGGTTCCTGGCCTCAAGGGTGGCAGGATGGTTCCAAAGACAGGTTTAGGCTCACCGCTGTCTCTGGATGTCCTCTGTCCGACTCGCCATAAGCCTTGAACAAGGATCGGGGCGTCGCTGGTGCCGGCCAATGGTGCCGATCAAATCTCGACTTCTCCATTCATTGGCTTGGTCTCTGCCCATTTTTCGATAGCTCCGGGCTAGAAATCCAAATTTTCAAAAGACACACTCTCCGACCGTGTGCCTGGCCCCCTAGCTTGTTCCATCTGGAACAAAACATGATGGGAATGAAATCACGATGGAGTGGCAGCCAAAACTTTGGTCCCCAGCACCAGTGTTCCCCGCGAGAAGCTAATGAAGTGGATTCTTGATTTGTTCTGGAACCAGGAGAGTCGAAACTGTCGTGATACAAAGTCCTTGCAAGTCACAAACTTGGAGGTCATACCCGTTACATAACCGTTGATCCCAGATGAAATTGCAAAGGAGTCGATGGAGAGACGGCCAGTCCCAGCTTACTCGCACAAGAGTGCTGCTAGCTCAGGATGGGGTGTCCAAGGCACAATCCAGAAGTCGTCAAAGAACAAGTACTAGTTTAGTATTGTGCAACAACATGCAAAGAGTGGTTGGTCGGTCATCAATGCATACGAGGTACCTCGTACCTATAGCAATAAGTCTTTGTGTGGTGCACTTTACTTCTTCTTGTGTAACTCATCATCGGCGTGGTAAGAAAGGGACCTAAAGACTTCAGTCAACTCACTACATTCTCCTGCCGTTACAACAGAATAACCCCGTATATGTAGGTCGTTCTCATCCGGGCCACATGTACAGACTTTGTTGAGTCATTTGGCGCACGTGTGTACGTCTTCCTGCGGTTGAAGTTGGTGCCTGCATCTTGCCAAGAAGCCTCAACCCTACACATCCGGAAATACCTTCAAGTGGCAGGCAATGGTAAGAGACTTGTCACTTGAGCCGCCTTCATTACTCCACCCTCCACGGCTGAGTACCTCAGAGACCAAGAAAAGGTGGTCAGTTTGACAGGTTGACATTGCATGTAGCCGGCGGTCAAAGTGTCAAGTTATTTGACAATCACAAAAGTATTGCCATCTACTATCAAATTACTGGAAGAGGTTTAGAGCGACTTTGGTTTGGGCAATCATCCGTGTGAAAGACATTCTGTATAAATGCCAAACTCTGGCCAGCGGTGACTGGAATTCATTTGAAATATCCAGAGCTGGTCAAGGAAGTATTCGAATTAGTTAACGGTGCACTGTTCTTCACCTCAGCCTCACTTTTTCGTCTGCCTCACCTACCGATACGAGGCACCCGCAATCCCTTCCAAGTCTCCTTCAATCATGCCTCAGAAGCAGCGACCTCAATGGGAACGCAAACAGCAATCGTAAGCTGCCTCACTGCTCACTTCCTTTCATCATCTCTTCCACTTGTCCAAAAATATTTCTCCATCACCCCATCTATCAATCTCAACCACCATGGCTGCTATTAATTACCAAAACAGGTATGCGAATGTCGAGATCGGGAACTTGTAAGTAAGCATCCCTCCCATTGTCTTATCACAGCTCACGCTCAGATACAGAATTACTTGCCTGGTCTGCAACGTCAAATGCTTCAAAGCAAGATATTCCCAGAACCAGCTGGCCAAATATCAAGAAGCCCTTGCGAAAGAACTCCATGGCGGGCCCGAAGCCAAGCTCCCCCGCTGCCGGAACTGCACACCAGAGTCCACGGCCGAGTTGTTCTGCACTGGCTGTCGATTGACCAAGGACTTGAGCTTCTTCTCCAAGCAGCAGCGAAAGAAGCCGGATGAAGCGGTAAGACAAGACAAGATCACAACTCGCTACACTGCTGACCTCCGCCAATCAGAGATGCCTGAACTGCCAGCAGGAGCTTGAGGATCGCGTGCCTTCCCTCGACGCCGCCTTGGAGGAGGAACGCATCAGAGACGATGAAATCCGCAGCAGGCACATGTCAGGCTCTGTGATCTCGGGCATTGCTGGTTCCGTCGCCGGCTCCCAATCTCAACCGCAAGCACAATCAGCTAGTGCCAGTGAAATCTTCATGCCTGACGACCGAGACTCTGCCTGGGGAGGTAGCCGAGCATCTGACCGTCCTACGTCGCCCACCAGCACTGAGATTTCCAGCTCCCGCAGCGCTACCAGCTACACCACTTCCGTCGATGCCAATTCAGTTTCCAAGAACAGCTTCGCCAAACCACCGGCATACTACGCACCAGCAAAAGCACGAGTCATGTACCAGCTTGAACGCGAGGAGAGGCAGAAGCAGGAAGCTCAGATGGGCAACAGATATGATGATTCTGATGATGATGACGAATGGGAAATGTGACGGATACGATTGATGAAATGATATTGGGATGGGGCGTGAACTGCGCGGGCTCATCATACGACGCTCCCTCTTGCCCGGAAGGCATGCTTGGTTGCACGGATCGACGAGAGCTTGCGAGACCAGGGAACCTGGGAGAAAACGGAGTACGTGGAAGCGAACGTTGAGGGCATCCATAGTTGCATGTCTTAGCGCGCAACACGAAGCAGCCTCAAGAGAGTGTGTGGTGTTCT